GCGTCGAGTACCTGATACTTTCCGGTTGTAAAAAAGTGGAAAATATCAGTTACTTTTGCGAGATAATAATGAAATATGATCAAGAAAGTCAAATGTTAATAATTTGTCATGTTCATATGGAATAAACCTTAATATACAGGGTGTTTACGACCACCCGTCCACCCAAATTTTTTTGGAATTGCGACATTTTAGGGAAAAATGTTTCACACGAAAGTTGTATGGTTTAAAGGGGAACGTAAAACAACTATATTAGTTTGTTTACAAATGGCGCCACTTTCGAGATATTCACTGATCATTACTTTTCTTAAATGGAAACTCCAATTTTATATTATATCATCTTCTTCCACCAATTAATTTGAACAAGTTTTGTCTGAAACATTTTTTTATTTGCCTAATATTTTCTGAGATATTTATGGAAAACTTGGTAACTTTTTTAATATTTAACTTATATCTCGCTAACTGTTTGTTGGAAGAAAAAATAGTATTACACTTTTCTACTCTATTTGATCTCAAAAATATATTGTTACGATAGTGCCTTAACTTTTGTTAACTTCGACTTTTATCGACTTTTGGAAATTTCAAAATTATCAAATTAACAAAAGTCAGGGCGGTATTATAATAATATATTCTTGGACATATGTTGGTCAAGGACATATATTGGTGCGTGCGTGCGCATGTGTATTGAACATACGTAGTATATAATGTAACAATATGTATATATTAAAATATTAGTAGATTTATCCGTTGCTATAAAAAAAACAGAAAAAGTCTTACCGTTAATCTTGTATTTTACTGACAAACTGACCTTTGAGTTATGATCGTCGCATATGGTAATCGTCACATCAAAATCTTTCGGTAGTTTTTTTATATGCAAAACAGATCATGGTTCACATGCGTAAAAACAAGTTAATTTATTTGAATGTATATACTATATATTCCATCTCGAATAAATTTTTTTGACTCTTTTCTTTAACTTTATTATTTTTTTCATATTAAGAGACTTTCTACCGGCGGATATGAATAATAATTTATTTACTTTTGAACGATAGTTTGTGCTGTATTCATTAAAAGATATTAATGTGTCAGAACTATTTGGATGTCTTTCCCGTTTTTTCGGGATAATCAACGATTATAATGCATAAGAATAAGTTGACATTACGTGGTCGAGAAATTCATTAATTTTGACTTATTAATTATTATTAATTGAAAAAGATTAGCGAATGATCATGTGCGATACGGCAAATGAGGTATTATTACGATTTTTGTTGTCATAAATAATTACGTATATTTTTAATTATTAATTAAAGGATACTGGTACGTTATCATCTACCAGTTTTCCTAGAGAAACGATCAACTCTTCATCGATAGCGGAGTAGTCGAAATTTTCAAATATATTTTGTTGCATACTTTACGACTTTTCTACACAGAAGTTGTTCAGAAAATAGCTAGTAGATAAGTAGCCATATCGTCTACTTATTATTCTACTCACTTACTATATATTCACATACTCTATATATTCACTTACCATTTTACGACGCTGCATTCTTGAACCTATCATGTCAAAGTGATACGAAGATCGCGAAGCGAGCATTTTCGTTTTTCTGCATGGCTGCGTTTGGAAATACGCTGACAGTATTGACAGCACGTTTTTGCGTTCTGATAATTTTCTGTAATGCTGCAAAATAACAAAGTATACTGCCTTTTTCACGAAAATAACTCTGAGGAGTTATTAACTTCCAGCTAATTATTCCAGCTAATTAGCCACACATTATTCCGAGGTAGTGCTAGTTTAATAATGCATATGGCGTTTAACTGTTAACTTATGTTAAACTTATATAAATAAGAAGTATAAAAAATGTCACTAGTGAAATGCACGATAATTGACAGGAGTGAAAGTAAAAATATGAAATACACCATAATACATGAAATATTCTCTTCATCGTTTAACGATGAACTTTGAAAATTATCTTCAATAAAATTTGCAATGTCTTGTGCACCAAATAAAATTGGAATTAGGTTGGCCATAATTCCAAATTTACTTTCAATCTTTATATTCAGACAAATTATTCTACTGTGCTAATCTCTTTTAATTTTATAATACTCTACATGATACTGCAAATACGTTCCGTTTTCCGAGCTCCTATTTACTGAAGATTTTGGAACAAATAAGTTTTAGTAGCAGTATTGTCAATATTGTCAGCACTATTTCGAAATATAGTCTATTCTGATGTACAACTCTTGAATTCTCAGCTTTTTATTAGTGACGGGCGATTTTCAGGAAATCGATTTTTCTCCTCCAAAATTTAATTTAATTTTTTTAAATCGATTTTTTCTCTTCCATTTTCTTTTCCATTATAAATTGATTCTTTCAAAAGAGAATCGATTTTCGACCCCTCGATATGTTTATTTATCAGTGTTGTTCTGTTTAATGAAAAATTTACACTGGAATCAACATTTGATATTGTTTTATCTTTGCATATTCTAGAAGAAAATAAAACTGTACGACGGTAACTGTTACATAGAAGTAATTAGAACCCATTGAAAGAACCGATTGAAATTCTAATTACTCAGTTTAATTTCTAGTTACCCGGTTATTTCCACTCAGAACAATACGTCATCAAAAAGCTCTATAAGATTTCTGAATAGAAGTAATCTCTTAGAGACGCTTGAAATGATACGAAGATGTCAGAATATTATTTAATACGCTGTCTTCCGTTGGGAGCGGAAAAATTACGAAAATTATTAGTCTGAAAGATTTCGTAAATCATTTTTTAAATATCTAATCCAGAGTGTTTATTGTTTAGAAAAATCTGGAAGACCTGGAATTCTCAGGGGATCAGTTTATGTCTGGAGAAATTAGGAAATTCTCAGGAAATTTTATCGGAAATTAAGAAACTTTTTTAAAGTTTTTTTTTAATTTTTTTTTTAATATAATTGAAAATTTATCAGCTGAGTTATCAGTGGCATGAGATAATCCTGATATAATGATGGACTCACTCTCCCCCTCCCCTCTGCCGTGGACCTTCCCTTTACTGACACTCTTCTAAGTTCGTTCGCTGCTTCGACTATATTTGGTTGCGACCCGTTGCACTACTCGTTCTCGTTCTCCTTTATTTTCTCGCTCTCTTGATCGCACGTGCACGCTGATAAGCGCTAACAAGTCACAATATCTGAGTGAATCGTTTTATCGTGAATTGGCCATTGGAGTTATCTGATTCGGAACGTCTTAGATGAATTTGTTTCTCGTTGTATTGTTACAAACATGTGTACACTGTTGTTATTATTTTCATAAAATATGCGATTATTTCAATAGGAATGAGATTATTAATGTTGTTGGATTCAGTCGAAGCAACGTGTTTCTTACTTTTCATGTGACTCACAAGCACCTGTAAGTCACATGAAGAGTAAGAAACATATTTTCCGTCGAAGTAATATTCTGCTGAGATCTTTCCTGACTTCTTCATCTTCTCCTGTACTAACTGCGGATTCTTCGAATTGTCTCATCTCTTCCGCGCCGGTTGAGACAGTTTCGTCTGATAGAATGGATCTTTCTCAGTCACTTACTGGCACTTCTTCTATCTCTCGTATGTTAATGAGCTATTATCTGATCACTCAGCCCCGCAGTTTCTCGATATATTTTCTGCTCGAAAATCATATTATGATGGCTGAGATACTATATTGCTAAAAAAGGATATAAAAAATAATAAAAATATAAAAAAATAATTTACAATTGCGACATCGCTAAAAAAACACAGTTAAAAAAATAAAATCGGCTATACAGATTGGTATTGCGCTGTTTTTCAATAAAAGATTAATTTAATTCAATAGAAGATTTGATTTAAATTATGCAGCTTTTGTCGAAACCAGATTCTGTTGTAAGTTAGGAGCATCATTGCAGTCTTGCACACAACTTAAATCTTTAAGTCGTCGATATGCAGCAGGAGAATGTGCTGCTGTGAAAAACATTATTATAATTAATAAGCAGATTGGGTAATAATGGTTGACAGTTGACAATGAATGGATATTGTTTATTTATTCTTTAAATCGTTTCAATTAAAAAAATTCCTCCGCTTGTTACATTGCCTTTCTCATCTTTCTGGCAATAAGTGGTTTCCACGGTAGAAAAAAGTCTTATCTTTAGAAGCAATCCATTCATCGTCAATCCTCAAAATTAACTGAAACACCTAACAGTCACCACAGGGTGTCCAGATGGGTGAAACTGCTGATCATCTGCGATAATATTCTTAAACCATGATGTCAATTTATTGGATAATACTTTCAAAGATCTCGGGCATTAATCTTGAACGTTAGTAGGCCTATAATTAGAGACCAGAGTGTTTTCTCACCACCCCTATAAGTAAGTCACTCACGAGAATCTTCTAGAAAGTCAGATAAAATCTTCCAGTCCGAAGGGAAGATGCCATGTTAAGTTTACATGATTTAAAAAATGTAGGTCTAATGCCACGCATTTGCAATAGCATACGCTATTGTACTTTCATTTCCGCTATCATGCTAATTAGAATCCAATTAAGATTTGAGTGCATTGCGGATCAAACGTGTGTCGATGACAAGTTGATCTTTAGAGCGATTCAACAAACGCCTCAGTCGAGAACGCTACGTGTACTGTCACGCGTATTTACATAAATAAGCGCGAAAATATATTTCTGTCACGTCGTAATGCAATGCATAATTTATCTTTCGCAGCGTCACGATTATATTAATTCTCCTTATTTCTTGTGCAAATGTTTGTTGTCATTCCGCGTTATTCTTACGTATCAATGAATATTTCCACGAGTCATGACATGTAGATAGATTTATGCAATTATTTCGCGACAGAAAAAAATTGCAAAAAGACTACGAGGTAGCAAATCCGCTATCGAATGCATCTCTTTTTGCTAATAAATTAATTTTATTGCGGGTATTTGCGGGTAAGCGATATGCGTATGACATTGATTGATATTCGCCCGAACCATGATATATAGTAAACAAATCTATTACAGTATCGTCGCAGCTCGGCAAAAACGGAATTGGAAAAAGAGCGCGGAACAGTAAAACCACGATCGAAGGAATCTGCCGAAAAAGTTCCATTCGTCACAGCAGCGCTGACGCACTTAGGTTTTTATATTCTTATGTTCCTGGGATTTATTAATCAATTATTCTTCGTTCCGAAGGTTGCGCGTGAGAAGAACAGAGAGGTACGGCGACATAGCAATTTACAGTTGACTAAATATAAAAATTGTAACACACTGGCAACTCGCAAACAAACACAACGCTCATACAGGGTGTCCCGGATCTTTTCGAAACGAAACATTGTGAAGATTAATCAGATCAGACTGAGAAGAAAAGTCCTTCACCATTTTGCACATAACTACGCAAATTCTCAAGTCATCAATTAAAAAAGCGTCTGTAGATGTGGGAATTTCCATTTATTAATAACTTAATTACCATTGCGATTTTTGCAAAATAGTACTTGACTTTTCTTCTCAGTTTGATCTGATTAATCTTCACAATTTTTCGCTTCGAGAAGATCGCGGACACCTTGCATATTATCTCATTAAATATATATGTATGCATATGCTCGTCATGTTTTAGGGATACGCCCCGCTCTATGATAATTTTGAGAAATTTTACCTCAGATATGTATACAGAAGAGTCAGGGATTGCTGGAACAAGCCAATATGTTCTGTTCCCGGAGCAACGGTCACACTGAAAGATCGAGTCACTCACGATTACGGATGGACGTTTCAGTAAGTTGTGATCGCGTACAGCGCAACGTATTCGATAGGGTTGAAGTCCTAAATTTTTATCTCCGACAGGTTTACCGGAACTCAAACGGAATGCATAAATTTGGGTTCTTACAATTATTTGGGATTCGCCGAGAACACTGGCAAATGCACCATCGACAGCATCAATACGCTCAAGAAGTTCGGTTGCGCCACTTACAGCACACGCCTCGAATTAGGTACGTATCACGGGGAATCTTTGTACTTTTCTTTTTGTGCGCGTTAGACTGAAACATTCGATTGTACATATTTAAAGCGAAGGAGCAAGAGAAGAACAAAGCGTACCTATTGTTCAACAATGTCGTAATAATAAAAAGATATATTTTGGCTTCGGATGGAAAATGTGATAAAACATAAGATATTTTTATTTCTGAGAGTTTTTCTAATTTTGCCAGAGTTAACAGAAGTTAGCATTATTATAACAGCATATTTTTCACACCAAATGAAGTAAAAAAGTCTAATATTTTTTCCGACAAATAGTTGCCGACGTCCATTAAATATATAAAAAAGCACCGTTATATAAATTTTTATAAGAAATTACAAACTGTCATTTTTGGCTGCTTGGCAGTTGCAGTATCAATATGTGGTCACAACCGATATTCACATTATTTAATAAGTAGCCACGACCAGTATTGCCGAAAACAAAACTGACAAAGACATTTTATATCTGTTATAAAAAATTAGCGTGTGAGAAAATCGAATAGGTCGTTTTTATTATGCACTAGGAACTATGCCGATACACCAAGAATTGGAGAAATTGACTGCCAAATTTATGGGAGTGGAAGATGCCATAGTATTTGGAATGGGATTTGCGACGAATGCTTTAAGTCTGCCTTCTCTAGTTGGAAAGGGTTGTTTGGTTCTCAGTGATGCAAAGAATCACGCGTCACTCATTCTCGGGCTGCGATTGTCGGGTACAACGGTGCGAGTTTTCAAGCATAACAGTACGTAATACAATATTCATTTGCAGTGCATACTTCTGATCTCAACGATTATAATTGTCGTTTATTATTTGGAAGTACAAAAAAGTCACGATTTGTCATAGATATGAAAGACTTAGAGGAATGTTTGAAAAAGGCCGTTGTTTTTGGACAGCCGAAGACAAGCGCACCTTGGAGGAAGATAGTTATCGTTGTTGAGGGTATTTACTCTATGGAGGGCTCGATTGCTTGCTTACCCAAGATAATAGAACTGAAAAAGAAGTACAAAGTTCGTAAGCAGTCTTAATTATCAATTTTGATCTGAGATTTTCTTATGAATAATATGAAATTCTAATTGTGTTGAATCTAGGCCTATCTTTATTTGGACGAGGCTCACAGTATAGGTTCCATGGGAAAGCATGGGAGAGGAATTTGCAATTATTATAATATTGATCCACGTAATGTTGACATACTGATGGGAACGTTCACTAAGAGCTTCGGCTCGGCTGGTGGATATATAGCTGGCACGAAGGTAATTTATTAATTAATGTAATAATTTAATGTGATAAAGCGCGCCTGGCCTATGCGAGCCAAACTGCCAATATCAGTGCGTAATTAATTTATTGTTTGCAAAGAGCATAGTTTTAATAAGGCAAGCGGCATACCGTTATCTCGACTATCTCTTTCTGTCTAAAAGTTTAGCTCATTATATCAATTAGGCTAAATTTTATAACATCTCGTTTAATACTTGTACCATTATATTATTAAAGTTATTACTATTAATTGAAGTATCTGAGCCATCTACCTTCTAACGTGTGTATGTGTTCAATCGGAATATTAATTTCAGGCATTGATAAACCATTTAAGAATATACTGTCATGCGCATACGTACGCATCAGCAATGTCCCCGCCAGTTGCGCAACAAATTATCGGCGCAATGCAAATCATCGCAGGAGAGGATGGCACGGATGAAGGTGAAAGACGTTTGAAGCAGTTAGCTAGAAATACAAGATACTTCAGACGCAGACTGAATCAAATCGGAGTTATAATCTACGGAAACGAGGATTCGCCCGTTGTGCCTATGCTAGTTTATCTGTTTTCTAAGATCGGGTAAGAGCAAGGACATTATTTTCAAAATTAAAGGCAAGTCTCGCTATTTCCGACTGTCCGTCATTCTTGCATCGGCACGTTTTAACGTTATCGGCAACTTTAACGCGACCTATTTCTACCAGAGCGGTTGAAATGATAGGTTTTTGAAAATATACGTTATATAAGGGGAGAAATATCTACTTATTACTTTTAATTCTGTTCAACATTTATTAAAAACATAAAATGTATTGTTCTGTAAATTCGAATAATTTTTGTAAGAAACTACAAATTAGTCATTTTGACCTCTTTGGTAATTGTTAATGACAAAAGAATGACGAAACATTAAAATTCATATTTAAAATATAATAAAACAAATATATACTTATATGTGCATGCATGTTGCGAATTTTTCTGTGTGAAGTGTATAAAATTTTTCGTTAATATGTTCAACAGTGCAGTGGTACGTACTTTCATAGCGCATAAAATTGCAACTGTCGGCGTTGGGTTCCCAGCTACGCCGTTAATGGAGGGCAGAATTAGATTTTGTCTTTCTGCTGGGCATACGAAGGAACAGTTAGACTATGTGAGTAACATTATTAAGTTGAAATGTTTACTTCATATTACTTTATGTTAAAATATTTACTGTGTTTAATGGCCTTGCTATTGTATATTTCAGGTATTGTCGCATGTCGAGAATATCGCTGACATGTTAGGATTAAGGTATTCAAGAAAACCTCGTATTACCGCAAAAATAGAATATTACTCCGATAACGAAATAGAATGATCTACCTCATAAAGTAATAAATTGCTAGACAATTTATTTAAGGAGTATTGAAGTAGCCAAGAGCTTTTTAATGCCATAAGATACAGTTACTCCCATTATTGTATGGTGTAAAATATTGTCGATTATATTTTAAGGTATACGTTAAATTCGCAAGTGTTAACTCAAATTCCAATAAAAATACTATAATCAGTCTGAATATTTCTGTAATACGAAAATATCGCATCAATCAATGTGCATTTCTAAAAGAAAAAAAAATCGATTTAATTAGCAGAAAGTTGCGTATAATTTTATAATTAAGACAAATAATGTATTATTGAAAAATGAATCCATATCCAAATATTAATGGAAGTAATTGTATTAATGGGAATACACACACATGTAGATACTATACAGTTCGTATATCAAACGAAAGAGAATTTTATTATAGTTATTACAACAAGTTCGCGCTTTTCTAACAACAATACGAAGGCATACGAATGTGTTAATATTTATATAGTGATTCACACACGCCTGTGACAGTTGTGATGATTCGTGTGTATTTGTCGGACACACGGATTTAATAAAGTTGGTAGAAAGATTCAACGTTGAGGATTAAATGAAACGTTGAGAAAGATGATACCATCGGATTATCAACTAAGTATATATAACGATAATTGTATTATTTACAAATTTTCATAGTATTTGCGCGTAGTGCAGCAGAAATTCAGTTCTGAGATCACAAAAGGACAAAAATCAAAGATATCGCGGCGACTGCGAACATGCCGAATTTCCTACACTTTAACTGCCTCTTTATGTCATATCTCGCGGTACGTTGTAAAATCGTTCGAACTAACGTTCGTTCGGTTCATTTATTTCATACAGTGGAGACTATTGACAGAGACAAACATCTGCCAAGATCAAGTCCGAACGGACGATTTTTCCTATACATTTATTTCCATAATTATGTGATTCTATCTCATTGGAGAACGAAAATTTGCTTCCAGCCATTTAGGCCCAAGCAAAAGAGAAAAATTATTTTCTAATGTACGAGAGAATGAACTTTAAATGTGAAACGATACGTAAGTCGAAATAATCAATGAAACGATAGAAACCATGTTAAATTATCGCTTTGCTGAATATCCAACGATCGCTGTGTTGAAATCCATTTTCACGTATACATTAAAAGTACTGCCATCGTTATGATCTCGTAGCATTTACGAAGACATATATGATCGACAGATCAAACAGATGAATAAGTATGCACAAGGACTTACATAAAAAAATCCAATCATATTTTGATCGTAACATTCTTTTTTATAAAAAGAAAAAAAATGATATGAACATAAGTAAATAAATTCTGATTGTTGTATGATATATTACGATTTTTTCAACACAACGTATCTCGAATTTATTACCATATCGAACAATATTAAATAAATCAAACAAGATATTTCAACATTTTAAATAAATTCAGAATTACATGAGACTTTTCATGCATGTACATACAATTAGAGCTACGAAATTGAAAATTGGCACGCATTAATTGAAAAATGGGCTGTTTTAAAACAGAAATATTAAAAATGCGTATTAATGCTGTAAACATCTCTGTATAATGTCTTAATGCTTATACATACGCGTCAGTGATATATCCCTGTATTTTGAGAAAGATTTGATAGAAACTCCCGCTTATATATTATATTATTATTGTCACATAGATTATACCAGCTGATTAGCTTTTAAAAATATTACTATAAGCTTTAAGGGGATCCCATTACTATATATAACTACAATGACAACACGTACGCAACATAGAACCTTCAAGACTTTTATGAAATTTCGCAAGTTTCTTCGATATATCCTCACAATAGGTTTGGTTAAAGTTTAAAACTTAAACGTATACGTGCCGTAAATTTGTCGAAAACTGCGAAATGGATCGCTTACAAGACGTCATGAGTCAAACAGCTCTGGTTTAGAAATAGCTCTAGGGTTTAGAAATACAACTGCCTCGATTCGAGATAGATTGTACGTACAAATGTTCTGAAACGTTTTAGATATATCATACATTGTGTTTTATGTTTTCGTATTATATATATATATATAGTTTAACGTTTCGCGTTAAGTACATTTTGCACAAACCTTCCCACTGGATGAAGCTGCTCGACAACATATAAAATACGTTACGTTAATCGCATATCAATTTTATATGTCTGGTATTGTAAAGAAAAAAAAATTTATGAAAGGATTCTCACCTGACAATCCGCAGTAAAACCACAAGACAAGCGAAACATACAAGTAGCGTCCAGTTGTGCATTTGACATTCAATATGTTTCTCTGATTTTGAGTAGTTTGTACAGCGTTATATTTAACATAAAGGTTCTGAATCGTGCAAACATTGCACTTATACCTGATTACGTCTAATATGAAATATGACGATACGATAAAAACCGATCGCAACAGCCATGTCCTTTCTAGCTGTGCTTTTTTATATCCTTATGCAGTTGTTATACCTCGAAATAACAGTCGGCTCGGGTATGACTTCTGAATAAGCGTGACGGACACAAAGCTTTTTTTTTCTTTTTTTTTATGGAATAACCTGCAATCTTTGTGTTGTTCCACATTATTCCACAGATTTATATGTTAAAAGCACAAGATATCTAAGGAATACTATTATTACGTATTATTACTGTTACTTTCCACACTTAACACATTCTTAAAGTGCATTAGCATCATACATGCAAGAACATAGCTGTGTGAAGCAGAAAGCTATTTTATATTAGATGAGTTTCTTTTTTAAGCTTAATGTCAGCCTCGATCGTTGGAAAAATCAATGAGACATATCTGTTATAAAATTATAATTATAAAATTTTTAGCCAATTTTAACATTCCTGAATTTCGCGGTATACGCATTCCTAACAATCATAAGGCTATTTTTGTAATTAGCAAAGCTAATGCTCTCTTTGGTAAAATATATTACTATTATTATTATATTACAAGACCTGATTTATTGAACTACACTTCCATGCATTTTATCTTATGCATGTATAATGATGTTTAACTTTATGATACTATAATTGAATAACAAAAAGTATCTTGGAACATTTTGGAAAATAACTTTGTCTTATCTTTATGTGAGATATATATTTTATTTAGTTATTTACTCATTAAAATATTTTGTATTCTGCTAAGAATAATACTATTGGTACATTTGCAATTTTGTGGATAATATGGAGGTTCTACCGTCACAGTATCTTCGATCTTTAGAATATCACCTTCTTCTTTAACTGAAAATCGATTCTCCAGGAATAATTGTTTAATGGTATTTTTCCTATTAGTGATTGCTGCCTGGGAAAAATTTGTACATGATGGTAGAAATAATTCTGGCACGATCCTTTCTTCTGCTGATATTATTTCGATGTTTTTGACAGAATGACCTGATACTATTTTCAAACTGTATGTTGTAGGTTCTTTAGGCTGCAGAAGCACAACACTGTAAATTAACATATTACTATTTACAACTGAACAAAATTAGAGAATTGTCAGTCACAAGAATTAATTTTTTTAAAATATTAAATTAACAGGTAAAAATGTTGAGACGTTTTACATGTATAAATATTCTTGACACACCAAATAAGGTAATTATTATTACCATATAAGGTAAACAAACCAAGTAAGGTAATACAAATAAATAGGAAATATGACTTGGAAATGTAAATAATATGTATCTCAAGATACTTTATAAAGACGAATAATAGACACCAAACAAATATATTTCATAAGATAAAATTTGTATCAAGCATTATTATGGTAAAATTTTACAAGTTTAATTTGACAAAAATCATATTGACAATTTTCCTAACCTCTCTGATACCGGATCGATTGTATAAACAATACCACAGTGAACATCTTCATCTTTCATCGTTATTTTAACTTCTTTTCCCACATAACTGTTAAATAAGATTGGATCATTCTTATATATATTATGTGAGAAATCTGAATCCTCGTTTTCCGCAGTCATATTTCATTGTTGACAGGGAAAAATCTGTAAGCCATAGGTGCGTTCAACAAACTCATCGGTTACATTGGCTGCGTTCAGAAAACACAACGGTTACACAACGGTTGAGTAATTCGTCAACGTTATTGGTCTGAATGTAAGGATCTAACAGTAAGGACCAGTAGTTACTAAGCGCTCAATGAGCGCTTTGTTTTCTGAACGCAACCAGTGGATGCATCCAGAACCACGAAAGCTCACTGAGCGCTCAATGAGCTTTTACATTTGATTGGTATATTCTTTTAGATTTTTAAGAATATACACCAATCAGATGCAAGAGCTCACAGTGAACATTCGTGGTTCTGGATACACCCATTGGGTGCATTCAGTACTACAACCGCTCACTGAGCGCTCAATGAGCTTTTACATTTGATTAAAGCCAGCGGCACACGGTGCTTGGTTTTGTGCTGGATTGCTTGCTGGATGAAAATACTGCGTTCTGATTGATACATTTCCGAAGATGGATGGAAATGCACCAATCAGAACGCAATATTTTCATCCAGCAAGCAATTCAGCACGAAAACAAGCACCGTGTGCCGCTAGCTTTATACATAAGGAGAGCAATAGGAGTTAGCAGTCTAGTGTATTATATAGAAGTCTGTGGTTCTGTCTCTATTACGGATTTTGGGCTAAAGCTAAAGCTTAAGCTAAGACTCCATGCATGCGGTAAAGCTCCGGCAAATGCTGGGGTGACTAATCAGGAGACATGCGCATGCCGGAGCTTGCCGCAACCGGATCTGCGCTTGTCTCCTGATTGGTCACCACAGTATTTGTCGGAGCTCTACGCCATACATGGAATCTACGCTTAACTTTTGTTAGTTTCAAAATTTTCGTTATTGTGTCGCTATCTGTCGTTTCTGCTAAAAATTCAGATCGTAGTACAACTCAACGATAAGTTAGACGAAATGTCATTTTTGACAGCATAATCTAACAGCAGGGAAAATAAACTTTTGTCTCTCTAATAACGAAATATAAAGACGATAATATAATATAAAAAGCTTGATGAGAATATATCTAACCTTTAAAACGTGCAATTCACAATGGTGATATATGGTGTCTACATCGTATCAAAGTCTGGTGGTTTGATTTTTAATCATGATCACAATGTTCCAAAAATTGAAGTTGAAAAGTCTTTTAATTATCCACTAGATATTAAGTTGAATTATGAGAATAAGAAGGTGATGGTAGCTTTCGGGCAAAGAGATGGAATCAATGGTAAGAATATACCACATATACAATACCTACTTTTTTCAAACTGATAATATTGTTCAGAATTATATGTGGTAAAAGGAAACTCATGGCATATACATATGCTATTGAAGTATAGTCGAAAGTTTAATAAGTTATTGTAAAAATTATGAAACATTTTCAGTGGGTCATGTATTAACAGCTGTAAATGGAATCACAGTCACAGGACGTGAACTTGAAGATGGAAGAGATGTATTGGATATGTTGGAGCAGCCAGAAAATTTTCCTATAACACTGAAATTCAGTCGAGCAAAGATGACCACAAATGAGAAAATATTTTTAGCCTCAATGTTTTACCCTCTTTTTGCTATAGCAAGCCAACTAAGTCCTGAACCACGTAGTTCCGGAATTGAAGTTCTAGAGGCAGATACATTTCGTTTATATTGTTTCCAGACATTGACAGGAATTAAGTTTATGATAGTAGCTGAACCTTCTCAGCCTGGTATGGAGATTTTGTTAAAGAGAGTATATGACTTGTACGCTGACTATGCACTAAAGAATCCATTTTATGCACTGGAAATGCCCATCCGATGCGAACTGTTTGAAACTAATCTACAGACATTGTTAGAAACAGTTGAAAAATCTGGGATAAACAATGTATAATTTATATTAATCATATAGGTTATTTATAAATTTATTAGTGGATTATTTATAAATGTACAATTCTTTTAAATTCCTTACTAAGGAATTTTGAATTAAACTAAACATTTCTTTTTCATAAATTTCAATTTTACTGGATAATTATATATTTTTACATTTCCTGTTAAAATATGCAGTTGATTATTAGATTATATGATATAAACCAATAAAAATTCACATAATGTTAACACAATTTGTAGAAATATTTAAAGATTAAGTCTTTCATAGGCTAGGGATGTAAGAGATGTGATATTTGTACTCTAAATATATATATATATATATATATAATAGGTATATAATTAGGTATATATAATAGATAAGGAATTAGGTACATATAATAGGTAGGCAAAATAGTTTATGTGGTTTATATATATACTTTTTTGCTTTATTATATAATATAATTGACATTATTCTGGTTTATACTTTCTGGTTTATACAGTCATATTGTTATTGTTTACTAACTTCAATTTTGAGTGTTATTAACATTTTATTCTTTCCATGTTGCAAACCACAGAAGTTTCTTACTTAATAAAATGGATACAGTATTTTCTGCCATCAATAATATACTTTGGAAGTTGTTATTCACATTGTTAAGAATAGAAGCATTTGTATACTTTTAATATATTTTCAAATAAAATATAACTACAAAATATCTACAATCGATTTTGAGGATTCTATTATAGCAACATATTTCACTGTGTCTTTAAATCCTTTTCTTTTCTTAATCTGCAAAATAAAAAATAACTTTAAAAATGTTTCTAAGCATATATATGCAAAAGTAATGTCGGAAAACTTCGGCCAAGACCGGACGAAATTATCAGTACATTATTTTCATTGTCAAATTATCTATGCAAATGTTGCGTATACGTGTGGAAGTTGCAGGGGCATCTAATCTGAAATAGCCGTGGATATTCAAATCTTCACGTGTAGCTTTAATGGCCTCTTTAATGGCGAAGAACGCAGACGATACCAAGAATAATGGCTTATCGAAAACCTGTAAATGTTCGAGCGATAACAGCATTATATCAGTATTAATATAACGCTAGCATTTACTTTTTTTTAGTAGTTTTTTAGGTAGTTATGTTATAATACAGGTCAATACATTGGTGTCTGTTACGTGTAAAGATAATAAATTGTATAAATTGTAAAGTATGTGTAATAAATTGCATTAGAGAAAATCATATCTTAGAAGAGTATATCGCTCTCGGATTGGAAGCTTCTTTTAACAAGGAAACGTTACATTCTTTAGATATGTCGGTGAAATCTGGCAGTTTATATAAACCTGGGCCTATATTAAACAAAATCCCCGTTGGTGAATAGGTCATTTCCTCTAATGTGAATAAACCATATCCTTGGATAAAACCAAAAAGGTAGATTAATGCAATCCAATAATAAAATTGCAAAAAGACTGCGGGGCGGCAAATCCGCTGTCGATTGCATTTTCTTTAATAAAATTAACAATTTCATTTCGCGTAATTTTTATGTGATGTACATCGATTGATATCCGCATGAACCATGATATGCAGCAAGCAAATTCATCACAGTACCCTCGGAGTCCGGCAGAAATGGAATTGGAGAAAGAGTACGGGACAGCAGAACCGCGATCGAAGGAATCCGCCGAAAAAGTCCCATTCGTCACGGCAGTGCTGACGCACTTAGGTTTCTACATTCTTATGTTCCTCGGGTTTATTAATTATTTGTTCTTCGTTCCGAAGGTTGCGCTCGAGAAGAACAGAGAGGTACGGCGACGCAGTGATTTACAGTTAATTAAACATAAAAATTACAAGGCATTCGCAACTCGCAAACATAATGCTTATAGTATACCGTCTCATTTTAAATATGTGTGTATATACATATACTTGTCATGTTTTAGGGATACGCCCCGCTCTATGATAATTTTGAGAAATTTTACCTCAGATATGTATACAGAAGAGTCAGGGATTGCTGGAACAAGCCAATATGTTCTGTTCCCGGAGCAACGGTCACACTGAAAGATCGAGTCACTCACGATTACGGATGGACGTTTCAGTAAGTTGTGATCGCGTACAGCGCAACGTATTCGATAGGGCTGAAGTCCTAAATTTTTATCTCCGACAGGTTTACCGGAACTCAAACGAAATGTATAAATTTGGGTTCTTACAATTATTTGGAATTCTCCAAGAACACTGGCAAATGCGCCATGGATAGCATCAATACGCTCAAGAAGTTCGGTTGCGCCACTTACAGTACACGCCTCGAATTAGGTACGTATCACGGGGAATCTTTGTACTTTTCTTTTTGTGCGCGTTAGACTGAAACATCCGATTGTACATATTTAAAGCGAAGGGGCAAGAGAAGAACAAAGCGTACCTATTGTTCAACAATGTCGTAATAATAAAAAGATATATTTTGGCTTCGGATGGAAAATGTGATAAGAAATAAGATATTTTTATTTCTGAGAGTTTTTCTAATTTTGCCAAAGTTAACAAAAGTTAGCATTATTATAACAGCATATTTTTCACACCAAATGAAGTAAAAAAGTCTAATATTTTTTCCGACAAACAGTTGCCGACGTCCATTAAATATATAAAAAAACACCGTTATATAAATTTTTATAAGAAATTACAAACTGTCATTTTCGGCTGCTTGGCAGTTGCAGTATCAATATGTGGTCACAACCGATATTCACATTATTTAATAAGTAGCCACGACCAGTATTGCTGAAAACAAAACTGACAAAGACATTTTATATTTGTCATAAAAAAATAGCGTGTGAAAAAATCGAATAGATCGTTTTTATTATGCACTAGGAACTATGACGATACACCAAGAATTGGAGAAACTGACTGCCAAATTTATGGGAGTGGAAGATGCTATAGTATTTGGAATGGGATTCGCGACGAATGCTTTAAGTCTGCCCTCTCTGGTTGGGAAGGGTTGCTTGGTTCTCAGCGATGCAAAGAATCACGTGTCACTCATTCACGGAATGCGATTGTCGGGTGCAACGGTGCGAGTCTTCAAGCATAACAGTACGTAATACAATATTCATTTGCAATGCATACTTCTGATCTCAACTCAATTATAATTGTCGTTTATTATTTGGAAGTACAAAAAGGTCACGGTTTGTCATAGATGTGAAAGACTTAGAGGAATGTTTGAAAAAAGCCGTCGTTTTTGGACAGCCGAGGACAGGCGAACCTTGGAAAAAGATACTCATCGTTGTTGAGGGTATTTACTCTATGGAGGGCTCGATTGTTTGCCTACCCGAAATAATAGAACTGAAAAAGAAATACAAAGTTCGTAAGCAGTTATCTTAATTGTCAATCTGATTTGATATTTTCTTGTGATTAACATGGAATTCTAATTGCGTTGAATCTAGGCTTATCTTTATTTGGACGAGGCTCATAGTATAGGTTTCATGGGAAAACATGGGAGAGGAATTTGCAATTATTACGATATTGATCCACGTAATGTCGATATACTGACGGGATCATTCGCTAAAAGCTTCGGCGCGATTGGTGGATACATAGCTGGCACGAAAGTAATTTATTAATTGATGTAATAATTTATAATTAATTTAATATGACAAAGCGCGCCTGTCCTATGCGAGCCAAATGTATGCCAATATTAGTGCGTAATTAATTTATTATTCGCAAGAAGCACAGCTTTAATTAGCTAAGACGGCGTACCGTTATCTCGATTTTCAGTCGAGCCAAAGTTTGGCTCACTGTATATCAATTAAGCTAGCTTTTATTATATCTCGTTTAATTCAGGTGTCGTTATATTATTAAATTTATTAATATTAATTTAAGCATATGAGCGATCTACCTTCTAACGTGTATATGCGTTCAATCGAAAATATTAATTTCAGGCGTTGATAAACCATTTGAGAATATACTGTCATGCGCATACGTACGCATCAGCAATGTCCCCGCCAGTTGCGCAACAAATTATCAGCGCAATGCAAATCATCGTAGGGGAGGGCGGCATGGATGAAGGTAAAAAACGCATAAAGCAGTTAGCTAGAAATACAAGATACTTCAGACGCAGACTGAATCAAATCGGAGTTATAATCTACGGAAACGAGGATTCGCCCATTGTGCCTATGCTAGTTTATATGTATTCTAAAATCGGGTAAGAGCAAGGATATTATCTTCAAAATTAAAGACCAGTCTCGCTATTTCCGAATATTCGTCATTCTGGTAACGGCACGTTTTAACGTTACTGGCGACTTTAACGCGATCTCTATTTCTACCAGGACGGTTGAAATTACAGGTTTTTGAGAAGATACGTTATACAAGGGGATATCTATTTATTTCTTTTAACTCTGTTCAACGTTCATTAAAAATATAAAATGTATTGTTATGCAAATTCGCATAACTTTTGTAAGAAATTGCAAATTAGTCATCGTGACTTCTTTGGTAATTGTTAATGACAAGAGAATAACGAAACATTAAAATTAATAAAGTAAAATATTAATAAAATATTTAATATATATAATGAAACGTAAATATATATTTATACATATGCATGCATGTTGTGAATGTGTTTGTATAAAATATATCCAATTTTTCGTTAACATGTTCAACAGTGCAGTGATACGTACTTTGATAACGCATAAAATTGCAACTGTCGGCGTCGCATTCCCAGGTACGTCGTTAATGGAAGGCAAAATTAGATTTTGTGTTTCTGCTGGGCATACGAAGGAACAGTTAGATTATGTAAGCAACGTTATTAAATTAATATGTTTACTCCATGTTACTTTATGTTAAAATGTTTACTGTGTTTAATGGTCTTGCTATTGTGTGTTTCAGGCATTGTTGCATATCGAGAATATCGCTGATATGTTAGGATTAAGGTATTCAAGAAAACCTCGTACGACCGCAAAAATAGAATATTATTCCGATAACGAGATGGAATTAATAATTTAATTATTTAATCATTTAATTTATATAATAATAATAATTTAATTTAGTTAATTTAATAATTTTGAAATTTCCGTAAGTCGGTAAGTTAACAAAAGTTAGGACATTATTAATTTTAAATATTAAATAATATATTCTTGATAGTAAGTAAAATAAAAAAGTCTAATATTATTTTTTCTTTCGACGAATAGTTAGCGAGATAAGTTAAATGTTGAAAAAATTACCAAGTTTTCTTTAAATATTTAAAAAAATATTAGGCAAATGAGAAAATGTTTCAGACAAAAGTTGTTAAAATTAATTGGTAGGAAAAGAAGATATAATATAAAATTGGGATTTCTATTTTAAAAAATTAAGTTGACCTTCAACTGACCTTGAAAATGCCCTCCAAATAAAAAACTGATAATGCCTTCTCTTTCCCCTTCGAAATCATGGAAAACGTGTATGAGCTTTTTTTAATATCTTTCGTAGTTTTCGAGATTTTTTAATGCGAATGTTAAAATGGGTCACCCTATATAATGAGAGTATGCATATATTAATTATATATATTTTTACTTGATAAAATGGACACAGTGTTTTCTGCTATCAATAATATATTTCGGAAGTTATTATTTATTTTGTTAAGAATAGAAGTATACAAATATATATATATATATATATTTTCAATATATTTTCAAATACAAAAATAACTACAAAATATCTAGAATTTATTTTGAGGATTCTATTATGGCACCATATTCCACTGTTTCTTTAAATCAGGTTCCTTGATCTGCAAAATAATACGATTTGTAAAACATTTCTAAAAATATACATGCAAAAATAATATTGCAAGACTTTGGCCGGGGTGGAATGAGATTATCAGTACATCACCTTTATTGTCAAATTATCTATGCATGCGTTACGTATACGTGCGGAAGTTGCAGGAGCATCTAATCTGAAATAGCCGTTGATATTCATATCTTCACGTGCAGCCTTAACGGCCTCCTTAATGGCAAAGAACGCAGACGATGCCAGGAATAATGGCGGTTCACCCACAGCCTGTAAATGTTGGAACAATAACAGCGTTACAACAGTATTTGCCTTTTTTGCAAGTTACGTTGTAGCACAGGTGAGCACATTGATGTGTGTACGGGTAAAGATAAAAAACACTGTATTATTGAATTGCATTAGAGAAAATCACACCTTAGAAGAGTATACCGCTCTCGGATTGGAAGCTCCTTTTAACAAGGAAACATTAAATTCTTTAGGTATGTCGGTGAAACCTGGCAGCTTGTATGCACCTGGACCTCTACTAAACAAAACCCCCGTTGGTGAATAGATCATTTCCTCTAATGTGAATAAACCGTATCCTTGGATAAAACCGCCTTCGACCTGTCCTATATCGATAGCTGGATTTAAACTTTCGCCCAAATCCATAACAATGTCGGTTCGTAGAACCTATTTTAAAGAAATTATTCATCAACTCAGAGGAATTAATTTTATAATAACATCGCTTATAATAATATAGTTATTGCTTTGTTATAACTTTGTTATTTTTGTTATCATAACGTTATTATAACAACTTTCTTATGACGATTCAGGACGAGGCGCCTAAAAGAGACCACCTGAATAATTTTGAAAATATGCAAGATAGAAAGAAATATTAAATGCCGAAGTTGTAGGATTTTAAATGATGCAATATATAGTATATAATACTAATACGATTTTGAACAATGTCATCAAGGTCACCTTGAACTTTTTAAATAGAAAGCCCCATTTTTATTATATCATCTTTTTCCACCAATTAATTTGACCAACTTTTGTCTGAAACATTTTTTTATTTACCTAATGTTTTTTGGGATATTTAAGGAAAACTTGTAATTTTTTCAATATTTATCTTACGTTATCTCGGTAATTATTTGTCAAGAAGAAAAATATCTCGAAAAATATCAGGCAAATAAGAAAATGTTTCAGACAAAAGTTGTTCAAATTAATTGGTGGAAAAAGATGATATATAATAAAAATGGAGGTTTCTATTTGGAAAATTCAAAGTGGCCTTCCTGTAACCTTGATGACGCTATTCAAGGTCATACTAGAGCATTACGTCCCTACAACTTCTGTACTTGTTACAAAAGAAAAAAAATTCCAATAAAAGATCATACCTCGTGGTCGCCGGTAAGACAGTCAATCTCGACTTCCGTACAGGCGACGCCGTATGTGAAGTAGTTAAACGGATTTCCCGTGTTAGTCTCGAAAGAATAGCCGATATCGGGCGTTTGGTAGAAACCGGTAGCGGACAGACTTATCCGTTGAAAGTAAGCCGTTTTTATCCAATTCTCCCAAGTGCCATTTGGATCGCTGTCCATTATTGGTTGCAACCGTTTCATAATCTCCTTACACGCATTCTGCCAAGTTAATTCGGTCACTTAGCTCGTGTCTATTTGCATACACACAGTAGGATACTACTTATTTTCATTACCATAGTAGCCATGCCATTAAGATCAGAGCCAGCACTAGCCGCGGTAGCGGACGTATTGGGTACCTTATCGGTAGCCGTTTCGACGATGTGTATCTTGTTCGGGTTTACTTTTAACACTCTGCTGGCAACCTAGCATAACACGGTATTTCATACTTCACGTTACTTTACTTACTTTACGTGGAAATAGGGACACGATAAAATATAAACATAGAATATGTAGAATAAAGCAAATGTGTTAACTGAGATGAAAAATGCTGAAATGTAGTGGTAACGAGAAATATCCGGCCATCAACTGGGAATCAGAAAAGTGTATCCACGTCTCGACCGCATCATCTCGCAGCTTCTACCCAGTCAGAACCATAACGTTGATTTGACGTTGAGATGGTCGATGAAATGTTAATTCAAGCCTTATCGACGTCGAATCAACGTTGTGGTTCTGACTGGGTAAGAGAAGATACAAACGTGATCCTGAATCATTATTCATACCTGAGTCATTTTCGTATGCAGACCTTGTCCCATCTCAACGCCACCGTGACTAATCAGAACGGAACCGTCGGTGTAGATATGCACAAGCGCGCCGCCTTGATTCAAAAACAATGCGGTAAATGCTATACCGAACATCGTGGGTACAACTGTGATACCTCTCTTTTTGTATCGATTCTCTCTGCAAGATCAATCGTTGACTTTAGTCATTATATTGTTTGTGTCTAGAAAGGTGACTACTGTGTACTCACTTATTGTAACGTTGCACTTCGGCCAACCTTTCGTTATAACGGGATGACGCTAAACATTCGGTCCAGCAACGGCCCACGGTGCAATTGAGAAGTTGTTGGTTGTAGTGCGTTACGTCGCCTTCTTTGTACAAATTCAACTCGGACAACTGCCGGGGAATAAGACCTTTTCTGTGATTCGGTGTGTATTTCTCGTTTATAATCATAAAATATAAATTGGAAGAGCCAAGGTATAATAGAGGGAGAACTAGTTATACTCTTATTCTTATTTAGGGTAAGATCCCAGTCAGAACGACAACGTTGGTTCGACGTTGATTCGACGTTGAAATGTTCGACGAACCGTCGAATCAATTCAACCCTCATCGACGTCGAATTAACGTTGAGTCAACGTTGCGGTTCTGGCTGGGATATTCTTTCGCTTATGATACCTCATCGTGCGACATAGAACATTACCTTCACGACATCCACTTTCAAGTAATCAGCAATCTGCCGGATAATATTCTCAGCCACGAACATTCCTTGTGGCCCGCCGAAACCTCGGAAAGCCGTGTTCGACGGCAAATTCGTTTTACAAGCGTATCCGTACACTTCCGACACTGGGATTCTATACGCATTTTGAAAGTGGAACATGGCACGCTCCAATACCTGCGGACATTCATGATCATCCTTCTTTTTTAATAGGCAGATTTTTGCGCGTGCTCAATTAGCAGAATGAGATTTTTAACGAACGCCAGTGATCTCTTGATCACACTGTGCAATCGTACTTACCGATAGTGACAGATCGTAAGAGTAGCCTGCATTATTGTATATGTGTACTGCCACCACTTTAATCAAACCATCATTATTAAATCCAACTTTGTATCTGAATAAAAATGGGTGGCGTGTTCCACTTACCATCATGTCTTCGTCTCTGTCTAGCATGCAACGAATTGGCTTCTGTAACCTACGTTTCATTTTCTTTTTCGAGAATCCAATCTCACATCGTAAAATTGTATAGCGAACAGTACATAAATAAATGTATATGAATAAATAAATAAATGAGAAGGAATAAATCAGCGATTAAATAACAAACGAATGAATAAATTGCACTTGTCTCTGTCATTCTCGAGGGATTACGGAGACAAGCACTTTTCCAAGTAAAAAGTTAAGTGATTTCTAAACTTCGATGAGATATCCTGCGCGTGTATGCCTTTAACTGATACGCATTGCATACCTGTGCGCTGCGACTGCGACTGGTATCGCAAGTAATATCGGACGGGATTCTTTGCCGCCAAATCCGCCGCCTAGTCGCTTCACGCGAATATTAACTTTATTTATGTGTATATCCAAAACATGCGCAATCAATTTCTGTATCTCCGTGGGATGCTGTGTGGAACAGAACACTTCCAATTCGTCTCCATCGCGAGGTATAGCGATGGTGGCGTGCGTTTCCAGGTAGAAATGCTCCTGGCCGCCTATTCGTACCTCCCCTTCCAAAACATGATCTGCTTGCGCAAAAGCTTCCTTCGCATCACCTTTGATGATGCTCTTCGGGCAGCCAGGAAGGAACGACTTGTATTTGATGGCGTCCTGCGGTAAGGAAATTCGTGGATTCACGTATTTATCGTTACATTTCGATTAATGAGCGAGCAGCAGGACTTTTTTATATTAACATAGGACAGATAGATATGATACCTCGATGGATATGATAGCGGGTTCTATGTTTTCATATTCCACCTTGACCATCCTTGCCGCAGCCTGAGCAGTATTTTGATCGGCAGCGACAATCGCTCCGATTACTTGACCATTACTGGTAACCTGAAGAAGTAGAAGGAAAAAAGGAACCTGTAATTGCCCTCACAGAACAGTTCAATTCAGAAGCGCGTATATTCGTGAGAATTCGTAAATTAAACGCAGAGCTTCGACATTTGTCTTACGTCTTACATATTGCGATGTAACCATTATAGTAATAGTTGATAATAATAAATAATTCACCATAATTAGTGACGACATTTTCCACACTTTAACAATTAATTTTACCATAATATCTATTTTACATATAATTTCCGTACCTTTTCCGACACAAATACTTCTTCATCGTGTAGCACAGGGCCCACCCAGTTTCTATCTTCCATTATGTCCTTTGCAGAGAAAAATGATACAACTCCCTCCATGGATAGCGCCTTGGTGGGGTCGACTTTGAGAATTTTGGCGTGCGCTCTGGTGGAGAGAACCAACGCCAGATACAATTCTTCTGTAAATCTTGGAATATCGTCACAGTACAGCGCTTCTCCGGTTGCTTGCTTAAATGCGCTAGCATGCACGATAGGACGCCCTAGTGAATCATGCACCTCTTGGTCCTTAGGCACCTGTGCATCATTGAGAGTTATAAAAGACACTGCGACTCATATTTAAACAATATTTATAATACCTATTTATCAGAACAATAATATGCATCATATTTAAATAACTGCAATTTATGCACCGTATTTAAATAATATTTGTCACATCAGTAATGTGTATAATATTTAAATAATAATAATCTGTAAATTGTGTAGGTACATTACCACTTGATAATATTGCGAGCTCTTCGGTGCTTTATAATGGAAACAGTCCGATGCGCTTTCCAGTTCCTTCGACATTAATTCCACGTCTGACGTATATTGCGACAACTGCTTGGAGATGTGCACGAATCCCTTAAAGAACAAGCTGCAAAACGTATGGCGCATGTCAAACGCAGCACGCTTCGTTAATTCACGTTTGCTTAACATTTATTTAATAGCGCACCTGAGAGTAAGGGACAAGCGATATTTGATCATCCCGCCTGGTGCATTGTCTGCTAACGGCAACTCTTCGAGCAGAGAATCGTAAATCTTCTCCAGGATTGATTTATTCCACTTCCTGCGATTATCGGTATCATAAGTAACGTAGCGGAGATTGTTCTGACGTGTAAATACACTGCTCAAAAGAATTATGGCATAGATAATTTATTGCCGAAAATTGGCCAACTTTGACTGGCGATTACTTCGCGAAAAATTATCGTAGACTAATGACTTCTTTTTCAAAATGAAGCTTGAAATCTCTACTTTAAGAATGTATCTCCATTTTTTGCATGCGATGCACCCCTATCCCTGTAACCCCTGACATCTGAGGGCATGTTTGATATACTGAGAATTGCAAAGTTTGACGGAATGCACGGACGTGGACAATTTTTTTTTTCGGGGACGCCGTTTGCATCGTCATAAAGTTCAAATCTTCCCCTTCAATTTGAAAAAAAAAAAATAGCGTCGCTACAATTTTTTTTCGCAAAGTTACAGCTCTTCAAAAATATCGTTGTTTTTGGCCTTCGGGCTAAAAGTAATTGTTGACAGTAATTATTGACTGCGGAAGTGACAAACCACGGGGTTCTTATCTCTTCCGTCACAGACACATAAATGCGTGCACACTTGGCCCGAAGGCCAAAAACAACGATATTTTTGAAGGGCTGTAACTTTGCGAAAAAAAATTGTAGCGACTCTATTTTTTTTTTTTTCATATTGAAGGGGAAGATTTGAACTTTATGACGATGCAAACGGCGTCCCCGAAAAGAAAATTGTCCACGTCCGTGCATTCCGTGCATTCCGCAAACTTTGCAAGTCTCAGTATATCAAACATGCCCTCAGATGTCAGGGGTAGAGGTGCATCGCATGCAAAAAATGAAGATTCTTAAAGTAGAAATTTCAAGCTTCATTTTGAAAAAAAAGTTATTAGTCTACGATAATTTTTCGCGAAGTAATCGCCAGTCAAAGTTGGCCAATTTTCGGCAATAAATTATCCATGTCATAATTCTATTGAGCAGTGTATCTTGCGCGCGACGCTTATTATCGGAGTTGGGAAAAATGTTTTGAGAAGTAACTCGTTACTGTTGTCACTAGTCAAGAAGTAACGAATCGTTTTACACACAGTTTCTGTTTTTTTTTTTTTCCACCAAGCTTGGTGGACTTTCTTTTAAGATTCGCCCCTGCACATTTTATATGCATGTATCCTCTATGCGCGAAGTGACGATTATATTTGATTTCATTGTCATTATCAATGAAAAACAATTATGTCATCATCGAGCCGTTACCGAAGAAAAAAAATTAACGATAACAGCGTTACAAATAATGCGTTACTTTATATGTAATCCTATTTATCTAAATTTATCCTCGTTATGATATCATGCACAGTTATGGTCAGGATTAAGGAAATTACTTTTTGAAAGTAACTCGCTGGTGAGTAACTCGTTATCCACTGAAGAGGATAAAGTAAATAAAAGTCATTGTCGTCGTTGCTCAACAAGTATAGAATCGTTACATTTTTTCACTAAGTTTAAACAATTTCTTTTTTAGCATGACTTTTGCTCATTTTATATTCGTATATTACATATGCGTGCAAAGTAACGAATATATTCATTACCCTTACCCAAAAAATGTAATTGTATTACCGTTACTAATGAAGCTACTAATTGAAGAGATAAATAACATTGTTATAAAGTCTGCAACAGAGTAACTTGTAACGGCGTTACACACACAATTATGTCCCAATTCTGCTTGTAATATTACCTGCCAATCATTTTCTCGCAAGTTTGTCTCGCTAGCACAGTAGTTGGCGCCATTCCACCAAATGCGATATGCGCTTCCTGAATCATGCTCGTATTAGGCACGAAGGACACGTTTAGGGCCATGTTGACTATGGCGATATCGTCGTCTCGCCTTTTCGCTTGCTTATAAGCGATAAAATATTGATTCTACGAGAGGGATTATATATAAATTAAATAAAACTAAATAATATATATATAAATAAGAAAAGAAGAAATAATCTTTTCGTAGTACCGCAGAATTCCTACATTGACATCACCTGCTCTGTAAAAGGAATATCGATGGACACTAACACCTCAGTGGGTAAGACAACGTTACGTCGATACCCAACGAAGAAGGTATGATCCATCGGTATCGTTCTGCGGCCGTTCCTCAAACTGCGCAGATTCAATTTAATACCCGCGGCCATAAAGATCGGATTTAAGTCTGATATTGGACTGCCGGTCATTATGTTGCCACCCACCGCCTGATCGTGTTTCAAAAAGGTGCATTATTTACATGCGTACTTTAATGACCATTGCGCAATGAGTTGAAAGAACACTCGTTACTCACAGCAACATTTCTTATCTGTTTCCCAGCGAACCAATGTAACATATTTATTATCTCCACGAAGATTCTTGTGCTGTAGTCTGTGGAAGAGGAAAAAGAATCACGTCGGGTTATCAGCTTGTATCGCGTAGAATATTACCACGTAAATATAATTTTTACAATTTAGCACACTTTACCAGGTTTAATTTTGATTTGCTGTTTCAGTGCCTCCTCAAGCTCGACCAGGGTAACGCTCGCACCCACTTTCAGCGCGTCCCGCGTTTCAACGATCTCGCGCATTTCTCTTATCTGCATCGGTTGTACAAGTACCGGGTACACCAGGTGCTTGAACTTCACTTCGACGCCTGTAATACAATGAGCAATAGTCGGTCATAGTCAAGAAAACATTACTTATATGAATTTTGTTTCTATATGGCTATGTATAATCATACCCCATACAGCACAGACAATTGCAGCAATATTGCTGCAATATTGCAACATTGCACATTGCGGTGCAATATTGCAGAGACATTGCAAAAACAATATTTTGCATTATTATATTTGCAATGTTGTAACAACACTTCAAATTGCGGTTATTATTAAAAAATTATACGAGATATCACTAAATGGAAGAGGACTTTTTCGTTTCTCTCGCTTAGCTCTACGCCCCTATGGAATTATGTTACAATTATGGGATACTTTGTATATTGCTCTAATTCTCATATTTAATCACCAATTATATTTAATCACCACAATTTGGTTTTACAATGATTCAGTTTCATATCCCAAACTTAGACGTCTTATTAATTCAAGAATAGTTACCGCAAGTCTTTAAGACCTGTATTACTCCAAATAGCAAGGTGACATCTTATTGACGTTCTACTGAGTCAATAAAACGGCGTCTTTTTAAGATATCATTTTACTCTTTGAAATATTACAGATCTTGGGAACTTTCTGTGACTATTCTTGTTTGATGTCAGAAATGAAAATAATGGTGTATTAATCTTTTTTCTTCGTGTACGTTAAAATAAAAGAGATTTTCATAAAACGACACTTATGATCGATTTTACAAATTTGTAAAATGTTCCGAACACTTCTCTTTAGCTGAATGATAACCATTCACTGTAAATAATTAGTGAAATTTATACAAATTCTGATTGCAGCAACATTGCAGCAACATTTCGCACCGTTTCTGCAATGTTACAATCTTGCAAAACAACGTTCCTGCAATGTTGCTGCAATGGTGTTGTGCTGGGACGTAATTATATATGTGCGCATCGAAAAATTGCCATCGTACAGATACAACCGAAGTAAATACTTGTATCCATGCTAACCCCATAAAAAACAGACTTTTTCCCACATGGACATGTATTATTGTATGTTTATACATGTGACTGTATAAAGACAAAATTCATACATGAATTATATATAATGGAATAAAATCATATAAAATAATTACATAATAATTAATAGTGAATATAATGTAAGTAATATATTTAATTATTTTCTACTATTAAATATAATTATTAAAGTATTTATTATTATATGTATTTATGAGTGTGTATATAAACAAACTTTTTTATGTGATTATGTATTATTTTTTCCGGAGTGAGATTTCTAATTATTATGATATATTTAATGAGCGCATTTGTTTTGTGATGACAAGTGTGTAAACACTTGCTGCGAGGAAGACATACGAACCGATCTCGGTGTTGCCGATAACGATTTTAGCACTCGGATACTGATCCTTCAAAGCGAGCAGCGTCTTGAGGGTAGTAGGTCTGTACCAAGTGACGTTTTTGCCCTTCACTATGAGATATTGTTTGTCCAATTTAGACTCGATCTGCACAATAAAAGTTATTCTCGGTTGACAGCTCACGTTACTTTTTTCTCAACGGCGTCAGCCTCGATCTCGCGAGATCTTTCTAACGCTAGCAAAACTTGCTTTCAATTTCGGCGGAAATATCGGCTCCTGTGTCGGGTCGTACGGCCGGAACTCCTTTGAATTGAAAACCTCAGTTGGTTCCGACGTGAAAGCTCTCTTCTTGCAGCAAGCGTCGCCCATCGAGCAAACTCCCGCGCCGTTCGTCTCTTTTTCTCGCACGCTAGCCGTTAACTGCGACTGCTCCCATTCCTCCGTGAAAGTCTTGAATCCCTCTATAATCGGTCTGTATCCTGTACATCTGCACAGGTTACCTAAAAATTACATGCATGTAATTAATCCGTGTCTGTAACTATTCAGGTCGATTATGTAAAGCAACATTGATGAGGAAGCAGAGTTGAGAAAAAATACGCTATTTGCATCGCCGTTACCGTTGCAAATGTTACCGTTACAAGAACTTTTCTCAACAACGACTTGGTAACGACGTTACTCGGTTTATCAATGGCCGTAACGGTATTAGCAATTACAATTTCTGAATAACGAATAACTTTACGGTAATAAATATAATCGTTACTGCGTCGTTACTTCGTGCATATAGATTACATGTACAAAGGACACATGTACGTCGGCGAATAGAAAAGAAACGATGAGAAAGGGTGAGAATTGGTGAGAACTGTAAAAACTACTCGGGGAAAAAAAAAAGTTACATATATATTTTATTTTTATATAATCATATATAATCATACGTAATTATATATGCCTGCGACGAAAAAAATAGTACGTAATATATATGCATTAAGAATACTATTAATATTGTAGAGTAGGCTAATTAAAAGCTGCAGCAACACTTTTCTTCGATAAGTTTCTCGTATCTCGTATCTATAATAAGAAAATTCGCTTCTCTTTTAATAATTCTCAGATTCCTTTTCTTATTTACCAGATATGCGACGCATTGCAAAAGTCATCGAAGAAAAGTGTTGCAACCTTTAATCAGTTAACCGTATAAACACAGTTGGAGTAAATGCATATGTTTATGACAGCTCGTGATGTCAGAGTTCAATCTAATGAAATAATTTTGTTTTTTTTAACAGCAATCAGCGGCATTTTTCTGCGCGTGAATATATGTATGATTATTATATAGGGTCCCTGTATAAAATGTCGAGTTGAAATGTATTAAAAAGTATTGATGTTTTGAATATGTCATGAATTCTGCTTTCTGATCCGAAGAAAGGGATTAAAAAGTACTAGTCCCCATTAAATTTCACTTCTTCTCCTAATTGTTTTCGGATTCAAAGGCATACAATATTTTCACTGTTCTATTCCCTGTAGCATTGAAAAGTATTGGCCCGCGATCCAATCCGAGATTTCCACAAAGCAGAATTCATGACGAAATCTCGTGAATGCGAAACAATACTTCTAAATACGACATTTTATATCCCGGGGTGTCCGGGATTTTTTGGAAGTGAAACATTTTGAAGATTAAACAGATCAAACTGAGAAGAAAAGTCATGTGCCACTTTGCAAAAATCGCAATAGTTGAGTTATTAATTTATCAAGTTAATATTAAGTTATTAATGACTGAAAATGATCTAGAGGCTCTTTTAATTGATAACTTGAAAATTTGCACTACTTATATTTATTTGTAAAATGCTAAAAGACTCTTTTGTTCAGAATGACCTAATCTACAATTATACGACGGCTATTGTGCCTAACGAGGTTCAAGATTCAGGGTTCAAAGTTCAATATACTCAAATCTATCGCCAGACACAGCCGTCATATAATTGTAGATTAGGTCATTCTGAACAAAAAGTCCTTTACCATTTTGCAAATAAGTACGCAAATGTTCATGTTATCAGTTAAAAGAGCCTCTAGACTTGTCATTAATAACATCATAACTATGATGATTTTTGCAAAACGGTACTTGACTTTTCTTCTCACTTTGATCTGATTAATCTTCACAATTTTTCGTTTCCGAAAGATCCCGGACACTCTGTACATTTACATAGTTATTTAGTTATTTAGTAATTTAGTTAAAAATATAACTTGGTGTTAGAATTTTATTTATGGAGGGATGATTATTTATTATATTATAATATATGTATAATATATAATATATAATATAATATAATATATACATATATATTTTTTTTTTTTTATTTAGATAGTAATTTTATTTAGATAGGGACAAATACTGCCGACAGGCGTTACCTTGAAACGCGATTTCCAAATTCTCCATCGTCGGCTTCGGTATGCTGCGTAACAGCGCGTACATAGACATAACAATGCCGGGCGTGCAAAATCCGCATTGCGACCCATGCGCCTTGGCGATGCGCTCCTGCACCGGATGCAGCCTCGTCCGCGTGTTACCGATGCCTTCCACTGTAGTTACAGCCCAACCGTGCATGGCGCACACCGGTGTTAAGCACGCGTTAACAGCCAGGTGACTGTTAGATTCGTTAAGAAAAGAAAAAAAAAGAGAGAAGAACGTGAAGGAATCGAACGCGTTGCACGACGAGATTCGACAGAGCGTGCTGATCCGTTGCGGATCGCAGGATCGTAAGGATACACAATTTTCTCGGCGGCACGGTCGAACCTCGAGACCATGACTGTGCATGCTCCGCAGCCTCCTTCCGCACAGCCGAGTTTCGTGCCGGTCAAATGAACTGCGTGGACACGTAGTCAAGGATAAATATGTCAATGCGATTGTAGATATCACTCCAGCATTACGAAGGGGTGTTCTCTAAAGTTTTCCCCTCGAGATGAGGGGTACGCGGCGCGACAGTACTCTCGCTCGACGGTGGGAATACCGTAAGAACGTCTCGCTCAGGCTTGAAGCGGATTTCATACGAGCGAATACTTCGATCGATCAGAAATCGAGTCTCAAAGCGGCCGGGACATTTCCTTTTCGCGCGGCTCGGAGCGCAGCGTGTGTCCAATGAGAGAACTTGACCCCTGGCGATCTTCCCGAGACAAGTTCTCGCAGTGACAGGACTGCGCCGAGAAATGTGTTCAAACCGTTTCTTGAGACCCGGCTGACCCGTCGGCTGCACTCTCCGATTTCGAGCGGAAGTATCGTTCTACTTCCCGCGCGAGATTTCAGCCCAGAAATCCGAGGAGAGTTCACGAGCCCGTGAACCCGTGAAAGAAGGATACGTTTGTTGCGCAGGTACCACAGGAGCGTCCATTGCGGCTCGACGTCCTTGTCCGATACCTAGACAGAACGGCAGAAAGTTTCACTGTTCAACATCCGGGGAACAAGAGAGCGAGCTGAGAGAACAGTGAGAAGAAATATGTCGCACCTCCTTGCCGTTCACGTAAAACACGAGGGTGTCCGACACCGGCGCTTCCAGCAGCTCGTCGTCACTCATCATCGTCGTCACCGGGACTGCTTCATGATGGTAGCCGTTGCACACATTTCCGTCGCACGTGGAAGTGATGCCATTGATCAGCAGCTTCTCCATTTTCGCACTCCTGCAATACTTTAATGACCCGTTGTAAATATAGCCGGGCGCGACACAACCGCAATAAATGCCGTCCCTCCCTCCCTCCCTCTCTCTCTCTCTCTCTCTCGCACAATTCAGGCACTCTACTCGACGGGGCAAATATCGCGCGAGCGGAATCAGAGCGATTCGCGATAAATCTGTCTATCTGGTCGGAGTGCGGAGTGCGATCCTCGCGCGTTAACGCAACGCGTGCGGCGGCGGCGGCGGCGGCGACGCGTTATCGCGAGCGCGGATAAAAATCGCGAGGGGCAAAAAAATGGCGAGCGCGAGCGATGTAATCGGCAATATTGCATTTCACAGACAATTACGCGCACCGACTCGCGCGTATCTCTCCGCGCGATAATTGACTCTTCTTTTTTCTTTCCCCGCTCTTTCTCCGCCGCCCGCTTGTTTGCCACATTCGGTACTACGCTTCAATGCCCGCGCGCTTTTTGCGTCTAACCGCGGCTCCGCTTCGCTACTTGGATCGACCTCCGCCCCGCCTCCGCCATGCCCAGACGGATTATAACTGATTAAACTAACGACCACCGAACGACGGCCAAAGGGACTCGGCTCTTCGCGCTGCGTAGGATGCGTTCCACACGGACCCAAGTAGAACAAAAAATCATGATGACATGAAAATGACAAGAAAATGACCGAATCATGATGAGAAAAAGAGTTTTCCTCATCATTTTGATGTCATTTTGATGTTCATCGTGACTTTCTGTTCTACCTGGGGAGACGCAGTTGGTGCCATTTAGGCTGCTCGCGGAGCTAACTAAGCTATCATGACATCATTAATGGTAGCATTCACGTTATAATTTCGCGCTATCAATGCTATTTCTTTCGGAGTAGTGCAAAAATAGCGTTCGCCTTGCTGGCGTTCGTAAGCTCTACGAGCACCTAGAACATGTGATATGAACTATACTATAAGGTGCTCCCGATCCTTCACCTGAGGAATCATTAATAATTGCAATAACGTGCTGCGCTATGTTGTTTCCTGCACTGTGGCGTTCTTTTCTACCCTATCCCTGGCATCTCTGCACCTACCCAGGCAAAACAAGAAATCAAAATGACGAGAAAATGACCGATCATGATGAAACATCATGATGAAAAAATGAGTTTTCTTCATCATTTTGACGTCCTTTGGTGTCATCATGATTTTCTGTTCTGCCTGTGAAGGTATGAACTTTTGCTGTACTCGTCAGTTCTACTTCTGAGCCAATGCAGCGTACTGGTTCAGCTGAGAACAGACCCTAAATGACGAATCTTCGGCTTCTCTCTCTCTCTCTCTCTCTCTCTCTCTTATTTTCTTTTTTTCTTGGCTTTTTTCAATCCGTCGTTATTCAATGTTTACCACCGGTACGTGGAATCTCCCCTGGAGATTCCCAACTTGCGAGTAACGGCCGTGGCGATACGCGTCTTTGCACGATTGTGTCGCGTGATTGCTTCTGCGACGGAAATACAAAGACCTCATTAGCCGGGAGCTGCGTCGTACATAATTTATGGCGCATTAATACACGTGTTATTATCCTCATTGAATGAGCGTAATAATCCTCGTACTTAAAATTTTTCGTATCCGCATAAAAGCCATTAGCATCAGATGATAATAAAGACTGAGGCAGCACAAAGTCTTAAAGACGTTTTAAAGCCGAAAGATGTTTTAAAGACATCTAACAGACGTCTCAAGAAAAATAAGACGATCTCTGGAGGTCTTTACGATATCTTTTGAGTCTGTGCTGTCTGGATCAATTGTAGAAGTTAATTCTTTGCTGACACTATCGCTCAAATAGGAGTTTGGGATTATTCTTATAATCTCTTGATACGTTCAATGGTTCGAACAACTACAACTATGCTAACAAAAGACGATTTTATCGCGAAGCTACAGGCTGCTCTAAACTTTAAAGTAGTGCAAATTAATGATAATAAATGATATATGAGAGATATCTATTACAAAATAGATAAAATATAACATAATTATAAAGTAGATAAGTGATAATTGATGAGTTAACGGAAAATTCGTTTTTTCTGTAGAAAATGTTTACAGTTCTGCTCGACGTTATAACTTTCCAGTCCACTGAACTTCAACACGGTTTTGAAGATTTCTTTCCCGACACAGTTTGTAACTCTGCCGAGAGATGATCGGACGAGAGGACTTAATTAGTCAGGGACGTGTTCTCTCATTGGTCCGTCGGTTACGTTCCGAACTGCAGGGAAGAATCGCTCAAACTGTATCGAAGCCGAGGTTCGAAAATTCTACGTGGAAAGGAATCGTGTCTAATCCCCAATCAGCAGACAATATTTTTTTAACAATAGTTTTTCAAATATTCATGTTATATTTTTCTTTACATTTTTCCCATTCATTGTACAAAAAATCTTTATTTAACGTTTACTCGTCGTTTATTACTCTTAATTCTACGTTTAAAATAATGATTAAGAAAAACAAATTTACTTAACGTTTATTTAATGTTTCGTTTAATGTTTATTTTACATTAATAACTCATAACTTAAAATTCTTTTTAACGTTTTGGAAATGTTAATTGTTTTTTTTTAATATTTTTAAAAACATCTTTTAAATATTTCTTTTCCGATTGGGTCCGTGGCGCTCATGCGACGGGCTATTTAAGATATCGGTACGTTGAACTTTCTTTGTCTGTCTCATTCAAAAATAACGTGACGTTTAGGCATGACAAGGTGTGTGTGTGTGTGTGTGTGTGTGTGTGTGTGTGTGTGTAAAGTTGGGAAAACAATCTTGATCAAATACGATGGTTTATTGCGCTCATTTACGTCTAGTTTGTTTGCGCTTGGAATTACGAGGAATTATCGTAGAATGCGAGACACGCGAGACACGACAAGATTGCGGCCGAGCAATCTCGCCTCGAACTAATTGGCGATCAGCGACGAATTAATCGACGCGTGCGAGAGCAGGTCTATTCCTTCTAGCCGAATTGCTGCCGCGCTGAAAAAAACTTCGTTCCCTTTATCCTCAATTTATAAATTTTTATTTCGCTCTAACGGCAAAAAGCGCATCCTAGTTGAGCCGAAAAGACCAGACCTTACGCGTCGCGTCGAGAAGATTTACCTCAGTGAAACAAATGCATGAATTATACACAGATAAGATATACCTTTATCTTCTGCTGGACTTCACTAGGAATTTTATCAGCCGGGTATATTCGTGAGACGTACAAACATTGCGAAGACGATGGTGAGAAAGTACTCCTCGCATGTCACAGTTGTACCCGCTGAGAGAACATGACTCTCGACTGTACGATACCGTTGAAGAACGCATTCTCCACGCGTTCGTCTAACGCGGAGTGTCAAGTGGAGTTTCAGGAAAGTAAAAGAGCCACAGAACACAGACTTCTGCGTAACGCATAATACACAACGCATAAGAGAATCGACAAATCAGAGTCCCTCATTTCTGTCCTGAGGAGGGAAATGAAGAAAAGTAATTGGTTCATTCTCTCATGCGTTATGTATTATGTGATATGCAAAAGCCTGTGCTCTTGCCTTCACGCACGTGGAAAATCCGTAACAGTAAAGGCTCGTCTACAATAGCTGTAAGAGTAAGACTGTAAGGCTATAACGTAAGCTGTCAGCAAATTAAAATATTTCATTTCGTGTCTTGCAACCTTACAGCCTTACTCTTACAGCTAATGTAGACGAGCCTTAAGGCTGCAATCGCGGAATATCCGTCACGTTCGAATTTTACAACGTCTCGCGATTAACCAATAGCCCGAGTGTGGAGCAGAAAATTATGATGACATATCAAAATGGCCGAATCATGATGAAAAAATAAAGTTTTTCTCATCTTTTTGACGTCACTTTGACGTCATCACGATCTTCTGTTCTGCCTAGGAGGAAAGCGGCAGAGTAATTTACATTTTATTCGGCGGCAATTTCGTTCATCAGAAGTCTTTCCCGTCCAAACGCGGACAGATATCGGACACTGTGCTGCGCTTTACATTTCACCTTGTCGTCCGGATTATACGCGAATATATTTCAGCCTCTGTTTATTAAGTAAAGACTTTGTACGCATGCGTACATGTTGGGGTATCAAGAAGTTGAGGAGGAGATTTTACGACTACGGCCTTGACAATTCTTATATAACCGACTGCACGTGTACGCACGTTCGCATATACGTCACAGAATCTCACAAGTGGTGAAAATCGAGTGAGAAAATCTGTCTCGGAGGAGCGCGTGAACGCAATGATCCTTATTGATCGGGATCTCCTCGTGACTCCGAGGAGCGCGAGCGCAGAGGAGAGAAATGAGACGAATTGCGAGGGAGATCGCACGATTGCACCCGATAATGCCCGATTGTGAGACCGAGCGTTGCGACAGAACTAGAGCGACGGGTGCATACCTCGTAGCGTAATTGGCTGCGATTAATTAATTACATGACACGGCGCCAGCGTGCTCGCGCACGTATAATACGCTTCGCTTCGCTTCGCGCGCCGCACCGTCGCGCGACACGTCGTTAAAAGAAAGCAGCATACGCACCGTTACGTTCTTTGTTCCCGTAATACAGCGTAACCGTGCTCCGGAGCGACCGCACTTGGCCGACGTCACTGCGCTCGCTGTACGCCGTAAACTAGCCAAGCGAATCCGGCAATAAGAATGCCACGCGGGTTATCGAGTATCGGGAGATATATTATGCCGACGAGCGACGCGCGCGCGATGTTGTTGACAAATCTGAGCTCTCTCGCAGGAAAATAAGTCGTTCTCCTCCTCGGCGACCGTTCACGAGCGCTTCACGAGTTCTTCTCGAGCTTCGTTTATCTTCGACTTTTTTTGTTGTTTTTTTCTTTCTCTCCCCTTCGCATCTCGCACTTGTTGGACATTGGAGAGCGTTCTCGTATCATCGATGGAGATATCGCGATTACTGGACGCCTCACCATCGGACTGGCGTCGCCCCGATACAATTAGATAAAACAACTCGAGGACCCGTCTGGGATAGGCCGAGGTCTTGAAGTGGGTTGCTGCGAAATCAAGCAGTGGTTGGGTAAGTGGGTTGGTTTTGCAATCGTTTTATTACGAAATTATCACGCGGCACTGGAGCGCATGACGTTCCAAAACAACAGCCAGATCGGTAGCATCACGGCGGTCGTGACGTTGTAAAACCAATTGCCGTAGATCATAGAGTCCACGATACTGAACACGAGCGCCTGCTTGTTGGCGCGATAGCCCCTGAAGAGCAATGACACGATCGGATCGGTAAAGAAGTTGAGATACGTGTAGCCCAGCACGACAATTGCCGACGCGACGAACGGGTGCAGCGCGATCCACGCGACGTACAGGCAGCCACGCAATCTGCAAAGCATCGAGACCTTGAGTTGAGACTGAACTTGATATTTTATATTTGTATATTAGAGTTGGAGCTCTGATTTGACGCTCTAATTAATCCTCCAAATTAAGCAGGAGCAAATACTGCTTCTCAAGCCTTATCTACGACATGCTCTTTGCTTTCTGTTTCCTTCTCTTTATCTCTTTTTTACTTGAGCCTTGTATCTCAAGTCAGAAGAAGATAAGGAATAAGAAACAGGAAACACAGAAAGCAAATTGTAGGCTTAACGGTGCAAGGAAATATATCCTTCATCTTGACATATGTCGTTGACATCATTATCCTGGATACTTAAAAGATTGTAGCCATCGCTCATTGTTCGTTAGAAAGAATATTAATAAATTATAAAAGAAAGAATATTAATAAAAGAAAAACGTGACAGAGTCAACTATATTCTATATATACTCTATATTATAAATTTTATAATATAGAATATATATACATCTTTTGATAAGACAAACTCTGTCATAGTGATCAAGTGATTAGATTAAGTTTCTGAAGGTGATGATGTGGCAGAGGGGTGTGAATTCCTTCCTCCGTTCATATATACTGGTTTTATGTAATTACATACTGGAAGTTTGCCTCTCACTCACAATAACATGCACAGTAAAATGCACACATAAACATGATGTTACTAAAATATCGTACGATTATCGTGAAATGGAAATTTAACTAAATGTATTCAGTTTGAGATATTAACGACAAAATCGTTATATTTAATAGTCGTTCTAACGACAATTTGTATGAGATAAAAATTTAGCTGACATTGACAGTTTGAGACATTAATTATATTAAACCGATATTACAGTGAGTAAACATTTGTAACTTTTTAATAAATAATAAGCGACGACTTTTTTCATGTTACTCGGGGATCTTAATCTTGTCAACCTGTAATCTTGTCACAACATGTATCAAGACGAAGGCCGCATTTCGTTGCTCCGTTAAAAGCAATATTTATCCAAAGAAGATAAACTCTCGATACCGTTCGACTCACCTGGATTTGATGGACTCGTGACGAGGTGTTATTAGTAGGACAACCGGTACGTATACAACAGCAGTAAGTAACGCCAATGAGAAGTTGTGCATCGCTATGCACATCAACGCAGTAGCGAGCTCGATCGACGCGATAACGCAGACGAGGGATACATTTTCGTATCTGACCGATCTAAAAATTGCATTCGGATATAGCGACACGCACGTGGAATTGAGAGATTAATTTCTTGTTTTTCTCACCTCCGCAAATAGAGCCGCCACAACAACGTGAGAGTCGTAATAAGTGCGAAACTGCCGTACAGCGAGTCTTCTGTACGCAAGTTCAACATTTGCGAACCGATGGACGCGAAGAAGCGAGGAGACGCCATTATTAATACTCCGAATATGTGTGCCCACAGCACTTCAGATGCGACGCTTCCGATGTCAAATTCATCCATCTGTGTTCGAAAGAAACTTTACAAGTAGAAATATACGTCAGTTAAACAGATGATCTTTGATACCTTGTTTGTCGAATTTTCATTCTCCTTCTTGGCTTCATCGGAATTACTCGAAGTCTGCAATCTTTGCCAAATGGAAAATGCCTTTATGAACACACCAGCAATTATTAGCACTAAAGGTCGCATATATAAACCTGCAAGATTTTTATTTATTTTTATAAAAATTCACTAAGAAATAATAGAAATATTCAGAATCCCATGTTTGTTTCGTTCTTTCTTTTTACCTATAGAAATATATCGATCGGTAGATGGTAGCAAATAGAAGAAATACGACTGGTGAAAACGTTCCAACAGATTATTAAGCGATCGTACTATACTCTCCACTACTCGTCCTACTTGATAAAAATTTGCCTCTGACCCTTGTCCAGATTTCTCAAAGCCTTCTAATGTAATGGCTTCTATGCCAAATCTATAGAGATAAATTATAATTACAATATGAAAACTATTATATCAAAAACATAAACGTAGAAACAGAATAAGAAAACGGCTAAATAACTATCATTTCTTTTTAAAATTTGCTTATTTTCAACTTACAAAGGTTCTATTCTATCATCATGCTTTCATTTTAATGCTCAGTTGTCGCACCTGTGGAAGAGTCCATGGTTTCCAGTCGGAATTCCAGTAGCCTGTGTTGCTATCATGCTCATTAACGTATTAAAGTGATACCACCAGCTTTTGTATTTATCTCTATAATTAACGTCAAATCGACGTTGGAAGGATTGACGAATCCCTTCTTTGGCTATCATATTTTGTGCTAAATTAAAGAGATCCAAATTAGGCAGTTGCCCATTCAGTCCTTCTATCTAATAATGAGAACAATAATAATATTATAGCCATGCTACAATAAAGAATATTGCAAGACTGATATCAAGCATCCTTACTTTAACATCGATCGATGTAATTTTCATGGCATGAAATTCCAAGTTGATGGCAGCTTGAATAGATCCAGCTCTTCCTGATAAATCTCCTGCCATCAATATGCCCTCCTGACCACTAGTAACGCCATGATATGCATCCAACCATGCTTGCATACCCAACTGTTCGTGTTCTGTTACAAGAAATATTATGTCCTTGGCCCAATATTTCTGTTCTATAAATAAATCATTAAAACAACCAAATATAATACGTTGCTATATATTGCTATATGCTGATTAACCAATATTATAACATTACAGAAGAAAGACTTACTTCTGCAGAACTTTGCAAATGCAAGTAACAGCGCTATTGAAGGTGCTGTATCCAAATAAATACTATTGATAGGCCTGTATGGTACACTGACTACTATAGCTTCTGTACTAGATGCCCGTGGAGCTCTAACAATGCCATAAATATTTTGTCCAGTAAACTGTAAGACATGACGTTCATGCATGTACAAAATAAGAAACTCTATCACATTGCCGCGTATCATTTAAGATCGTGATTATTGTTGCCGTACCTTTTGTTCTCGGAATGGATAGATTAAGGAAAAGTTATGCACAAATACATCTAAATGGAGCTGGCTGAATTTTGCAGAAAGCCATGCGTAGGGCATACTATCCGGGTATCTCTTCATTTCGTGAATCAGTTCATGGTAATATTGCTTGGACGTATGCTCCATGTTACTCTCCTTTGTGACTAATCCAGGCAGCAAGGCATTCTCCGAGAAGTAAGTATCTGAAAGGTAAATGAACGATTTGTACAGAAGAAACTTAAATTACACAATCGTGCAATTTTATCTCATCTCTATGACGTTTTCATCTCACGGAGACGTACTGTCGTTAAATGCCGGTAACGCCAACAGCATCAACCATATCACTCCTCCCACATATAACGCGAAGCACAACGGCTTTTCCCATTTTAATAACAACTTTATGATCTTGCCGGTCCCGGCTCTGGGATCTGTCAGCAAACCCATCTGGCTCGTTTCGTAAAAATCAACGTAATGAAAATTGTTTTGGAATTAGGGAGGACACCTTCGCTTGTCACGATACAGACACATAACCTCGCGAAAACGCAATCTCATAATTTCATACGTACGATTTACAAAATTATATAAATCGAGTATTGCGAGGAGCTTTCTGCATATCCGCGGTCGATTTGTATTACGAATTTAATTATTATTTAATTGAACCTCGTGTTTCAATTTATCAAAGAGATACATGATGTAATACGCAATGTCGGCGGAGGAAAAACGAGCCACCGTCGCGTCTCGCAGTTAACCGCATTGGAGCGGACTCTCGAGCGGGAAACTTTTCGAATACAAACTGAACGTGAACCGAGAAGATTTATCTTCACATGTACATGTATGTTGCTTGCAAATCAAACCTCTGATCGTCATGCGTGTTGAACAGTGCTTCCCATTCATAACCTTCCTACAAGCTCTGATTTTGGTTGTTGAAGGTATATGTAATAATTTTTACGGTTTGATGTTGATTGTTCACCATGATTAACACGAACGTACTCGATTTTATTACGTTAATCCTTTTCCAGCTTACAATGCATCGAGAACTGATTTATCCAGGTGCAAATTATCTCAACTAGGAAGTGAGTATAAAGGCTCCATTGTGACGACTGTCGGTGGTTTCCGATGTCAATCGTGGGTCGCCGAGCAACCGCTTCATAAAGTAAATTTATTAACGCATTTCACGGTATAGTTTTACATTATCTACTGTATATTTTATGTATATATCTAATTATATCGGTAATTAATTACCAAAGACACGTCGCGAATATCTTTAATCTTGACGTACATTATTGAAGTCATGAGTAATTTTCAAAAAACTTCGGTCTTTATACTTTTCTTCTTCTCTTTTCTTGTTATCAGATCCGTAGCGATATAACTGATGCAGATTTTCCGGAAAGATCTATGAAGTTGGCGAAAAATTATTGTAGAAATCCTACCCGGGATCTAAGAGGACCCTGGTGCTATACGTTAGAACCTACAGTTATGGATGATGAATGTGATGTTCCACTTTGCAATTACGGAGGTAGATTAAATGACCTTGGCTCTTTCTGCTTCAAATAAACAGATTTGTGCTTTCTTATGTGAAAAGTTTGGATTTGATTTCGCATTTAATAGAAATTGTATTACTTGCGTTAGATTGCATTATTACGGGTCTAGGAGCCGAATATGGCGGGAGTCGAAGTTTCAGCTCTTCAAGAAGAAAATGCAAGTCTTGGAACAAAAGATATAAACTTGGTAATACAAAAGTAAGATATAAACCTTGTTACTGCATGAATAATTATGAAAGATGTGTCAACAATACTAATGTCTTCCTCCTTTCTTACTTTATTGCTTGTCAATTGACTTTTTCAGAGTATTAAATTCCACAACAAACATTTCCCAGATGGGTCAAGGACAAAGGCAAACAATTACTGTAGAAATCCCGACGATGATATTGGCGGTCCTTGGTGTTATGTGGAAGAAAAAAGTTATGAGTTAGTAGAAAAAGAACACTGTGATATTCCATTTTGCGATGACAGAGGTTTGTGCCGTCAATATGACAAGAGATTACTGTTTGTGTGTTATCATTTTCTTATCGAAAATGAACTTTATCTAAAATTCTGATGGATGTTTCTGTAAAATATCCGTTGTATCAATTCTAATAAACATTTCTTTTAGATTGCTTAATGTACTCCCGAAATTCATCAACCTATTCTACATTAACGGGTTTAAACAGCACTTATGGGAACATATCCCTTTGGATAAAACTCTGGAATCCCCTTGATGAGCAAAATGTATACAAATCTTATCAAGTATTTGATAGACAATATATATAACATGTTGTCTAATTAACGACATATCCAGGCAGAAGCCAGGATTTTATTAAGTTTACTTCCAATTCCGTCTTCTGCCGAGAAGATTGCACAAGACTGGAAAGCTGGAGTAGAACTTTTTATCTCAAACAGTGTCAGCGGTCAGACATATCCGGTTACTGATGTTAGTGTAAACAGCTGAAAATTGAACAGCTTTGCAGTAGCAAATATATTGATATAATGTCTGGTTAATTGTTGAAATATATCTTTGTTTTTCAGAATGGCCAGCTTTTTGAAGATACGCCCGGGATGCTGCTCAGTTCTAAATGGACTGGTCTGTGGATTACATGGGGTGGTGGTTTCATATCGCTCGGGATACACGGCATATCTAAACCTTTAATCATGGACGAGTACAGGTCGAAAAATAATATTTCGAGTTTATATCCCGACAGTTTTCTGCACTACGGCGTTATGGGCACCGGTGTATTATGGAGCACGGAGTTTTGTCAAAATTGTACAGTGAAGTTAGAAGTTTCTATTCCGTCAAGCACCACGTTGAAGTGATGCATCTCAAACAGCATAAATGTCTCAGATATATTTTAGAGACGTCCTAAAAAGTAAGTCGGAAACAAGTAGGTTATTTTACAGACGTTTCCAAGATATCTTTTAGGCATTTACGCTGTACGCGATACTGTACTATATATATAGAGAATATTAAATCATTCTACTAAAATCTCTTACGTGTTCAGATTGCGAAAGTCACACCACTTTTGGAGATGAGTTCTTGACTGTTTGGCCGATGCAAAAGAGCAATGATACTCAGGATGTGCGTTTTTACGTTCGAGCCAGCCGTGATATAAAAGTACGATTGTATCAGAGCCCTGGGGTACTCTTTCCTTGTTTCACGGTACGGTGGAGAAAATTTCAATGTCGCTAACGCTCAGACTTAACTTAAAATTAAAAAACGTGAAGAACGCGAATCGAAGATATTGGTCGAGATATTTTTATTCTAGCTGGAAATCAAACACAACGACATTATATTTCTGTCGTATCAGGAAACTGAGAGAGCAGTAAAGCAGTACCTGAAAGAAGTTATAATTAAGGGTTCGCTCGATTATTGGATTTGGAAAAAATTTACCATCAGGTATCATACGCATATACACACGCACATACGATATGTATCTATGTGTGATGTATCTAAATATATTTTCAGATTTTTGTTTTATACTAATGAATTCTCCGCCTGTGGTATTCACAGCATCTTTGGCACACACTTGCGTCTAATTTCGCAGCTTGTATCTGAAAGCGAGGAGATTTTGTTTGTAAATCATGACCTACTGGCTACCCTGCGTTGGTTCAGCGTCGCTAGTAATCAAACTATAGCACACTGGACATTTTTCTGTCCACCCGATGGTAAATATAATATCCCTTTTAAACCTTCATTTATATCGAACATGTTACAAATTCGCATTAAATTAATATCCTGAACAGCAATGGACGCCGTAGAAGATCCTCAACCTCCGAACTGCATTCATAACTTCGCCGACTATGAGTATCGTGGAACTCAATGGACGAGTGAAAGGGAACTTCCGTGTGTACCATGGGTGGCGAAAGAGGTACACAATGTTCTTCGTCCATGCATCTTCCATCGAGTATTAAACATTAAAATCCCAGATAGCACCGAACATCCAATGGATGTACGTTTCACGTCCAATTTATGTCCGTATGTCCGATTTACGTCCGTGGACATAAATAAATTTGACGTAACAAGGATGTCCTTATTTGGACGTCGGACCTGTAGGACGTCCGATGTACGTCCATCGGACATTCATGTCCGATAGACGTCCGAAGTTGTGACAAACGTATGTCCTATGGACGTCTTTTGTAAAAAAAGTGGACATATAACGGACGTCCAGTGGACGTCCGTGTGCTATCTGGGATGTAGAATGTTCTTTCAACTACATTCTGGGATATTCTGTATATCGGTATTAGGTTGGTACAAAAGTTTCGTCAAATAGAAAAAAATCAAAATGTCCAATCGCGAAGAATTAACAATTTTTGCACCAACCTAACAATATTAGAAATTTATTAATAATTAATTAATAATTAATATTAATTAATAATATTTATTTAATATTAATTATTAATATTATTAAAATTAATAATTATTAATATTAATTAATAAATATTAATTATTAATATCAATTAATAATTATTAATCAAATATTAGAATTATTAGAAATATTAGAATAATTATTAATCAAATATTAGAAATTTATTCATTCCCTAATGAAAGTGTGACGATGCGCTCATTAGGTGCCGGATAGCGAGAAGATCGCCGATAATTTTGTCGATAGATCCATCGCCAAAGTTTTAAACAGATGTAGAAATCCAACTAATGATCCTAGCGGACCTTATTGTTACGCGGTTTCCACTCCACATGCTACGGATGTTATAAAACGATATTGCACCGTTCGAATTTGTAGATCGTCAGGTAATTGAATTGTCATCACTAATTAGTCTGCCAATCATACACACACAACGTGAAAGAGAAAATTAAATATATTGTTATTTAAGCTCCATATCCTCATATGTTTTTTTTTTATATTGTCAAATCGTATTAAATTTATTTTTTCCAGGCATCTAGACATTCGGATACTTGTAAATTTTATCATTACGATTTTCTACGTAAATAATACGGTAGAAATCTATTTGTTTAGCAGAATCCATCGGAGAGAGTCACTGTGTGTGATACAGTTATCTTCATACGCGTCTCTTACTTACGGACTTTGCTTTTCGCAGAATGTCGAATGGCAGGAACTGCTAATGATTACATAGGCACGCTATCGACAACTCGTTCGGGTCGAACTTGCGCAAAGTGGTTGAGCGATTACGATCTCGAGCAGATGCAAAAACCTAACGCATCGTTGGCGGCAAGCGTCGCTTCCCCGAGTCCGGCTCGCGTGAGTCGTTCTTTGATGGAGCAAAATGTCTCATCGGGATCGTCACTGTTTACAAAATCACCGTCGCTTCCGCCACCGAAATTGTTGACGAAATCGAGATTTGCTGCTGTCAAACCTGTTCATAGCGTCGACCGAGCGTATTGGAATGACAGTCTCTATCCTGAACGTAGCGTTCGAAATGCCAGCAACTATTGCAGAGATCCTTCGCGCAACATCGCCGGTACCTGGTGTTACACGACGGATCCATTGGTCCCGCAAGATCTGTGCGATGTGAGAGATTGCGAGAAGCCAGGTGAAGTTTATTACTTACACATATATATGTTTAGTGGAAAATTTATATTGATTATGTAGATACCTATACAGTATAAAAAGTTGCAGCAACATTGTTGCAACATTGCAGCAATGTTGCTGCAACTTTTTGTGCTGTATGAATACTCGCAAATATTGGAAAACATAAGATATTCCTATACAATGAAGCAAGATATAACGAAGCAAAATATTTTTATGTACAATCATCTCATTAAATTTAATTAAAATTTACCATAAAATTTTGACTTGACAAATGTGTAAAATTACAGTAAATTACTGAGTAAAATGTCAGGTAAAATGGAATATTAAAAAAAATAAACATTAATTTAAAGATGATTTAAAGGGAAGATGTTCAATCTAAGTATCTTCGGTAACATTCTCAGAAGTTTCGTCCGCTGCTGTTCTTGAACATCAGGTTTTCGCAAGTTTATTGCTAATAAGAAATTATCATTATCCTTGCAGAGGAGTGTACGTTTTTCGTGAAAGGACACGGGATCGGACGGCGTTTGTACGTTTTTCCGGAGCATCGTACGGAGGGCTTGCATTTTTCGTTAAAAGCATGGGAACCCGACCGACCCGACTCCATAACGTTCGTGTTCACCGCCGACGATGGACTGAAATCCCGTTACATCCTCAAGATCGGTGCTTTAGATAATGAGAAAGTTCTCCTCTATTATCAATCAGAGGAAAAGGGTAACTTGACTGGTCAGCAACGCTGAATCGAGGAGTCCGTCTGTCTTTTGATTTGTTATTCAATCTCTCTTAATCTCCGCAACTGACAAGAAATAGCTCTGGTGAAGAAGAAGACACTGCCGCATTTATTGTACCTTGGTAAATGGAGTAGCTTCGTTATTCGCATACCTCGGGGACGCGTTCTCGTTTACTACGCTGGAGCGCCGGATCCGCTCTTCGAATGGGAACACCCCGAACCCGCCAAAGCCTTCTTACCGGTCTATTATTATTATAACAGCGAGAAAGGACACGCTATAGGAGTCGCTTTCGATTGCGCATCAAGTACATCTTGCAGTCCGTAAAGTCCGCGCTTCTTCGTGCTTGGATATTTAGTTCCCTTGATCTCTTCTTTTCTACGACTGTACAGGATGTCACATTGAGAACACGCAAACTGATCGCTACACGAGAATATTACCGGTGTCGACCTGGTCTAAGGAAGACTTGGTCAGACCCAACAAGTTAACGCTAATGATACGCGCCGAAGGAGTCATTTGGATACCGTTACTTCTGTTGCCCGCGACACCGGGGTAGGTCGAAATAATTGTTTCGTAAATCCTCCATATCCGTCTGTATGTATTGCGCTGTATCTTGCAGATTTTACGCGCTCATGCTCGGTAAGCAAGGCCGGTGGATACATTTCCTGAAGAACACATATCCCAGCGTGAAGGTTTATCACAAGCAGAAAGCGCCAATGCCGATATTTGCCAGCAAATCTTGGACGAATATTACCATAAAGTAATTCGCTCAAAAGCCGAATGTTGGGCATTAATCGATTGAAGAATTTTGCTCGACCGCGGCATGTGATTGAAACTAATGTCGAGTAAATCACGTGATCACGTATAATGACTGTTTCAATCGACTATTTTGATTTCATTGATTGTATATCGGTTAGTAATTGATTCCGTCTCAATCGATTAAATTATTCATAATTACAGATATGACAATTGATTACTTTTGATAATTAATTTACTGATTATTTTAGTCGACTGAGGTTTTTTAATAGATTAATACCCAACATTGTCTGTGTCTTGCTGAAACTGATTCAAACGCGTAACTCATCTCAACAACTCTTCCGTCGTTCATTTCGGTGAAGATGGTCGGGAAGCACGATTGACGTATTTTGCAACGAGACGATCGTGTTCCATTACGTGCATCGTCTACCACTCATCTTCTACTTCTTCTCACTCGCCGTGGACGCGGGAAGTTGGGCTACGTGGAGCGCGAATTGCATGCCGTCAGGTAGAATTGACTTATTGAATCTATAACTTGATATATCAGTTTGAAGGCATTTCAGATTCGAGTACAGTTCAAGATTTAAACCTTTAAAATCGATGGAATACTTCCTAAGATATTAATGAGTTATGAGTTAGAGTGATTATACTCTGTATATTTAGTTATAATTTAATATAATTTTCAATAAATAATATTCAAGCTGAAATATTTTTAGAAAATCGTTTCTTTTCGGAAAATCATAACGAATCTGATTCATTTTATATTTGAATATAAGTACATGTCACAAGTCAGTCTTATATATGATCTCAATGGATTAAAAGGACATAACGTAAGATTAATATTTTGAAACATAATAATTTTATCAGTCTCTCGCTTGTTTCATATCTGGCTGAGATTTGACTAATGTCCAAATTCGAATTTTTTCCAATGTTCATACAACCCCACTATAAATACTTAGGCTCATATACTCAACTCTCTTTTGTCATTAAAAGAGACTATAAAAGTGACTTATAGCCTCTTGATTGGCTATAAGTCACTTTTAGAGTCACTCTTAGTGATGAAAGAGTGTTCACAATATAGGACTTAGTCAACAATAACATTTTATCAATAATAAAATTTCCCATTCTGTAATATAAGTGTAATATAATACACGTTGTACGTAACAGTTATACACTGTTGAGTGAAAAATTACAACATTGACGTAAGGTTACTGCAAGTTAGTGCATTGTTCCGCATCCCTTTGCTTACCTTCCCTTTCGTTTCATTTACCTGTAGATATCGATGGTCCCCCTTTAGACGGCGGATGGTCCGAATGGGGACCGTGGGCGTGCAGTGCTAGCTGCAATGGCGGCATAGGAACCAGAAAACGATACTGTAATTCACCGGAGCCCAACGTGAAGGGTGAACCTTGTATAGGACCTAGCAGTATGACCGGTCGCTGCAATATGATTCTCTGTGGTGATATAACCGACGGTATACATATACATACGTTCAATATATGTGCTTTATTATTTATTTCACTGTTCGAAAGTGTAGTACATCCTTCTTAAGGAGCTTATTATGCTAATTTTCGCTTTCAATGCAGATACCGTGACTTTGATTAAGAGGGCAATCGCACAGAATTATACTGCACTTACCGTACACGAAGATGAACCGATATCACTTCCTTCCGATTTAAATATCGTGAGTGCCGTCAGAACCGAATCGCCCGATTCAGAAGTACAATGGTCTCACAATGGCATTTTCCTCCAGGAAGAAGAGCACAGACTGGAAATTAAAGATTACGAAATCAGTATGTAATACGGTATTCATATATATATATATCCTCAGAAAAATTATTATATATATATATCTTTTTTGCGTGTAGATATATAATTATATATGTAACTATATAGAGACAGAACTTATATATAATTTATATATAGGATTAGACATTTAAAACAGGTCACCTGAATGACTTGGAAAATATGCAAGATAGAAAAAATGTTAAATGCAGAAGTTGTAAGGTTTTGAGTGAGGCGCATCACATGGTAATACTAGTACGACCTTGAACAGTGTTATCAAGGTTGCGGGAAGGTCACTTTGAATTTTTTAAATAGAACTCCTTATTTTTTATTATATCATCTTTTTCTACCAATTAGTTTGAACAATTTTCGTCTGAAACATTTTTTTATTTGCCTAATATTTTTTAGAGAAAACTTGGTAACTTTTTAAATATTTAGCTTACAATATCTCGGTAATTATTCGGAAGAAAAAGCAGTACTAGACTGTTTTTACTCTATTTCGTCTCAAGAATATGCTGTTATGATAATGCCTTAATTTTTGTTAACTTGATGATCTTTGGAAATTTTAAAATCATTAAATTAATGAAAGTTAAGACATTATCGTAATATCATATTGTTGAGACCAAATAGAGTAAAAAAGCACCATTTTCTCCTCTAACAAATAGTTACCGAAATATCGAATTTACAAAATCAGTATGTAATACAGTATTCACACATATACATTCTCAGAAAAATTATTATACATATATATTTTTATACATAATATCGTAAATATACATAATACATAAATATCATAAATTCAATGTTTAACCAAATTACCAAGTTTTCCTTAAAATATCTAAAAAAATATTAGATAAATAAAAAAAATGTTTCACACAAAAGTTGCTCAAATTAATTTGTAGAAAAAGATAATCTAATAAAAAATTGGAGTTTCTATTTAAGAAAAGTGATGATTAGTGAATATCTCGAAAGTGGCGCCACATCCGTAAACTAAACGATATCGCTCTCTTTTGTCCCTTTTCAAACCAAATAACTTTTGTCTGAAACTGGTTTCTCCGTATCTTTTATATTTGTCGAGATATTTGATTGGACAAATGAAAATGAATCACCCTATATAACCATTTCTATCAGGATAAGATAATTCGCATTAAAACGCTTTACGCGTAAATTATTTTTTCGTTAACGTAAATTAATGAATAAGAACTTGCTTTTTTAGTAATAAACAGAGAATTTACTTCTTCTCAATGAACGGACGTGCATGAAATTTGCTTCTTTCGGTAATAAGTAGAAAATTTGTTCATTTTCAGTAATAAGCAGAGCGACGTTGAACGACTCGGGCGTGTATACGCTGACAGTTCATCGTATAGACGGGACGTATATGATATTTAAAGTGGCGACTTTGGCAGTGGTCCCAATGAAGGAAAGTGTCACTATTCGCGAAACTCTCTCCATGAACGTAAAGTGCCATTGCATTATCCTTGGCTACGTGTATTCCGACCTGAAGGTGTATTGGACTATCGATGACAGAGTGTGGAAAGACTATGGCGTCACGTTGCCCGTAGCTGCGAATGTAGATCACCTCCCAGCTGTAAATAAATCTCATCACGGCACGTGGAAGTGCGTTGTGGAGCAAGTCGACCTAAATTTCAAATGGACAACAAATATGATCCGCGTCAAAGGTATGAGCAAAAGAGAGAGAGAGAGAGAGAGAGAGAGAGAGAGAGAGAGAGAGAGAGAGAGAGAGAGAGAGAGAGAGAGAAAGAGAGACGGAATGATATCAAACTCTTCATCCAAGTCCACAAGAGTTTGAGCGTAAGACTTGTCTCGATTAACACGTTCATTAACACGGTTTATTTGGGGAATTATGCGAATTAGATTTGGTGATAATTTATGCGTGTACAAAGAGAAAAGTTATCGTCGTCACACACGTGTGACGCTTTGTTAGCGAATATCTTGATTGAAAATTTTGGGCAAAGAGATGAGTTTGAAGAAGTCAATGCGTCACGTACGACATGACATTGGTTGCAAACTAGTGTTAAATATGTTGAAATTACATAATCGCATTTTTGGCACATGAGATGTTTATAAAATACTGTTGATATGAATTATCGACAAGTTCTCGGGCCTCCAAACTGGCGTACTTACTTAATGGAGGATAAATTGACGCGGCCGATCTTTGGCTGGATGCCGAGCGAGGAATTCGTTGCTTACGCAGCATTGGCTATGATTCTGCTCCTGATATGCTGTATTATTATAGGCTCCACGCTTTATATCAGGTAATTACATAATTACACGATACATTTATTGAAGCTGCTTGCGTGCGCCCATTGCACCGAGATCGTACTGAATTTTTTCACCTCCCTGTCTTATAAGAAGAACTGAATTGCGAAGTAATCATAACGTGTCGTGTGTTTGATCTGTCTCGTAAGATTTCGAGAAAGTTTGAAAGTCAGTCCAGCCGCGGTCAAAGAGAAGATGCGCACGGGAAAACTTAAGACAAAGGACAGAAAAATCGCTGGAGTTTCTGCGTCCATAGAAACGGGAAATGAAAGTACAACGGACGATACCGTGCAGCTTGAAAAAGCGCATGGAGCAAAGGATAACGAGCACCGTGCGAGAAAATCGGAAAACTTCAATCACGATGCTATGAAGTCACACCAATCGAGATCCAAAAGAGGAACTGCTTGGCCTCGCAGGCTGTTCAAGAACAAGTCCAAGTCGGGACGTGAAGGTTTGCTTAAAGATAAAACAAATTCTGCAACTATATTATCACCCCATTCCCCCCCCCCCCTTTCATCGACTGCAACCCGAATTGCAGATTGGAGCAGCGAAACTAAATCGACCGTCGACGAGACGTCGGAGAGAACGAACTTGATCAGCGACAGCGACACCGCATAAATAAGCAAGATCTCCAGCATAAGGATCAGGCATGTGCGACATCCGACACGCACAGGTGTCATTTATTTCGCAGAGAATCGACGTACAGCTCTCTTCAAATTCGCAGTGTCAATCGATAATCTCTCGACGGCTGCGTACCCTCGAATCGCTCGCGGTTTTGGTCGAAGCGGTCGAGCGAAGGAGACGACGCATGGCAGACGCCAGTGCGAATCAAACGAGATGAAGGAAGGGTGAATGAGAGAAAAAGGAGCTCCGAGAAAGAGAGCACGAGGGTCCACTCTGGGCCCGGAGGGCGGGAAGGATTCGCTCTACGGGGAGGGAGAGTCGATCGACGGGGAGTGAAGTTGCCAGCAGATCGGTAGGACAGGCCTGAGGGAAGCGCAACAAAAACAGAGAAAAAGAAACGACGGAGGCTATTTGCTGGAAGCGGTAGGGAGGGTGAGAGCGGCCGCGTCCTGGCTGGATAGAGAGAGAGGGAGAGAGAGAGGGAGAGAGAGAGAGAGAGAGAGAGAGAGAGAGAGAGAGAGAGAGAGAGAGAGAAGAAGCAGACACAGAGAGGGAGAAAGAGACAAAGAGCGAGGAGGTGCAACCTGAACGAGCATGAGAAGGATCGAGAGAGAAGTAGAGAGCGACAGGTGCGCGGGCGCCCACGTGGGTTCCTCTTTGAAGCGAATGGTGGAAAGACGAAGACGAAGAAGAAGAAGAGGAAGAGGAGACGACGACGACAACGACGATGGCGACGACGACGACGACGACGATGAGGATGATGACGACGACGACAACGACGAGAATGATGATGATGACGATGACGACGACGACGACGAGGACGACGACGAAGACGACGAGAGGGATGACCGGCCGGCTTCCTTGTGCCGGTTGAACGGACCGACACTCACTCTACACTCGAGGTTGCACTCGCGAGCTGAGCGTACCATGGTGGGGTGAAGACTGCACTGGCGTAGGGCCTGTTTTCCATCGATAAATCACACATCCTTTCACGGTTGCGCGCGCGGGGACTGTTTACGAGTACACTCGTTACACGTTGTCTAATGGAATCGAGGAATCAAAGGACGTGGTGGAGAGTAACAACTTCCCGTTTGGACACTCGCTGATGCCACGGCCTGGCTACGACGAGACACTTGCTGACAACCACGCTCCATTTTCATTGAATGCGCCCGGTGCTGATTTCTGTGGCATCTCTCCCATTCCCGGTGAGGATATCGTTCACGGCTGTGTTCATGCCGGAGCGCATGACGACGGACGGAGCGAGCTAGCCGAGGCCAGTCGAATATCCCTAAGGCTATACCCTGACTACGCCGATGAAAAAGGCCGCGGCGAGGGCCCGGCGCGATGAGTGGGAAAAGGTGGCTCCAGGAGGGGGAAGGGCTAACCATTCGGTAGCAAATGTTGGTAACCCGTCGCAAGGTCAAGATCAGTCGGTTAATCCCGTCCAGTCGGCCGAGGGCCTTGCACCTTGCACGGTGAACGATTCTGTTGCCTCTCTCTGTCTGTCTGTCTGTCTATCTGTCTGTCTGTCTGTCTGTCTGTCTGTCTGTCTGCCCGCCTGCCTGCCTGCCTGCCTGTCTGCCCGCCTGCCTGCCTGCCTGCCTGCCTGCCTGTCTGTCTGTCTGTCTGTCTGTCTGTCTGTCTACCTGCCTGCCTGCCTGCCTGCCTGCCTGCCTGCCTGCCTGCCTGCCTGCCTGCCTGCCTGCTTGTCTGTCTACCTGCCTGCCTGCCTGCCTGCCTGCCTGCCTGCCTGCCTGTCTGCCTGCCTGCCTGCCTGCCTGACTGCCTACCTGTCTGTCGCTTATGTTCGCGCCGCTTACGTTCTACGTGCGTAATTTTGCGGCTGACACACGGCAGATGCATGAATTAACGCGCAATTAACGACGACGAGGGCGGCACCGCGACTCTTCGGGATCGGGCGGATCGTCATCTCGTCGGGGAACGTCCGGACACGTCTGTGCTCCTAAATGTCAACCCGCTCGGCGCGACTCGGCAGCGGTGAGCGATGATCCTGTCGTCCGACACGCGACGCACTGTCTGAGCAGCAGCTAGTGTGTTTCCTCAGGAACACGGCCGATGTGTCTCTCTCTTCATTCTTATCCGAAGCTGCAAACCGCACGAGATTGCCCTGACGGCGGTGTCACGCGCGCACGGATGTGCCCGGAGTAAGTCGGCTCGCGGAGTGGAGAGGAGGTGGATCCCCAAAAACATTCTCGCCAGTTGGACTTCTCTGTTATGGAAACTTGCGTCTTGATACCCAGAGAATTCTCCTTGGTCCTCACTAGCGATCAGTCGTCCTGCAAGAACCTCTTCAAAAATGACTCGGGCACGTTGGTCGCGGACGTGAGAATTTCGGTGTGGTCGAACGTGTTCATCCCGTCGGGCACCCTCATCTATCCGTTTCAGGGATCGATCAGATTCGACAAGATCGACCTTTACTCCCTTCTCGACGACAATGACGTAAGTGTGAGAACGCACGCGCCTGTTTCTAATCAGCTTCCCTTATTTTGTGCTACTTTTATATTGACTCTTAATCTTATCTTCCCGAGAAACGTTTCTCCACCGATTTGTAACTTGAAATTATTTTCTTCCAACTTGAGATTATTTTCCTGAGATTTGTTTCCTTTTTAATTTTAAATTATTTTCTCCCGGCTTGAAATTACTTTCGTCGCTTGAAATTACTTTCCCTTAATTCGCAGTTATTATTTTCTTCCAATATGAAATTATCTTCTCTGAACTTGAAGTTGTTTCAGCTTATTCTTTCTCAACCTGCAGTTATTTCTTCTCAATTCGAGATTATCTTCTTCTGTGTACATATCAAGCGTTCGCTTAAAATGGACAGAACATTCTTTTGCCGATTGTTCGTCCGTTTGGAAGTCAACAATCGCGAGAGAAACTTTTCCAGTCGGGAAACGTCGGCTTTTCGAACCTCATCACTTGTGGCCGACTTGGCTAGTTCGAAAAACGAAAGAGAAGCCGACGCTCGGTGAAAATTAAGAGTCACCTCTCGTGCATGCACACACACCGGCGGCCGGCGGCAAAAATTCGGCATTGATAGCGCGTATCGTCGATGCGCGCCGGCCACGCTCTCGATCGCCGCTCATTAAAGCGATATGCTTTTAGATCAGACGCGAGTACGGCTGTTACGACGAGGTCTTCTTCTCGAACTACAATCTTAACAAGCGTCAGTGCAATTGGATAAGGTTCCTACGTATCGTCCAATCGTACGATGAGCAAGTTAATCTGATCGGCACGAAGGTAAAAGGTACGTCGAAAGGGGTGCTCGAGCCGTTCGGTAGGCTCCACAACGTCGAAGCGTTAATGTACGGACGCTTGCTAATTGGCACTAATGATTTTTGCGCACAATACGAAGAAAAGGAGAGGAATTGTACGTAATATAAAACAGAGATAAATAAGGCACGGAGTAAGGACGGGTGATCGGTAATCGACGATGAAAAATTCACATTGATCCTTTGCAATTCTACGTCAAGGATCGCTTGAATTAATCGATAACAGGAAAAAACAGGGAGAATAACGGGGATCAAATGGACTTGGATGAGAGGAGAGATTCCTGGGAGATTTCTAATCAGCCAATTATTTTCAATTATCTCAACCATGTTTTAATACACGCAGCTGAATGTTCGAGTAATTTTTTCAATCGCGATAACACAGAAACAGGTCATTCCTCGTGGCCGAATTTTCCTCTCTGGTTCCTATTTAATTGTAACTCGAGATCTTTCTCGAAGCGTGGCAATGATTGAAGCAAATGCGTTTTACTCGAAGGAAATGGAATCGCCGGTTCTTCGAACTGATATTCCCTTACAAGAACCGGACATTTTATTTCCTTCAACCGAAACGCGTTTGCTTCGTTCGTTATCACGTTGAATCAACCGATCTTTTCTTCTGCGCTCGACATTGCGTCTTGTACTGGCCAGTCTCATCATCAATCAACTTTTTATTTATCATTAAATTAACAATATCAATGACTAAGAAGCCTTCCTAGCCGTCGTAGGTGCGAAAGAGTAAATTCTCAAAAGGAAAACTGTTTGGAAAATTCACTTTGTTCTGAACGATCGCATTCTTCTCGTATTCTTTAGTTCTTCAACATCTCGAACAGGAGTAAAATGTTCCTTCTGAGTCGGGAAAGAGAATTCTGAGTTCGCTGAGTGAAAAAAATTCAAAAATGACCATTTTCATGCGAGGTTATCCTTCACAAAGTAGTTATCCATGTTGATGAATAAAAGGGTAAAAATAATCAAAGAAAATGAAACGTAATTTCAAGATAGACTCGACATAGGATTGCAAGGGATTAATGTTTTCATTGCTTATCGATAATAATACATAGTGTGAATATGAATAGTGAAATATGGAAATGAGAACGCACAAACACGAGATTGTCGCGAGGTTATGGCATTTCCACACCGAGCCAGCTGAGATGAAGAGCCGAAAATAGTTTGGGCTGCAAAGAGCCCAACACTTGTTACATCTCGCGAGTTTTAGGAACAGTTCTCAGTTTATCTTCTGTTCCGTTTTTCGTGTCGTCGCGTAAATAACTTTACCTTAAAGCGAGTAATTTACTTGTATCAGTCGAAATCTTCGTTCGAGAAACGAGCAGGTTTCTTGTCGGTGATACGTTAACGCCAATATTTCTCATAGTTCAACGCTAGACTATCTTACGTGCCTTCGTCTTGACCTTTTTTCTTCACCGCAGGTGAGCCTATATTCGAGGTGATAAAGGACGTCCAGCCGGACACGGAACTGGTAGCTTGGTTCCTGCCAGTAACGCAGCAGGATTTCGTTATCATCTCGCACGATGTATGCTCCAGATCGGCTATCTACAGGTGCACGATCGACTCTATCTTAGACGGTAAGTGAAAGACGCACGCGATAGTCATGCTCGTTCGCTCGCTCGCGAGCGAGTCGCCGGCAAACATCGTTCGGAAAGTGCATGTGAAATCTGCTGGAGCGCACGCCTTTAAAATATATCGGAAATATACGGTAAATTCCAACTACCCGTACACGCAGGTTGACGACTTCAATTGTCCCTCATTGTCGCGCCGAGCCGAGAAGACAATGACCGGTATTCCGTGAAATTTCTTTCGATCGATAAAAGTGGTCCCAACAATGGCTTACAATCAATCCGGCAGGCTCGTAAGCCACTTTTCAGAATCATTTTTACCGATAAAAGAACGTTCAAAATATCGGTCAATGATTCTACGTGAAGCAACAAGTAATGAAAGAAAAAAGTATCGCAAAAGCAGGATATTATTATTCTAAATAGAAATGTAAAATAGAGGAGTGACACGGTTAACTTTTTCAGCTCTTGTTGATTCGTTTTTAACTACTTTAACCCTCCGACTCGACTTTCTCGAGAGCAAAGCCTTATCTAAAAGATTTGCTCTGCTAATTTCTGATGTTGAATTATTTTTCTTCCACGATTTCACCGTCAGTCAACGAGTCACATTGCACGTCAATTTGGTTTTCCTTTAAATTTTCTTAACTCTTCTCGTTTTTATTCTTTTCAATAGCCGAACTTTATTTTCTCATGAACAAGAAGTCTAGCGTGGAAAATTTGTTAGTTATTCCACACTTTTTATTCATTTCTTGCATTTAATGTTTTCTCTTTCATTCGGTTACATCGACGATTAACGACCCACACGTTGCACATAAATGACGCATGTCTTTTTCGTTAATTCTTCTTACGTTTAATCGTTTTAATCTTCAAATTTTATTCCTTTTAAGGCAAAGTTTTGTGTAAAAAAATTTGTTATTTCAAGTCTTTGATCGATATTGCCCGTGTTTTCTTCCACGGTTGCACCGATTAACGATCAACGTTGCACATAAATCTGGCGCATGCGTTTTTTATCAAGTTTTCTTACGTTTAACCGTTTTAATCTTCAGACTTCGTTTTCTCGAGAATAAAGTTTTTTGCGTAAGAAAATTTGTTACTCCAAGTTTTCAATCGATATTTCCCGTGTTTTTTTTTCACAGTTGCACCGATTAACGATCAACGTTGCACACAAATCTGGCGCATGCGTTTTTCGTCAACTTCTCTTACATTTAACCGTTTTAATCTTCAGACTTTGTTTTTTTTTTTCGAGAATAAAGTCTTGTGCAAGAAAATTTGTTACTTCAAGTCTTTGATCCATATTGCCCGTGTTTTCTTCCACGGTTGCACCGATTAACGATCAACGTTGCACATAAATCTGGTGCATGCGTTTTTTATCAAGTTTTCTTACGTTTAACCGTTTTAATCTTCAGACTTCGTTTTCTCGAGAATAAAGTTTTTTGCGTAAGAAAATTTGTTACTCCAAGTTTTCAATCGATATTTCCCGTGTTTTTTTTTTCACGGTTGCACCGATTAACGATCAACGTTGCACACAAATCTGGCGCATGCGTTTTTCGTCAACTTCTCTTACATTTAACCGTTTTAATCTTCAGACTTTGTTTTCTTTTTTTTTTTCGAGAATAAAGTCTTGTGCAAGAAAATTTGTTACTCCAAGTTTTCGATCGATATTTCCCATGTTTAATCAGTTTTCTTCTACGGTTGCACGGTGCGCCGATTAACAACCCACACGTTGCATATCTCGCGCATGCGGGAGTTATTTACTCAAGCAATTTTGAGGTACACACCGCCCTCTTTCGCGGGAGGAATTCCTTTCACGGTATACAAGCTGTACGAGCACAGCTACCGAATTTATCGTCCCTTCCTAATTCCTTCGCGAGTCTCTCTCTCTCTCTCTCTCTCTCTCTCTCTCTCTCTCTCTCTCTCTCTCTCTCTCTCTCTCTCTCTCTCTCTCTCTCTCTCTCTCTCTCTCTCTCTCTCTCTCTCTCTCTCTCTCTCTCTCTCTCTCTCTCTCTCTCTTCTGAGAGTTTACAAGAAACGCCGCGTCCCGAAGTTGTAACTAAGGATCGTCTAGCTACCCGGCGACCATTGTACTGTCTTTTATCTTCGGTGAACGCGCACGACGACGACGACGACGACGACGATGAGGACGACGGCGACGACAACGACGATGACGACGACGGCGACGGTGGCCGCGGTCTACACATTTGAATCGGAAATCGCGCACCTTGTGATCCGCCCGACAAAAATGCCGCCTCCTATTTGCATTTCAGATCGTTTTCGGTAATCTCATTGCTCCTTTTCCGATTGCGCCACGATTACCGCCGTGAAGCCTGCGCAACGGCAGTCGATTCGCGGAGAGATGAAAGAGATGAACGTGAAATTGTCGCGAGTTGCCTGCCGTCGATTTTCGTAAGAACCGGCGAGGAAGAAAGGAAAAAAAGAGAAAATGCAAGACAATAATTTTTTGTTTCTGCAAAAGCGCTAAAGTTTGCGGTACTTGTTTTACATGTTCAATTAAACTGCAAGGTTTGCCAATTATCTTCTCCACGCTGTGATCTTTTTTCTCGATCTCAACTGAATTTATTGATATCGATAAAATGACTTAAAAGACTTAAAAGAGAATTTTGAGCTTAAACATTTGAATTCTAGAATGATAAAAATACATAGAAGGGGATACGACGAAGAATATCGAAAGGAGCAAGAAGACAAGGGGGACAATTTTTGCAAGATGGAAAATAATTCACGGGCGTGCTGCTTTATAAAAGCATCGAAATAATAGTTTATTATTAATTAAATAATTTAATTAACATTTACACAATTTAATTTAATTCTGAACAATTCATTCTTCTTCGCTAAATATTTCTTCTCGATCTCAACAAAATTTAGTTAGTGTTGAAAAGAAAACTTTAAACTGTACAAAACGATGAAAATATCATAAGGATGGTTGAAGAATTATGGAGCAAGGATATCGCTGCAGAGTGGAACATAACACAGCTGAGAATGTTGCTTTCTAAAAATACGTTTTATCCGTGTCTCTCCCCCTTCCGTATCCCTCTCGTGGTTAAATTCCTAAAGTTTAAAATTCAGCCGAAGGCAATATAATCGAGCTTTTACATGGATTATTTACCACGCAGAATCCCCGCTGGACCTGTCGATGACGCTGCTCGCTCATCATTCTCTACCACCGATATCACACTCCTATTACGAAATGGATGAGTACGAATCGACGTCCGAGGAATCCTCATCATCCACGCTGTCGTTGGCCGGCGATCATCTCGATTGCAGCATCCTCACGACGATTAAGAGAGGAGAGAGGGTTTTATTGCCCTGCGAAGTCTGCGGCAAATCCTTCGACCGGCCGTCCCTTCTGAAACGACACATGAGAACGCACACAGGTACGACACGAACTTCCGGGACTCGCAATGTTAGATTCCACGTTCCTTCGCTACGTTGATTATACGCGTGATCAAAAATCATCTTATCTTTGCCACTTCAAAATTGCAATAAGCCAAATAACAGTTACGTTCCATCTTTCTATCATGGAAGGATGGCGAAGATTGTACAAATCTTCGAATGCAATGTTAAATTTTACTGTCAATTTACAATAGGCCATTTACGGCCCGTTTACGGACTCATTTTTGTTTTTCACTTTTCGAGATTTCCATCCAATTCGCATTCTCTCTAACAATTCAAATTTGGTCTTGAGATCAATCGGTTTGAATTCATAAGATGAAGAGAGTACGAAATAATTATTTTCCTTGAATATTTCAAAATCACGATTGCCTGCTGTGAGACGAACCTGGAATTGAAGACGAAATTCCTACTGTAGAAAATTGACGAAAATTACGTAAACTTTTAAATACAACGTCAGGCCTCACAGTGTACATTCCTCTCGTTTGTGGATAATTCGTATTTGCGCTTCACTTTTGAGGTTTCCGTCGATTCGCATCTTCTCTCCGTAAACAATTCAAATTTGGTCTTGAGATCTATCGGTTTGAATTCATAAGATGAAAAGAGTAATAATTATTTTCCTTGAATATTTCAAAATCACGATTGCCTGCTGTGAGACGAACCTGGAATTGAAGACGAAATTCCTACTGTAGAAAATTGACGAAAATTACGTAAACTTTTAAATACAACGTCAGGCCTCATAGTGTACATTCCTCTCGTTTGCGGATAACTCGTATTTGCTCTTCATTTTGGAGATTACCGTCAGTTTACACCTTGCCCGCGTAAACAGTTCGAATTTGGACCAATCGGGTCGACCCGATGTTCGAAAAGAGTAACTTCCAATCGCAAGGAAAAGAACAGAATGCATCTCTCTGTGCAATCGCCTGGGAATACTTTGGTCCTGCCGCAAGTCGGGCGGCTTTTACTCCCCGGGCAAACGTCGCGTGATTCGCGAACTGCGAAATCGCGATCGTGTTCGTCGTCGATGACCGAGATAAATGACGCGCGCTCGAAGCAGAGGGACGTCGTGGCGCGTCGTCCGCGTATAAATCGTGCGAGAAATCGTATAAAACGAAGGGTCAGCGCAGTAATTCAGGATCGGTATTAAATTGAAGGGGAGAAACCGCATGTCTGCATGGTGTGCAACAAGGGTTTCTCAACCTCGAGCTCGCTGAACACGCATAAGCGCATCCACAGTGGCGAAAAACCCCATCAGTGCCTCGTCTGCGGTAAGAAGTTCACAGCCTCGTCGAATCTCTACTATCATCGGATGACTCATATCAAGGTGAGTATGTTCCCCGTATTGTGTCTTCATCGAATGTGTGTGTGTGTGGGTTTCTTCGCGCTTCGACATCGCGAAGCTCATGATATGATCATTCATACTCATACTCAGCTAGGTTTGCAGTGATATGCTTACCTTTGCAGCGATACAGGTGTAACTTCAGAGGTATTTCACCGTACAACTTTGAGGCTGTCGTCAGCCGAGCCAATGCCGCGCTGGAATTTCGTTCCTTTCCAACCCTTGCGCGCTTCACTTTACCCCAAAAGCAAAAAGTGCAATCTAATTCGACTGAAGGGGGCAGACCCTGAGGAACCCAAAGGGAGGAGGAACAAAGTATCCCCTCCCCCCCTCTCCCGCCAGCGCAACGTTAGTCCGCTGGAAAAGAACAGACCTGACAATCGCATTCTCCCCTGATCTGAAATTCCGTCCGCGCACAAATGAGAACAATTCATGAATGGCCGTCTGTAAATCAGGGCGATTCAAAGTAGAGGCCACGAATTACAGCAGCTGATGGTCCGCACCGAAAGGCGGCCGATGATTTATTCATCGGCCGGAGCCCGATCGGCTCGGCCGTAACGCTGAAAAGCCGAAAGGGCCGAAGAAGGAGGGCAAGAAACGGCGGCGCTCGACGGAGTTTTCGGCAAGAAAACGTCCGCCTCGAATTGACGAGCGATTGCCATTAATCCGGGAACACGCGGCCGCGCACTCGCGCTCGCGCCTCGCCGCGCGTTTTCATCTCTTTGCCTCTCGTATTCCGCGTAAGCCTGGTAGAACTGGAGTGGCCAATAAGAAAGACGGAGCAATGATCGTAGAAGACGGCCGAAGGAAGAGGAAGAGGAGGAGAAGAAGGTGGATGAGGTGGATGTGAGGAGAATGAGCAGGAGGAGGAGGAGGAGGAGAAGGAGGAGGAAAGACGGGCGCGCGCGCGCGCGCGAGAAGAGAGCGAGGAGAGATGCAAAGTTTTTATTTATCACAGCGGAAACCGTATGAGTTTCTCTAATCCCCCCCGAAGTAATGATATCTCGGGAGCCATATAGGTTGGTCTGCCATCAGCTACTGTAATTGGCCCATTACTTGCTACCGCATGGAATGCAATCCAATTAGAGAGACAGAGAACGTACCCGGAGGCTTCTCGCCACGTTACTCACCCTCCTGCCCCTCCTCCCCTCCCCGCTCGCTCTCTCTCTCTCTTTCTCTCTCCCTCCCTCCCTTCCTCCTTCCCTCCCTCCCTCCCTTCCGCCCCTCCCCTGTCGCCGCTGCTGCACACGTCCTGCTCGTTCTGCTGCTCCTGCTGTTCCTACTTTTGCCTCCCCTCCGCCGCCCTCTTGCCCTCTTGCCGTCCCCGCGGCCCCACCTCGCCAGCTCCTCGTCGTCCTCCTCTTGCCGCCCTCCCCCCTCCCCGAGCCCGCGTCGCGGCCTCCTCGCGTGTCGCTTTGCTCTGATTTTTCTCTTCGGCCCCTCGCTCCCCTCCTCCTCCTCCTCCTCCTCTTCTTCTCGCTTTTCTTGCGCGAGATCCATCCGAATTTCGCCTCTTCTTGTCCTTCCCGCGAAATTCCTGGCGCGACAGATGCCCCGGACAAAAGTCGGACGCGCCGGCAATCGTCGGTGAATAACGACGTGGGCCCCGGCCGACCGCGAAGGGCCCACTGCGCTTTTCGCACTTTCTTTCGGGCCCCGCGCTCTTGACAGATTCATCACCGGCCCGACGCGCTTTTCGCGTCTCGTCCTCGTCGCCGTCCGCGCCAGGCGGAACCCTCGTCTCGGCTTCCGCGGCGATTTCGTCCTCGCGTCGCGAGGCTCGGCTGCCGGAAGCAGCGGCGGCGGCGCTTCCGAAGACCCGCACGGGGAGGAGGAAGTTGCGTCGCGGTCCTCTCAATGCGCGACGCCGGCGGATTCCTCGCCGATAATCTCATCGGTTCTCGGAAGTAATCGCGCGGAGCGGCATTAAAATGGGACATCTCTTCGTGTAACGTGTGTGGAAACCTGCCAATTATTCTCCCGCTCGGCGATCCGCGCCTCCTATGATGCAGCTGCGGACGCCGATGAGCCTGCGCTAACGCACGCACGCACGCACGCACGCACGCACGCACGCACACGTGCTCGCGGATCGCGACTATCGGCAGGTGCATCCCGAGATTACGCGTGTAAACGAGGGAGCGTGTGCTGTGCGTGTACGCGCGTACTTACACAGCGAGCGAGCGAGCGAGCAAGCGAGCGAGCAAGCGAGCGACGCAGCGAACGTTTGCAGGCGGCCTTAACGAGCCGCGTGTGCACACCGGTTTTAGTTTAGCAAGGTTATTTGCTAAACGGCCTTCCTGCCTGCGTGAGTAATTGCCACTGAACGAGAGCGTGGCCGAGCTATTTTGAATCGTTAGTGAAAAAAAGGAGGGAAAAGGAGAGAGAGAGAGAGAGAGAGAGAGAGGGAGAGGGAGGGGGAGAGGTATCACCTCGACGCCGCGCTTGAGCTTTCTATGGAACGTGTTTGAAGTCGCGCGTCACCCGTTATGGACGTCCTGGACGACGTCGAGGTGGACTTTTCCTCGGCAGAGGATCTCCGAGGAGGAGGCGAGTTGGTTGGCGCGGAGTCGACGGGGAAATTGAGACTCGGCAGTTCCGTAGCGCAGACTCGCGAGGAACGAGCTTCATTCTACGCTCGTAAGGACGACAGAACGTCGTCTACACGGGCGAAAAGTCTCAGCTTGTGAATGAGGAGCGAAGGAAAAGTTGCCAAGGAGAAACGATATTTCTGCCAGCACGATCGGAAACGAAAACGGAAAATATGCCTATAAGTTTACATAATTATAATTTTATATAATTATATATAAAATATTTGTAGTTATATGTAATTTCCATGTGCGGATGTGGGTCATGTGCACAATAATAATTATAAATATGTTTATACGAACAAAAGTGCTGTTAAATATAAATAACAAAAAAATATGATATTTTATATGATCGATGTCAGTAAATAATTGCATATAATTATACACGATCATTATAACATGAATTTTGTTTCTATATAGTCATATGTATGTAACAACATGTATATACATGTCCACGTCCAAGGAAAGTGCTGTTGAATAAACAAGAGAAGAAACAATGTCACTCGATTAAGCGTCGACGTCGCGGGCTGCCGCAAACCTAAGAATGTACTTGAATTCTATTTGTTCAACAGCACTTTTTCGCGTTTTCCACACGTATATAATTATTATATACTACGCGTGATTATACACGGCTATGTAAAAAGGAAATTCATGTAATTACTTTTTTCCCCGGGAAGTCCGTCATGCCTGCAATTATGGCTGACAAACCGTCCGCTTAAAGCGTTGAGCTCGTCACGGAATGTCATACGGTATCTGAACACGCTACATAGTAGCATAGTACCTGTCCGATCTGGATTCCAGCTTGATATTTCCAGGTCGCGTCTTCGCTTTGATTCTGACACTTTGTGAACATTCTAGTCCACGTCTTTGGGGAAAAGGACAATCCGAAGCTTCGCCGGTTGTTGTTGCTCTTTCGCTCAATCAGGTTCACCAACCCGGAATTTAGAGACCGTATTTTGAAACGCTAAATATGTCCTTCTGATCCTCAAGAAACAACGTTACATTTGACGTTCGTGTGAAGAAAGCCGGAATGTGGAGTTGGAAAGGCACACGGAAACGTAAAGATTGGTGGAATTAACGTCACAATGAACGAACCAGGCGCGCGTTAATTAGAGAAAACAGAAGTCCCTAGTTCTTGTAACCGAGCTTGGTTCATGGACTTTCAGGGATTCCATTTCCTTCGAGCAAAATGCGTCTGGTCCGTCCATCGTCGCGTTAATTGTACCCAACCGTGCATATTTAATGCGTGATATTCGTCACGCGTCCAATAAGGCGCTCGAGCGTTTACCCACACCATGAAAGCCTCAAATAGTCACAGATACCTGTTCTACTTTCAGGAGAAGCCACACAAATGTTCACAATGCTCCAAGTCATTCCCGACGCCAGGCGACCTGAAGAGCCACATGTATGTGCACAATGGGCTGTGGCCGTTCAGATGTCACATCTGTAGCCGTGGCTTCAGCAAGCCCACCAACTTGAAGAATCACATGCTCCTCCACCTAGGCAGGTGCTCCAATAAGAAGTACATCAAGTCGATCCCCGACTTGTGACCGAGTGCGAACTCGTGACGGTTTTCCCCGCCTCGGGGAGTCCCGAGGATCGCTCTGACGTAGACGTTAACGTGCCATTGCTGGTCAGACATGCGAGTCGACATGAGGATGACCGATACGTAGGTGCCATCCGCTTGTGTTGCGATTGACTCAGGTATACGTGAAAGCGCACTTGTACAACGCGGAAAGTTCTCACGCGAGGTTTCTTGATTATCGCTAATTACCTTTTGTTAGCGTCGCGTTGTTTCTTAATTCTTCGCTGATTGCGTGGTTAACGTAAGTTGTAAGTTGTAAGCAGCAAATACGTAAGTAACGAGAACATTGCGTCACTTCCCACTCGGTAATGTGAGTGACGCGACACTCGCATTGTGAAACAGTTTGAGCACTTTTCTTTCCAACGAAGTTTGGAGCGCGTCAAACGGACAATATTGCGAGCCACTGCTTATGGGCTTGCGTGGTTATAGCAAGAGTCAAAATACGCAGCATACGATGTAAGGTACCGCGACTCTTCATTACATTCTGATAAATGAAGATGTAGTAGAGACGATTTTCCCGAAAGTTGTTCCCAAATTAATTGGTAGAAAAAAATGATGTAATAAAAAATGAAGGTTTAAAGTTGACCTTGATTCGACCTCTAAATCTTATGAATCTTTCATTATAGCTGTGACGTGGAATATACCTCGTATGAAAGCGTCATCTTTTCAAGTTAACTCGGGGTATCTTTCTGGTACACTTTGTATATATGTATATTATATCATATTAATATTGATGCCCAATGCCACTGCTTCGGTTTCTACCATAACAAATTATTGCGCAGACTCGTGAGTGGCGATTCGCGATCGTGACCACTTAATGCTCTCCTAGCGCTTTATAAAAAAAGCGCTCAAACGGCCTCACAGACAAGTGTACGATGTAACAGTCACATTGTTATGTTAGGGAGGTTATAAGATTGATGTTACGCTACTGTTACTCGGCGTTTGCCGGAATATTGTATATAATTATTCGTTCGTAATAATATTTTCCTACGGATTAATCTCTCTCGACACTTTCGTACCTCGATTAACTGTACGCGACGATTCGTCCTCGACGATGCGTCGTTGATATGGATACGACGAAGTAAAGCTTCCGTGACTGAGCGGAATAATTCTACACCCCTCACTTGTCTCCACGGGTTTTTCTTCTAATTTTTGTTTGGCAATTACGGAGTACTCTAGTGCGGGAAGACACACTGAGTATGAGTTTTCACAAGGCTGTTGTATCGCTCTCGATTGCGAAAGCGTTGTTTGAAATCGATCGGGCAACCGAGACATGACAAATGAGTCACCCTATGTATAGACACACAACGGTTCTTTGCAAAACGAGGAACGTAAGTTGCCATTTTCTATACTAATAGTTGTGAGTAACGATTAAAGGTATATTAAAGATGTTTTAAGACACATGTACTTGGATAATGCATGATAAATATATACATATGTACACATACACATATACGTACACGTACACGTATGTGTGTGTGTATGTATATGCAGTAAGATTTTCATTTTATATCGCCGTCGCTTCCCTCGGAGGTGAGAGCACGGCGACGATTTCCGTTGTATCGACCTTACCCATTGTCAGGTATCAGCAATTTTCAAATAAATATTATACCTGCAGAGATATCATAGACTATTTATTTGATTGTGTCGTGGTGATGGCCGATGCGTGCTCCTTTTAACCGGTGTGAGCGCATTGGAAATCGCGCGCAAGGGATGCATTGCTCTCGGTCGCGGATACTTCTCGTTCCATTGTGATCTTGTTGATTTCGAGGGTCGGAGTACAAAAAGACGGGCCACGCGCGTGTCCTCTGTAAATACTCTATTAAACGGAACACAATTTGGAGATATTTAGATCTTTTTTTTTTTTCACGTTCTTTTTTGCTTGCCTTTTCTTTGTTTTTTTCCTTTCTTACGTAACTTCGCCATATTAATAATCTTTAATAATTATCGTCATCTTTTTGTTTTTTTTTTTTTAATGCGCATCACTACACGCCGCCAGAGCCGCCGCTGCCGAGCCCGGCTTTCGTGTCAACAGGTACTTGTTTCTGGAAACAGTCCTCCAAGAACTGCGCCATCGAGAGGTACAAATGTTCCTTCACGCCCGCCAAAGTGTGGCTCACGTCTGGGTAGACCTGCGAACAAATCATGTGGAGCACGTATATCTATCAGGAATTATTAATTATTTGATTGGCTCACAATTCTGACATCACATAGATGTATTAAGTTTTATTTCAAAAGAAGGCAAAGAGATCTAGAAGAAAATGACTAAACATATGTATACATAGGGTGTTTCCTATATCTTGACCAAGATGAAATATTTATGAAATATTTCCGTTGCATTTTTAATGATACAAAAAAATATTTGAAAAAACGATGCACTGTTCAATTGCGATAATATTTTTACATTTTTTATATATACATATATATATATATATATATATATATATATATATATATATATATATATATACAGGATATCCGGGATCTTTTGGAAACAAAAAATTGTGAAGATTAATCTTAGACACGTATACGCATTCATGGTCCACATGGATGACACTCGTCGGACGCAGATATGCGTCCATAGCACTCAAGAGGTCAAAAATGCTCCATTCTTATCCGCAAAAAATGGTATTAAAGTACCTGCTGCCGAAAGAGTATGCCTTTCTTAGCGAGATGACGGGCAAGCGCCATGGACTGCTGGAACTGGACGTTGTCATCCGCAGTCCCATGCACCAAATAAAACATCTTGTCGTGCAGATGCTCGACTTTGTCGTAAACGTTGGATTCAGCGTAGCCTTTGTAATTCGACGTCACGTTCGGTAGCCCCATATATCTCTCGGCGTACGCGGAATCTGCGCGACAAATCGCTCGAGGTCATCGGATTGAACATGCAAGTACGAAACTTATATATATATATATATATATATATAAAGATATATTTAGATAAAACAGAATACCGTAAAGCTCCCAGGAGACGACAGGTGCGACGCTTATACCGCACTGGAACACATTCTGTTCCGGATGAGCCAAAACGAGAGCGGCGACAAAACCGCCGTAGCTCCAGCCCCAAACAGCCACTCTCCGCTTGTCCACAAAGTGCAGAGAGTCTCGTAAATATCTACGAATAATTACAGCCGCATATTAAGAAGGGCGATTCACGGCGATGCTGAGAAGCATTATTCGTTACAGAAGCGAGATATAACTAAAATAGATAAAGGAGAGACGAGTATAGCCCGTGTTCACTAACATATTCTCTACTACAGTGATATATTAAGGAATTTTATCTCCCGCCGCTACGTAAAAATCGTGTTATTTCAATACGTTACACTTAATTTTACTTATTTATAATTTATATTTATATCTATATCAGCAAAATTCACAAAAGGACAAAAAGTATGTTACAACTAAATATATCTATCATTTATACTTATGTACTTTGCAAAACTCATAAAAAAATTAATTATTGTATAATTTATTATATTGTTACCTATATAATCTATATTTATATTCAACAATAATCAATTCAGCAAAACTCAGAAAAATAACTTATGCGAGTTAGCTCGTGGTTGTCGTATGGAATAGAGAATTCATATGTGATAATTAATGTGTATGTTAATATCTCGCTTACTCGATGACTTCGAGTTGATCGGCCACTTCCACGGAACCTAGCCTGTAGTAAACCTCGTGGAGTAACTTGTAACCTTGCCCACCGCTTCCTCTGCCGTCAATCTGCGCGACAATGACGTTCTTCCGACTGGCTAAATACGTGTTCCAATCCACCTTGAACATCTCAGTGACTAGTTGCGACCCGGGAGCGCCGTACCTACAAAGAAATTGTCATTAACAGTCAAGCGCTCAAGCTCAATTGTCCTTTTTATACAGAACGAGACACCTAAAACAGGCCACCTGAATAACTTTGAAAATATGCAAGATAAAAAAAAATATTAAATGTAAAAGTTGTAGAGTTTTAAATGACACAGCACTATCATCAGCACTAGTACGACCTTAAACAATGTTGAACAAAACTGATCTACTCGTAACCTTGATGGTGCTGTTTAATGTCATATTAGTATTATACAATATAATACGTCTCGCTTAAAACCCTGCAACTTGTGGTATTTAAATTTTGTTCTATCTTATATATTTTTAAAATTATTCAAGTGGCCTGTTTTAGGGTGGCCTCACCCTGTATGTTGACGAGGTGCTGGCACGTGAGCAAAAGCTGACCAGCTCTAAATGACTTTTTAGTTATTAAGTGATCATGAACATTCTTTCGATTCATGATTTTGGTGGCAAGTGCAGTTTTAAAGTATGTTGCATGTGCTGCAGCGTGCTTACACCTGAACGACCAACGGATAGCGCGTAATCTCGTCTTCTCTGAGCCCAGGCGGTAGATGCAGTCTCACCTGGGCGTTGTACCCGCCGCTTATCTGCACGGGAAACGTTTTTACCTGCGGTAGCGCGATGTTTCCTACTCTTTTCTGCAATAAACATACACTAGATTTACATATTGTATGAACAGGGTGATACAGTTGAAACTTTAACACATCAAGCACTGCGTTAATATATTCGGGTGATGTGTGAGTTCCCACGCGAGTCCCATTATCAATTTGCGAATGACTGACGGTCTTATTAGCTCCGTTAAAAATTATTTTAATAAATATCTAAAAAAATATCAAATAGAAAGTAACGAAATATCGTCAGCTTATTGAGACTGCATAATGAATTTGATTTATGATGCGCCACGTTATGTCCAAATATGAAAACAACGAGTCAGACCAGTCGAGACTTTTTCTCAAAGGAAATAAACTTTTCAATTGGATAATTTTTCGAGAATACTTTAATTTCAATTTTTTGCCTGTCGAAAGTTATATTGAGCTGTGACATTTGTATATCTGTAAAAAATACTACATCGTATTTTTTATGTATACATATGAAGAGTTACATATTTTGAATTTCGACTTTTCTAATTTTTATGCTATATATTATATAAAGAATATAAAAAAATTCATTATTATGATTATAACTATTATTATATATTTTATATATTATATATTATATAATAACTTAGGACCTGTATTAATTTATTAATGCAACTTAAACAGATGCAATTGTCATAAATTGCGACACTGTCACTATTTGTACCGTTACGTTCACTTTAAATATTTTTGCGGGAACAAATCTGTACTGTGAGTGCTTCGCTGAATGGTAAACATAATTAATTAACATACCGAAGTTTTTTATTCTTATTTTAAAATCCCCAACAGAAATTTATTAATGGCTGTAATAAATTGGCCGGTGGTAAAATAAGTAATTTTATCACTCGTACGAATAATTTTATTGCTCATTACTAGTAATTTTAAGTATTACTCGTATGAGTAATACAATTATTTATTATTACTGGCCAATTTATTACAGCCAGTAATAAATTTCTGTAAGGGATGACCTCGAGAACCAAAGTCCCCTACAGCGTGACGGGCAACGCGTTAACGTGATAGAGACTTACGCGCAACACCGTGTTGTTCTGCAACATGGAGATAAGTCGCGGTGCGGGCATCTCCGTTTTATACAAGCTGACGGTGGGCACACCAGGTCCGAGGCACTCGAGGACAAAGTACTCGAGACCGTCGGGCGGGAAGATGGCGTTGTGATATTGACAGGGCGGCTCGCCGTCCTCTGCAAGTAGACGCGCGTCGGGCCCGAATAATAAAAATCACACGTCCGTCGCACGCGTATCGGGCGAGCTTTTTTTATCACACGTATGCGGGATGCACGCAGCTATTTACGCAACTCCAGGCCAGTATCATTTAGAGGATATATCAGTAAAAGTATATATCAGTAAAAAGCCGCGATATATAAGTTCCGTATATGTACTTTAGCGTTTCACACTCAAGTATATATATATATATATATTTTTTTTTATATATATATATTTTATATATCTATTACGTATACATACACACGTATATGTACTCGCGTTACGCGTACACACGCACGCCCACTCATTCGCTCCCTCCCCCCTCCCATACACACGCGCGCACACATACACACATGTTCACCAGTGTTGGCTATGAATCCAGTTTTGGTTGATTAAAATAATCAAGATTAATATCGAGCGGATTCCCAATAAAATCAATTTCATCTGTTATTATTCATGATTTTATTCATGATTTAACTTATCACGTACGTTAATTAATCGATTTATCCTCATGATTAAGATTATTCTTTTGCTAATTGGTTGCTAATTGGAACATTCATCTTATGATTATTCCAGTCGAGATCACTTTGAATTCAAATTGATTAATAATTAATTTCGTCAAATGATTAAATAATTCATAATTACATATGTACAATGATTAATTAATTAATTTGGATTATCGTCTTGCTGATTATTTTAGTTGACTAAGATTTCAACCGATTAATGCCCAACACTGACACACACACACACACACACACACATGTGCGCGCACACATGTCATGCATACCATCGGTATACGAAGCGAGTGTTGTATCGTCAACTAACACACATACACACACGCACGCACGCGCACACGCATACACGCACCCACACACAAACACACACACACACACACAGATATTGTTTGGTTGCGTACCGTCTCTACCTGATTGATTACTCGTGGATACCGTCCGTCTCTCTCTGTCAGCACTCACACACTCAAGACGGCAAGAAAACGGTACACAAAAGAAGAAGGCTGTGGATTCGAGAATGCCGCACCATCGGCACCAGGCGTCGGTACTATTGTCTGTCGTGGATTACCAATAAAGCCGGCTGTTAAGAAATCTCTATAAAGGAAAGGACGTGACTGTATGGTAGGACGACAGTGGTCCAGAAAATCCAGACGGTCTCTTAACAGGACCCTACCCACGCGACAGAGGATATACCGAGGATACGCATTTGCTCGAACGTAATCATTGTAACTCTCGCTAATTTTACATCATCTCAGACGATTTCTCTTTTTTTTTCTTTTTTTATTTATTTCGTTTCTCAACGATGAGCATCGAATGTCTCAAAGAGATCTCACGAACAATAAGAGAATTAACAAACTTCGTTGGTCACAAATTAGCTATACGCGAACGACGACTTTAGAAAAATTTCGACCGCAAAGCGTGCGAATTCGCGACGTTCCGATCTTGCGGAAAAATTCGCGCGTGTATACCCGAGAAAAAATGATTATATATAGATTTTGTCTCTGTATGGTCACATATAATTATTCGTAATTACACGTGAAGATTAATCAGACCGAACTGAGGAGAAAAGTCCTTTACCATTTTGCAAATAAGTAGGCGAATTTTCAAGTTATCAATTAAAAGAGCTTCCAGATATGGTCATTTTCAATCATTAATAACATAATAACTATTGCGATTTTTGCAAAATGGTTGACTTGACTTTACTTCTCAGTTTGACCTGATTAATCTTCACAATATTCCGTTTCCAAAAGACCGGGCACCCTGTATATGTTTATAGACCAAGAAAAATTATACAGTAACATTAATTTTCGTGTGTGACATACATAATTTTATACGTAATCATGTAGACACAAAATTCATATATTTACATATAATCATATATAATTTTTCGTATAATTATCGGGATTGGGAAAGTTATTTTTTAAAAGTAACTTTTTAAAAGGGTGTTGCCGTTACTCATCACTCGATGAAAAAAAGTAACTCATTATCATCATTATCATTCAAAAAGTAACGAATTTTATAATTCTTGTTACTTCTTTTATCAAGATTTGCAGGCCTTTTTTGGGACTTGATTTTGTTCAAATTAATCGGTAGATAAAAATAACATAATAAAAAATTGGGATTTCCATTCAAGAAAAGTAATGATCAGTGAATATCTCGAAAATGGAACCATCTGTAATCAAAATGATACAGTTGTTTTGTGTTCCCTTTGAAACTATACCTACTTTTGTCTGTTCTTCTTCTTTATGTTTCTTAGTAGTTTTCATATTTTTCGAAATTTTTATCTAGCTCATTTAAAATGGGATATCCTGTATATATTAAAATATATGCAAAGTAACGATTGTAGTCACGTTAACGTTACTGCTACTAGTGAGAAAAAAATAACATCATTTACAAATGATAGTTAGAAAAAAATAATTTATAACAGTAACAGAAATAACAATGTTACACGCGTATTAGTTCCCAAACCTGATAATTATACATAATTATTTTTCTCGCGGTTAATTGGCTCGGTTAATTACTCGGATCGGTCAGTCGAACTCTACTTGTCCTCTCGAGTAATTTTCGAATTGAAATCTACTGATGCTGCAATCTACCGGTATCGCACTCGCATAAAAAATACGTACGTATATTTACGCGTGGAATTGTCGAGAGAACTTTTTTTCTTTTTAACACGCGTACATCCAGTTAAATTTTTCTTTCGTAATAGAACGAAGCGAGGAAATGAGAAGACCGACGAATTCGCGTGATAAGATCCTTTAAGAGCTCTGAGCTAGAAACACATTTGAAGCACATAAACAACGTTACTGACATCGTACACGCATGGTGCGAACAACTATGAGGTCTTGGCTAGCATTAGCATGTAATAAATTTACAAAACATCGTTAAGACGTTTAAAGATACGGCTGATATATCGTATAAAAAGGCGTAAAGTAACATATCAAAAAACTGTATGTAAGTATATTCGTGTGTAAGTACTAATGTAAGAGATCAGGTAATCTCCTTCTAGCAGGAGCGTATATGTTATATACTATCGTTACACAGACAGAGATAGAGATACACGCAGAACGTGTGTTTTCGTTCTCCTAAAATCGATTTTGCGTCGAAACATAGTCCCTGCGGAGGGGTAGGCGGGCGGCGCGGGGGGAGGATCAGGGGCACCCTTTTATGGACTTTTAGCCTAACCGCTTTTGTTTTTTTCTCTTTTTTCTTTTCTTTTTTTTACCATGTGAATACTATCATCGACGTTGCCTTACCCTCTTTAGGATGTTGTTGTGTCTCATCCGTATCCGAGGAGAAAGAAAGAACGTCACAATCTGGTTAGTAAAAGTTCAATATATTTCGAAGAAGTGGTGAGGATTTTCATGAAGAAGAAACAATATATCGGGGCTAGCGAAACAATCTTTTGCTTGCGAAAGAGATATCCATGAGAGAGGAGAAAGTAGAAAAAGAGAGAAGGAGAGAGAGAGAGAGAGAGAGAGAGAGAGAGAGAGAGAGAGAGAGAGAGAGAGAGAGAGAGAGAGAAAGAGAGATACAGAGCTTTCTCAGGGCTCATATATTATAAAGGGACGGATGCTATATTGCTAAATTGCGTGCGTGAGTAATCTCGCCAGTAAATATCAAAGTGGGTATATAGCGGTGTATAGAACTTCAAGAAGCAGAAAAGCGTCAGACACATTATCGATCGGTTTAATATTCAATTACACGTGATATGACGTGATAGATGACGGGGTCTACTGTGAGTAAAGTGAATATATATGACGGAGAAATCATCTCGCTACGCTGGAGTACCACGCAATGTGTTGGTTGAGGTTTCAGTTGTGATAACGAAACTCAAAAAGTCCAGCTACCGGAATCAAGTGAGAGCGTGCGAACGTGATAAGAAGGAAAAAGAAAAGAAGGCGCAAGCGCGACACTCAGAATCTTATCGCGAGTAATTGATTGACGCTACGAGCATTCACGATGATAACTCGAATAAAAAAATATTATATATAATTATATAAAATCTCTCTCATAGATGATATGTATGAAAAGAGGGTTATATATTATTTTATAATTTATATAATTTATAATTTGTATAATTGTATGACTTATAATTGTAATTATATATAAAATCTTGTATAATTATATATGTACGACCCGTACATAAATTTTGATTCCATATGTGATTGTATGTATATAAAATCTTATACAATTATACGTTACAAACGTGGCAGACTGAGTATCTTGAAGACTAAATGAAACATCGAGATTCGATATTTTTTTCTTTTGGGATTGTACTGTTTTGAGTAGAACGAATTTGGCCAATCCGGTCATCGTGAGTGGGTAGATATTGAATTTGCCTGAGAAAAGTTGTATAAAAAAATGAACTTGATCTTCATCTCACTTCGAGATGTCTCAAAGTCAAATTCTTTTTGAAAATCTCTCCCCCGCGAAAGATTTTATAAAAAAAAAATACCAAGCCTCGGTATTTCAATTATTTTTCGAGACATTCGACCTGTTTGAAATGGAACACCCTATATATGTCCACGGAAAAAACGGAGGAAATGTTATTAAGTGAAGAAAGTAAAACCTAATTCCAATTAATTAAACGTTTTCATCATGAGCTGCAGTAAACACGAGCAGTCACGTGAATGTATTTGTACAACAGCATTTTTTCCACGTGGACGTAAATAATTATGCATACGTGGATACATATGTAGTCATGTAGAGAGAAAATTCATATATAATTATATATAATTATCTTTCTTAGGAAAGATAATAAAAATAGAGTAAGAACTAACACACACACTATGGGATGCAGAATTGGCATGCGTGAAAAGCGTGTGAATTGGCATATATGAGCGACGTGAGAAAGAAATTCAGCGGTATCGGAAAAGATAATAGAAATTTATTACCGACTGTAATAAATTGGCCGGTGATAATAAATAATTTTATTACTTGTATAAGTGATAAAATTACTCGTCTGATCCGTCTGATATATCTGTCTAATAAAATTACGGATAATATTATTACTCATACGAGTAATAAAATTGCTTATTATCACTGGCCAATTTATTACAGCCAGTGATAAATTTCTGTAAGGGAAGTACAAAAGTAATATGCAACTGTCTGCTGAAGTGAATGCTAATAATGACTCTGTAAGAGCAACGAAATTAAAAAGTCATTAACAAGCCTCGGAAAGTTACTGGCTCCTGCGGCCACGCAGCTTCCTGCATTCTAATCACGAGTGTCGCTTTGAGTGACTCGCCGGCTGGCCGAAAGTGGCGAATTGCAAGCGTGCCGTGACGAGCGCTTGTTAATAACAACACTATCGTACACCTCATCGCAACTTCTCCATCGCAAAGCGACTTGGATGCATGTGAAGAGTGAAGTCAGACAGACACCAAGAGGAAATGACACTTGGCACTCACTCGAGATATTCTTGCTTTTCGACTTGTCCTTTTTGGAGGGTTGACGGTGCTCCTTATTGTCGGTACTGTCCGTCTGAGTCTCGTAATCGTCCTGCCAATCGCTCCGCGCGGTCGGACCATTCTGCCGATTTGGGGAACCGATCCAGTGGCCGTTTTCGTCGTCGCCCGCCACGCCGGGTGGCGAGATGGTGCACGTGAGGCACACGGGAGGATGCAGAGGTGATCCCATGCGTGGCAAAGTGGAGCTTACGCGATACAGGTGTCTTTGGCCCGGCCTCATGGATGGAATACCGATGAAATATCTAGCCGAGAACGCAAATCGTTTTCTTGTATGCGCGACGTCCCGCGCGGTTCTTTCTTCCGTTATTCATGCAAAATGTATAAATTAGGGCACTCGGATATCCGAATATCAGAGATTCCAAAGTTCGAAACCGTATTATTCGGGTGATCCGAACAATCCAGATGCAAATTTAGACTGTGACAAGTGATCCAGACCCAAAATCGAATTCGAATTTGGTTTTAAGTTCAAGCTCATGACTACTCGTCGCGGCCATTTTTTTAATTTATGACGTTAGAAGCGAGAAAGTGCTAAATTTTCTTCAATTGTTTCCCATTCAACCCAAATTTGAAGCGTCACGTTTACCCGAATTCGAATAATTTGGTGCCTGGATTGTATCGGGATTAGAGCGAATATGGAAGTTTTAGTGTAAAGCGATTAACTCGCTCACATAGTATTATTCGTTTGGTCCCATACTAAAATCCTGACGACTTCGAATTTGCCATGCGTCAAAGGCACTATCTGTTTGCGGAGTACATTCGTCCAGATTATATGCTTATAATATCCCGCCGGTCCGTCTTTCACAGGACTGATCGCGACGTAACTGCTGCCGTTTGTCGAAAAGAGAGGAGCCTCCGGAGGGGTATCGACCCATCCACGACCATCGCCCGTTATCCTTTGTATTTCCTAAAATAATTGAAATGAAGAAATTATCCGGGCTGGCAAGAAACTGTGAAAGATGAATTTTCAACTCTTTTTACCTCTTTTTACTTCTTTTGGTAGAAATATTAAAAAGAGGAAGAAAAATAAACAATTTTGTCATATTCACAAATTTAAAACTAGCTAAATGCAGCATTTGAATGAAATTATTATGATCTCCTAGTTTCTTGGAATGAAATCTCACTTAAAGCGAGTGAAACTTTACGACGGAAGCAATAGTAAAAATATTGTGATGATTGATAAATAAGGCAGTAAAAATATATACCAATGATTGGTAAATATGGTAGGAAAAATACGGTGATAATTGAAACAAGAAAGTCTTAATCGGACAACAGAGAAATTATAAATTCTCTACTCTTTATGCTCGATAGAAATATTAAAAAGAAAAATAAAGGGAGAAAATAAAACAAATTGTCACATTTGCGAATTTAAAGGCACTATATGCAACGCCTGCAAAGTTATCGTGTTCTCAATTTTTTTAAGTAAAATCTCAAATGCATATTCACTCGAAGAAGTAGTCACACTCGAAATCGAAAGAATGACTTTCACCATAAATTAAAAGGAGTTAACTTCGATTGAAAATATTCACTGGACGATCCAAAGTAGAGAATTCATTCCGCGTAAAAAATCACTCGAATTCGTTTGTTATTCTGCTTTTCGAGTGCGATTTCACTCCGGGAAAATTAGAAAGTAGACTTCATGACTTTCCTGAAATATAAATAGCACATATGAATTTTTACTTTTTAAGTAAATAGATAAATTTTTACTTCAAAGTTCTCTTCGTGTCTATCTATCCGAGCGATCGTCACGTAGCAACGTTACACCTCGCAAGTATTAAACGACGCTCGTTCTACGTTTCGTACGAGTAAAATTTCACTCTAAGAAATGCAGAATGTTCCGGAGATAAGAACAGCAGACAATCACGAACCTGACAGTGCCACATCGGACTTTTGCAAATAGTCACCACCGAAAGATTCTGGGCGCGCGTCAACCACGTTATGCAGACTTCTGTCAGGGACACCCAGGAGGCAGTCGAGAAGTAATGATCCCTGACGGGAGACAATGACTCATTTGAGAGGTCTTGACGTTAGTTTACACAGACAATAGCCTTCTCAAAATTGGAGAAAATGCTAAGCTAATGACGTGTCTGAGCGCTAAGAGTCCTACTGTTTTGTTTTTCTCACTTTCGAAGTAGCAAACATATTCTACGATGAACAGGCTTTCTATTGCATCAGCGTCGAGTCAATTGAGAAGAAAAATTCTACAACCCGCGGATGTTTTACATTACAATGTAAAATTACGAAGCGTAAAATATAATAGCGATGTCCTCTCAGTGAGCAGAAAATCAACGAACGTTATAATAACGATACTCAATAGTATAATAATTTTTAATGTTTTTGATTCTTTTAACGTTGTATTTCGGCACCTCAATATTCCTCAAATATCTCTGTAATATTCGAAAGGATAATATATCTTTGACGTTTAAAATATTTAGTGAAGAGAGAGAACGTTTTTTCAAGAGACGCACGTAAAATCAATATTTCAAGATGCCGAGTAAGCGCTAACTAACAATAAAATTATACCAATGTTATAGTTTTATGCATGTAATGTATGTAATAATGTAAATTGTATAATTATATAATTGTATAATTGTGTAATTGTATAATTGTATAATTATATAATTTATGTAATAATATAAATTGTTACATTGCACTGTGCATACGTTATATTGTATTTATTAGGTCAGTGTGAAAGGTTTGTCCTGTTTGTTAAATAAAATAGAAAATGAGATTATTCAGTTTCAAGGATTAATCATTTTTATCTATAATTTGAGTAATATATCGACTCGCGGTCGGTACGAGAATCTTTCATTTTCCTTTCAATATTGAAACCTTTCACAAGAATTGAAAAGAGATAAAACATCCAACTTAATTGTCAAGCGAAAAATTGTAACATTGGTGTTCATCTAATGAATATTGGCCTGATGTCACTCGTTTACTGAGTTATCCTTGTCAAAGGACGCAGTAGCGAACTAATAATCTCGTCAAGTTGCAAAGTAATCGTCAAGACTACGCGGCATAAGGAATATTTACTCTAGCCTAAATAAATAAACTCACACATGCTCGATGATAGGTGGCGGTTTCACTACCTTCGTATGGATGTTACTCGGGTCGACTAGATCGGCAACGTACAATCGTACCGAAGGATTCGGCGTTCCAGGCTAGAAAACGAAATGGTCTTGAGACAGAAGTCCTTCCTGACAGCACAAACGGCGAAGGAGAAATCGTGCTTCGCTGAAACATCGCGGTGAACTCTCGAGTTGGCGTACCTTTGGGTACCGTAAGGATCGTATATCAGGGTACAGTGCCTTATTGCCCTCCCCAAACCACGAAATGTGCATCTCCTCCACGAGGGAATCGTTAAACGAAGCGTAAAGCATCATGTGGCCGTCCGATGACATCCAGATCGCCTCCGCGCTGTGCAATATCTCCTCTGTAAATTGAACAAAAATTACTTTTAGAAAGCAGCTCGTTATTACTACTCGTTACCTATCGAAAACAAGTAACTCGTTATCATTACTCAAAAAGTAACGAATCAATATAACTTTCATTACTCTCTTTTCGACAAATTTCTCTCTTAGAATTTGCTAAAGTAATATATGCTGAAGTAACATAGTTGCATTCGTTATCGTTGCTAGTAAAAAAAAAAAGAAGTAACGTCGTTAACACGTCGACACTGAAAAGAAGTAACTTCCCAGTAAACACTATCTAATAAAAAATGTATGAGTTGTGTCATAGTAGTCATATCGCTAAGTGGGAACTGTCTGACCGAATCTACAGCCAATCTACCGACGCGCTACTAACATTTTTCTTTTAATGTAGGGTAGTTAATGTTTATCAGAGCGTAACGGTAACGGAGTTATCTCTAATCTAATTCCGAATTCTAATCTCATGAGTAACATTTCAACGTAATGCATATAAATGGGTCCATATTTTGGACTCTCTTTCATCACTAAAAGTGACTCTAAAAGTGGCTTACAACCAATCAGGAGGCTTATAAGCCACTATTTTACAGCCACTATTAACGGTAAAAGACATTTTAAAATATGAGCCATGTTCTCTTTGTACGCTTTTGACTCGAGATATTGCACGATTTCGGGATGCGTCCCTTCAAGATCTCAGTTGATTCTAACTTCCGCAGGCTGGAAACACCAAACGTCTCACCTTCGTATAACCAGTCTGGCACACCGTTCGACAGTATCCCAGGCACCGCGGTGTTGGTTACGCGATGACCGATGTTGCTCAAGGGACTTGTTCTGTAGTAAATATCGTAGTCTTGCACCATGACGATCCCGTTGCCACGCGGAGTCCATTGTGCCAGCAGAAGGTACGGATGAACATCCTTTTCAGGATAAGGAGTTAATGCTATGCATTCCCTGTAAAGAGATTTCAATTAGGTTTAATTTAATTAACTCTCATCAATCATATGTAACTTTCATTTATATACAGGATATCCGAGATATCTTTTGGAAACGAAAAATTGTGAAGATTAATCAGATCAAATTGAGAGAAGAAAAGTCATGTACCATTTTTGCAGGAGTCGCAAATTTAATAACTACTGCAATTTTTGTAAAATGGTACACGACTTTTCCTCTCAGTTTGACCTGATTAAACTTCACAATTTTTCGTTTCCAAAAGATCCCGGACACCTTGTGCATATAAAATCGACGCTACTAAATTATTAACTTAATTAAGAACTAGTAATTAGCAATCAATATTAATTATAATTAATAATTAATTATCATTGATATTAACATATTTGCTATCATCGTTAATCTGGGGAACTGTTCATTCCAAATCATAACCATATTCTTTTTTATGCAATATAGCATAAAATACACTTAATTTGCTTATGTAGAATAAAAAATGATGGCCACATATATGCGATGTCAATTATTCATGACAATGCATCATACACATGTGACGTGTGATAGCAATGAATGTCACCCTTCGAGTCCTGGCATATTTTACAGAAAAAAAGAGAAAAAAAACGCGACATATAATATCTGTATATACAAAAGTCTCCTGATTGATCTCCTTACATTATGTAATAGAGCGCTTTTGGAGATACCACTCTAATGATGGGTCACACATCTCGACAAAAAGTCGTTTTCATTTCTTTATCTCTCAAGATTTCTGTATTTCCCCCATAAAATTTATTTTTTTTTCCACTATGTATATAAAGCTATTCTTCAAATTAAACGTTTGAAACATTACTTACATCTGTCTGACTTTCCTCTACTATTAGAGTAAGACTAAATTTCCAAAATAAAAAAGTGGGACTCGCAGAGTGTTGAGAAATATTGAAGGTATAACGCTGATATTTATATATAAGATAATATAACAATAAGATATAATTACACTGACCGTGTATTGACGTCGTAAATGACGTATTGCGCTAAGTACGAGTAGCGAAACAGCTTCTTCACGTTTTGAGCAAGGAGCAAGTACTTCTTATCCGGCGACAGAGAGAACTTTGCTGGATTCAGTCGTCTCTGCGAAGAAAGAAAGAAAGGAGAGAGAACGAGAGAGAGAGAGAGAGAGAGAGAGAGAGAGAGAAAGAGAGAGAGAGAGAGAGGGGGGGGAGAGAGAGAGAGAGAGAGAGAGAGAGAGAGAGAGAGAGAGAAAGAGAGAGAGAGAGAGACACAGAGCCTCTCAGAGCCGGATGCATTTATTTATCCGCTGATACGCGCGACGCACCGAAAGCGGACGCGTGATCGATCGCAGATACTCACGAAGGTTTCATTCGGCATTAAACTGCGGGACACGACGTTCGCGTCTATGGCGTCCAACAAGGAAATGCCGCCCCAAGGATCACGGTAGCATATGTGGTAGTTGCGCGCCCAGGATCCATTGAATAATAAAGGAGACAGCTCGCCCGATAGCACCTGAGAGGCAAGAACACATTCCCGCGGATCAATCTCGCGATTGTTCCACGAATTTCCGAAGCCGCTTTGTGCTTGTGGGATTTGCCGTCAAGCCAGCCTCGAAATTTCGAACTAACTAGGATCAACAGACGCGCACGTCCCAGAGAGTAAAGGACATTAGATCAATATTCTGAAATATTAATTTCGTACAGCTTTCGAATGTCTTCACCCGATTCTCGGAGGTAACGCGAAATGTCCTGAAATCGTCCTAGACAGGTCCAGAATGCACAGACGGAATGTAACACGTCACTCGTTGCAAGGATACCGTTACTTTATTTCAATCACGACTTAGTGACGACGTTGTTTTTTCTCATTATTAATGGTGACGATGACAAATAAAATCGTTAGCTTTTTTATCGTTATTTTGCACGTGCAGAAGAGGTATGTGCAAAACGGCCAAAAGAGAATCCTGAAAAAAGATTGTAGAGCCTGGAAAAATAACTGGAAATTGGAGACCGTTCGTTCGTTTTCGAATTTCCTGAAAAAAAAGATTTTAAAACCTGGCGGAAAAATAATGACGGAAATTGCAGCCATTCGTTCCTTTTTGAATATTCCTCATGATAACGAGTCACTTTTTTTTTTTAACGGATAATGAGTAACGACAGCGCGTTACTTTTTAAAAATAATTATCTCAACATTGCTAGAATGTACTAAGGAATATCCCACGATCTGTGCGTATCTGGAATGATCTCAGGACTAGACGCGGACTCAGGACTATCTCAGGACGTGATAACTCTCTGAATTTAATATGTTTTAAAAACATTTCAACGATATTATCGAACGAAGCGAAACTTTAGGATATTATATATAAAACCGTATATAAAACCGTCTCTCATAAATATTAAAGTGTCAAAGTTACTCATAATGGTGTCGATACAATGTTAGAAACTACAGATTGTATTTGAATTATGCTTGACAAACTTACAGGACGGAGATTCAACGTCGGAAAATAAGTGAAAACGTTTTTTAGCAAACACATACCCGTGAAAGCTTAGTTTTCGAGATATAGTCTTCAGGATGACAATGAAAAAAAATATCGTGATGCTGGTATATGATTACCAGGAACTTGCAGATATTGCAGCAATGTTGGACAATTTTTATAACAATATGTATCTAAACTGTATCTAATATGTATTCTAAACTGAGATTGTGCAGCAGTTATATCTCAGAAATAAAATCTAAAAAATGCTTTCACACGTCATCGATTATCGTTGAAATAGCGAATATTGTTAATGATATTTTATTTATTATATTATTATATGTATATTTTATTTTCTTAATGATATCTTGCTGCTCCCTGGATCTCACTCTTCGGTTTTAAACGAAAATATTCAGACCGGGGAATTTATTCCGTACGAATGAAATATTATTCAAATTCGCGTGTGATTCAGTTGCATCACCTTACTTTTCGGGTGAAGTTCCTACTGCGGGAAATTTAGAGATTAAGTAATTCGAGCGGAAAAAAGTGCCGCTTCGTGTCCACTTTCGTTTCTCATCGATCACATCAATGTTTGTGATAAATCTTTTCCCTTCTCTTTTTTTTGTTTACTAAGGATACATCATCCGCTCGCTCAGGGCCGAGCGAAGCCGCGGGGGGAGCTGCAATTTTCCGACCGCCACTCACCTCGGTGAGGCGCAATCGCGTTCCTCGTACCCTCGGGCCGTCATCGGGAGGTGTGAGCAGAGCAACGGATGTGACGATCAGGGCTAGGACCGCGACGATCACGAGCAACGCTATCAGGATCCCGCGCCAGTTCCTTTGATTCGGGTTGGCTGAAACTAGCTCCTGTCACAAAGATTCTTAGTAAAATTAATATGAAGTAACCGGGTCATCGTGCCGCGCGCGAGTGCCGCGTATCGTTCCGCCTCCTTGTGGTGACATGTATGGGCGACATATGAGGGAGAATATCGCGCGCGCATGTCCATTAAAAATAAAAGCGCGGAGCTCCGCGCGTCCGACTGCGTCAGAATATTAATAAAATCTTAATCCAAGGTGAGATATTTCCACCGCGTCCATACCGGGGAGAATTCTGGGCTTGCGCGGCTTCGGCCTCGCAACTGGGGTGTCCTATGCGTCCTGCGAGATCGACGAGTGATGGACACATTCGGCCCGACCGTCGGCTTTTAATCGACAAGTGAAACCTGTCGCGCATTTCTCCATCTTGCTTTCTAGAGATGTGCGAATCAAGAATTTTTATGTCGAATCGAATCGAATCGAATCTCATTTTTTAAATTCGAATTCGAATCGAATCGAATCATTACAAAATTTATAACATGACTATTAAACATGCAAATAATGATGGAAGATTTTAATATGAAAGGAAATATTGATGTTGCAATATCATCTCAAAGTAAAATGTATATTTAAATAATTAAAGTAATTTATAATTAAGTTATTAATTATAAGTTAAGTTAATTACAAGTTAAGGGTTCAAACATACAGGTCCAGATGGCCCGTTTTGTAGCTGATGCACGCAAACGATAATGTATTTGATTCCTATTCGAATTCGAATCGAATTGAATTATATTAGATTCGAATTCGAATAGTTCGCACATCTCTACTGCTTTTATACAACTGCTTCATTCACCCGATCAAAAATAATTCTATGATCTATTCTATGATCATATATGAATTTTGTTTCGATATCGCTGTACAAATATAGTTACATATTGAGAAAAATGCTGTTGTACAAACGAAATTAAAATAATTAAATGACTAAAAATTCAAATCTAGCGATGGATATGAACATATTGAACTTTCAGTCCTGAATCTTGAATTTGTCACTAGACGCAATAGCAGTCATATAATTGTAGATTAGGTCATTCTGAACAAATAGTCCTTTACCATTTTACAAATAAGTCAACGCAAATTTTCAAGTCATCAGTTAAAAGAGCTTCTAGATGTGGCCATTTTCAATCATTAATAACTATTACGGTTCTTGCAAAATGTACTTGACTTTTCTTCTCAGTTTGATCTGATTAATCTTCATAATTTCACAATCTTCACAATCTTCAGGATTTTTCGTTTCCGAAAGATCCTGAACACCCTGTATACATTCATAAAAAGAGGAAGACAAATTGAATTACTGTTTAAAAGTTTTCTATTCAAGCGCACTTGACTCCCACACGACCGATATAGCGTGAAGCGAACGAGCGTATTGTTATGGCTAATTCACAGTTAATCGCAAGATGTTATTTTGGTCCGTTGCGCGAACGTTTTTGTTTTTCCACCACTTTGGTCCGCATTTTGCCGAACTAATTAGTAGCGGAGAGGCTTGAATATCATGGAAATAACATTCTGTCAATGAATCTCTGCTCACCGGGCTAGCAATTGTTAAAACATAATATGTTAATTCGAATTATATTACTATCGAATCTTTTTATATTCCGATTACAATGCCGTGCGCTGATTTGGTAGCGTTACCCGAACATTCGTATTCCGATTACAATGCTGTTGATCGATTCCACCGGCACAACAGCACTTCTTCTCAGCGGACTCTCACGTTTATCGCTCCCGCTACTTCGCCGCCAAATAACGGCGAATGCGACACCGCTCGTCGCACCGAAATAGCTAATTAACACCACCCTGCTCGAAGTAATGTCGCTATAAATGCGTCAAAGTGTCGAATAAACCAATCTAGTCGGCCGCTATCTGTCCCTTCGAGGCATTCACAGCGTTAAACGGAACCCGCCCCCTTGTGCTCGAGGAATCCGAACGACCGGAGCGTGAACGATATTCAGTGGACCTGAGATGTATCCCTGCGCGCGCTTTTACGACGTCCCCGGCGTGCTCGAATTATAGGCACGCGAAATAGCAGCGGGTAACAATGTCAGCCGTGATATAAACGTTAGATCATCGACGGAAACGATTCATCGGGAGATTCGGCTAAATGGAAGTCGCGCCATGCATCGCGAAGGCGCGTCTGTCCGTTTATAAATGCGTCCTCGTCGTCTGTTCTCCAATTCGTCGTTCGTTTTCCTCGACGCCGTTATCCGAGCAAACAATTGTTAGGGCCATCCTCATAAAGCATAAGTCCCCGATAAGGCTAAAAGTAGGATGCCCTAAAAAGGGATGCTTCGTTATTATTTCATCAGGCCTCGAGATGGATCTTTTAGGGATGCCTTAGATTTTACGAAATAATAAGGCTTTAATAAGAAAAGGGCCTTAGAAGGGCTTTAAAAGGACTTTTTAAGGATGCTTTGGATCTAATAAATAAGACTTTGATAGGAAAAATTGAGAAGGGCCTTAGAAGGGTCTTTTAGGGATGCCTTAGATTTTACGAAATAAGACTTTAATAGGAAAAGCTGAGAAGGGTCTTAGAAGGATTTTTTTAGGGATGCCTCAGATTTAATAAATAAGGCTTTGATAGGCAAAGCTGAGAAGAGCCTTAGAAGATTTTTTAAGGGTGCCTTATATCTGATAAATAACGCTTTGATAGGGAAAGTTGAGAAGGGCCTTAGAAGGATTTATTAGGAATGCCTTAGATTTTACGAAATAACGCTTTAACATGGAAGACTGATGTGGGCCTTAGAAAAATCTTTTAAGAATGCTTTAAATATACAAAATCAAGTTTAGAGAATTAATAAGATCTGAAGCGTGTAAATAAAATTGTCGTAGTTTAGTATTGTTTTAGTAGGTACGCTCTATCTGGTTCTTTTAAAGATTTAATATTAATTATATCGCAATTAAAAACAAATTTTATTGGTTTTATCAGTTGTCATATTCATTATCGTCCAAGGATTTTTCTAGTATTGCCTTCGTTTTGAAATGCAGCAAACTTTAATAAAAACAGTAGCAGGATTTTTATGTGTAAAGAATACTATATTTTATTGTAAAGTATGCTATATTTTTAAAATAAAAAATTCTTGTTGTACAATAACAAAGTTATAAAGAAATGAAGAACGTTACAGTTTAAATTTCTTGGAATGAAAAGAACGAATATTTTCACTCAAGCAATAATAAAAATATTTCCTTATAAGGCCCTATTAATATTGCCAAAGGACCCGTTAGGGACAAATAATTTATTTGTTACACATCTTGCAGGGCCCTTGTCTCTTTCTATCCCTAGTAAAACCCGATTAATGTTAGAGAAAAATAATATCAGGCTTTTACCATGTTAATTTTCCCACTCGGGAAGGAGGAGGCACGGGCGGTCTCTCAGCGGAGAAAATCGTGGACGATCACGACAAAAAAGAAACACGGGTTGCCGATTATAGGAGTTCCGCGACTCGACGGCGAGAATAGCTAATAGTCCAGCAGCCGTGGCTGAAATCGATAGAGACAGAAGCTACTGCGCGCTGTGCGTCAGGCAGTTCTTTTTCTCTCTCTCTCTCTCTCTCTTTTTCCCCAAGAAAGAGAGAGAGAGAGAGAGAGAGAGAAACGCGTTGCTGCGATCTTGAGAACAAGATCATTTTCAGCATTCAGGCCCATAGCACACGCACATGGGGAGACGCAAGCGATAGGACAGCCGAGCCAGCAGAAGCAGATTTGCAGGCGCAGTGTATCCGTCGTAGATTTTAGCTCATATTCTGAACTCTCTTTTATCGTTAAAAGCGACTGTATAAAAGTGGCTTATAAACTCCCCTTTGGCTGCAAGCCCCTTGTAGTGCTGAAAGAGAGTTCAGAACGTAGGCCTTTGTCGGCAAGTAGCGTCGCTGACGTTGTGACCGGAAAAAAGTGCGCAGCAAACCGCGAGTAACGGTAATACAACCAATTTCCCACTCAACAATGTAAATGCAACACGACACGCGATGTTGCGTAAAAGTTACATCGTTAAGCGGGAAATTGGAAGTAATCATGCAACTGTCACTTGTGGGGTCCGCTGGCTAACTTCCCAGTGGACACTAACTGACAATACGCGACGGTTATGTATAATTTGTACCATATTGCTACATCGCTCTTTGAGTAGGAAGTTATGGTACTCGGGAATTTGTGATATTCATGTAAATGAATCGTATGTAAATGTTGCCGTTATCTGCAGATAGCCGAACTCGCACAAGCGGATTTGCCGCGATGTCTGTCGTGGACTTTGGATCGGCAGTTTGTCAACACCTGTGCGGCACAGAAGTTGCATCAATATTGTCGCAACGTTGCTGCAACATTGCAACATTGTTTCAACATTGCAGCAACGTTTTTTCAACTTTATATGCTGTATGGAAACTGCGGAAACACAGAGCAGGCTCTGTTAGCAGAGCGTGGTGCCAGATTGACGGCAGAAACCGAGCGGGATGTTTCGTTGATAATTTAAATGTATTTAAATGAAGCATCCCGCGGATCCTGTCGCCGGTTTCCGTCGCCAATCTGCCGTCAAGTTGTATCAATCAGCAGGATCTGTCGGGAGGGAAGACGGCTTATAATGCGGACACTGATAACTTGGAGACGTCTCAAAGATGCCCAACTTGTTCTAGATTTTCTTGAATGTCTCCAAGACCAAGCATTTCGGCATTTTTGTTATGCTTGGTCATGGATTCGTACCGCGGTATTGCAGTCGAATCTGCTATCAATTTGCCTGCTAATATCTTGCTCATTTGGTACAGCGAGCATATTCATCAGCACAGTCACGCAATTATTCATGAGAAGAATAATCGCTCGCGGAAAACGCCGAGCAAATATAATGTGACAAGCGATGCAAATGTAATATAACACACCTAATTATATTTATAATATAAATTTATAAATTAACACATATTATATATTACGACATAACAGTTTATATATACAGGGTGTACAGATTTTTTGGAAACGAAAAATTGTGAACATTAATCGGATCAAACTGAGAAGAAAAGTCATGTACCATTTTGTAAAACTCGCAACTTATTAAGTTATTAAGTTATTAATGATTAAAGATGAACCACATCTCTTTTAATCGATAACTTGAAAATTTGCAAAATGGTAAAAGAAGTTGAAGAAATATGAAGAAGAGGTTTTTTGCTCAGAATGACCAAAGTTCTTTACCATTTTGCAAATAATTACGCAAATTTTCAAGTTATCAATTAAAAGAGCCTCTGCCCCATCAGAACTATAACGTTGATTCGACGTAGATTTGACGTTGAAATCGTCGATGAACCGTTGAATCAACGTTAGTTCAATCCTCATCGACGTCGGATCAACGTTGTGATTTTAACTGGGTAGATGTAGTCATTTTCAATCATTAATAACTTGATAACTATTGCGATTTTTGCAAAATAGTACGTGACTTTTCTTCTCAGTTTGATCTGATTAATCCTCACAATTTTTCGTTTCCAAAAGGTCCCGGATAGTCTATATATTATCATTCATATATATAAATATTATTGTATTATAATACATATATGTTTTATTGTAACGTTACAACATACCGTTATAGTATTACTCTATAGTCTGTGATGAAAATTCGCCAGTAATAAATTCTGTCCTTCTCATAGTAATTTTTTTAAGTAAGAGAAATATAAGAAGAATTGCCTTCTCCGAAATTGCGCAAACTGTGAGCAGACCTATTATCATGCATCATCCAAATTGCAAAGGTTAATCAATATTAAATGTTGTGCGTCAATAACTAAAGGTTACGCTGGCGATTAGATTTTTGTATCGCCTTGGAAGAGATATAAATAGAATCATTGGATATATATATATATATAGTTTCAGATTATATACAAATTCTATTAAAGATATTTTTGACACTGTCATGGTATTAGATCTTGCAACTGATCTCATCAAACTAAAGATAATATGTTGAAATTGCAATTATTGCCGCATAATTATTTCTCGTCGCTGAGTTTTCAAAATTTATTAAAATATTTTTTAAATATACGTGGCTTAAAAATGGATAAGTGCACCGAGGATATCGACAGAGCTTTGCACATCTCATGAATTTTGAACCTTTTGAATTCCGAAAGCTATTCGAACGTAACGTAAAGAAGTGAAGAAAGTTAAGCACACACATGTTATTATTTTTATACGTAAGCAAATTAATCTCTGCTCTTGTTCATATCTTATGTAATACATTGCAATGTCATTAGGATTAAGTTCTTATCATCTTGCAGTAGAGGAAAATATCAACTCGTTAACAAGACTCGTTAATTATCGAGCACAGAGCAATTCAAAAGCGCCTATAGCTCTATATAATTATTTCTATCCTTAAAAAATGTAATCGCCTCCAGTTTCTATTGCTATATATGGATGAATTTGATGTACGATGTTTTTTATCTTTGCTCTAAGACTAATTTAAAAATTTTTGAAGATTAAAAAATTTTTGAAAGTAATGAGAAGGAGGAGAAGGTTTCAAAGACTTTTCAATTTTGCAAAAATCTGAGTACACAGTTACAAAGAGTATGAAATACGCTACAAACCATTTTTGCATACGCCTCGTATTTTAATAGATGCACGCTAGAAATGAAAATGGTTTTCTTTTCCGAGAGGGTGGTTTCACCCTCTCAGACTGGAATTCCGCACGAACGAAAAATAATTTTGCATCACTATGAATGAACTATTTTCCCTCTACACAAAGTTTCATCTAACTCTTTGAATTTCCGAGTTCCCTGTGAGTTTCCTCCGTCAGTAACTTTTATTACTCGTAGGTACTCATGCGAGTATAATAAAATTACTTATTATCACCGGACAATTTATTACAGCCTGTAATAAATTTCCGTAAGGGTATACCTTCGCGTGTGCCATGCCTGGCCTCGACCAGGACGATGTGTGTTCCACGACTCGTGGCCGACTCGTGATCGACCGTGCGATAGCACGCGCGTGACACACTTAAGTGGCGATCTCGCGTTTCGCGCGAAATATTGCGCGGGCAGATCCGTCGCATGATGATGCGTTTATCCGTATCACACGTGACGCCGTGATAGTTTTTGCAGCCCCTTGTCGGTGGAGTGCCTCTTGCTCTCGCGGGGGTTCTGAAAGTTCCTCCTTCGGAAAGAAAGTCACGCTCGATCGAGTCCGCCGATTCCGGGACGTTCTCGCTGAACTTTGTCGTTTGAATGTCAGCAGTCGCGTGAAATGCTACGAAATGGAGATTGTCCCGTGTGTGGGATCGTCTCGTTGTGTATCAGCTCTTATGATTCTCCACGAGTCGATATATTGTTATTGTTGGCGCTAAATGATAAAACGATAATGCTCCCGCCGGAGCGCGAATAATCGTCGAGCGATATTCGCGCGACGACCGCACGAATAACCGTCGACTGTAGACGGCACGAAAGTCTGAAGTACGTCTTAGAGACGCCCGACAGACGCAAGTGGGACTTTCTTTCGGATGTCTCCGAGATGCCCCTTGGGCGCTCACGCCGTCGGGGACGAATCCATCGCGCGTTTTTGCACCGGCTATTACTTTCTGGAGCACGGACTTCTCTCGTTCAATTTGCCGTCGTGTATTGATATTACTTGTTGCTGCGCAAACGCATTTATGACCCTTGTAGAGCGTCCGAGGATTCATCGGCGATATTCACGGGGAAAACATAAATAGAAAACGCGGCGATCGGTCTTCGACGATGAAGACGAGAGCGAGGCGCTCGACGGCGCTTCCGCCGCGGTCGTGTTACTTCTTCGGGGAAAATCCTCTCTCCCGAAATATTGCGTTCGAAAATAGCGAGGGAAAGGAAACGAGAGTGAGAGAGAGAGAGAGAGAGAGAGAGAGAGAGAGAAAGAGAGAGAGGAGGGGGGAGGGAGAGAGGAGGAAAAGGAAAAAAAGAAAACGGCGACGGACGGACGATTGCGCTCCGTGCGGCATTTGGAAAATGGAGACCGAGGGAGAAGCGGAACGCACAGTAACGGCACAGTTCGAACTGACTTATAATTAATTACCTCGTCGTCGTAGATGTTGTCGTGATCTGCCATCGATGGTGCGAATCGGACGCTCCGCGGCTTTCCCACAACCTTAGCAGACCCTGCGAAACGACGCGGCCCTCCGCGTTTATCCCATTCGACGTTGCTGGGAATCTCTGCGAATGCGAGTCACCCGCTCGTCCGTTACCTCAGCCGCGCAATGAGAGAGACTTGCTCGGTACCACTTGCGCCGTACAAATCCTCGATACTGAGCGAGAGATCATCCCTTACGAGAGATGCTGCAGACGCAGAGTCTGCGCCGTCGACGGTGGAGGCTGCGCTATACATAGCCGGGAGGCGAGAGAGAGAGAGAGAGAGAGAAAGAAGAGAATATAAGGGGGTAGGAAAAAGAGACAGAGTGACATGAAGAGACGGAGAGAAGGCGTCTGTCTGTATGTATGTGTGTGTGTGTGTGTGTGTGTGTGTGTGTGTGTGTGTGTGTGTGTGTGTGTGTGTGTGTGTGTGTGTGTGTGTGTGTGTGTGTGTGCGTGTGTGTGTGCGTGTGTGTGTATGCACTGTGAAAAAATTAAGCACCTTTAGATACCGCCAAGTGAAAGCGTATATAAAGCGCGCTTGATGATGCGACATCCCCGCTACCGCTAGGAATGCATATGGATGAAATCAATTGTTTTTACGAACTGTCGTTGATTCATATCATTCGGAAGCAAAAAATGACTACCTGACCTGCCGCTCAGTATTATCGTTAGAAAATAAAAATATCGCTTCATTCGCCGTTCAGCCGGAACTTTTGAAAAACGGCTCGGCTGACCGGTTGTTGAGTGGACTACTGGGAAATAAGAGATCCTTCCGCTTCGCCGTTGAATAGATGTTGAGTAATGGTTAAATGCGCTCTGCCCCCTCGATTCTTCGACAAAGACGGTGGCGACTCACACAGGAGACTTTGGAATTGGTGAAAGTAGCGGGTTCAACCAGGTTCGAGTCTTGCAGAATGACCCGTTAGGTTAGGTTAGGTCCTTTGCGGTTAGACCTGTTACTTTTATTAGCCCTGAAACTCTATTGCTATTATTATTGAAAGTTATAATATAATTCAACGGCAAGTCGGAGTAACTTTCAAATTCAAGTAGTATAATCGCAGACAGAAAAAGTCTCAGTATTTTTTCTGTGTATCTTTTTAGAGCACCTACGTATTGTCCAATGAATTTGTTTTTTAACAGAAAATTCTCCTATTGGACAATACGGATACGAAAGTCACACCAAAATTTATTAACAATCTCTTTGTTCACAATTATACAATCTACTAAGCTAATCAAAAGATCGTTTTATTTTCGAGTATTGCGGTTCAATGACGAGTCGAACAATTTTTTTACTTTCAAATAATACTACTGAATGATGAATCAAAAGAACCTTTATTTTCTAGCAATGCTGCATAACGACGAACAAGAAGAACTTTTATTTTTCAACAGCACAACCGTTCAAACAAATTGTTTACCATCTATTATCAAAAAATGAAATAATGTAATATACAAGACAATGGTCCGTATTTTGAACCCTCTTTTATCGATAAAAATGCTGTAAATGTGGCTTCTCAGTCAATTAGGTGGTTCGTAATTTTCTTTTAGGGCCGTATTCATAGTCAAGACTTATTTGTAAGAACATCTTAAGGCTCGTCTACATTAGCTGTAAGAGTAAGGCTGTAAGGTTGCAAGACACGAAATGAAATATTTTCATTCGCTGACAGCTTACGTTACAGCCTTACAGCCTTACTCTTACAGCTATTGTAGACGAGCCTTAAGAACATCTTAAGTTCAGACTTAAGACGCGCTCTAGTTTCATAGTCGACGAATAAGGGCAAGAGCACAAGCTTTTGCATAACACATAATACATAACACATAAGAGAATAAACCAATTAGTTTTCTTCATTTCCCTCCTCAGGACAGAAATGAGGAACTCTGATTGGTTGATTCTCTTATGCGTTGTGTATTATGCGTTATGCAGAAGTCTGTGCTCTGGCCCTAAGCAAACACTTGGGCAAATTCTCAAGTTGTAACTTGATCAAGACGATCTTATTGTTGAACGCCTTATTATGTTTCATAAACGTTTCTTAAGCCAGCGGCACACGGTGCTTGTTTTCGTGATGGATTGCTTGCTGGATGAAAATACTGCGTTCTGATTGGTACATTTCCGAAGATGGATGGAAATGCACCAATTAGAACGCAGTATTTTCATCCAGCAAGCAATCCAACACAAAAACAAGCATCGTGTGCCGCTGGCTTTATTTGACGTAAGCACAGACTTGAGATATTCCTATTGCTTGTTATTTTATAGTCGTTTAAAGCCCTAAACACAATGGCCGCGTTCAGTAGAACAAAGTGATCAGAGAGCGCTTAGTGATTATTGTCTGTGATTGGAGCATTCTTTTAGATTCTTCATAGACCCAGAAATATTTACCAATCAGGAGCGAGATTCAGTGGTAAATTAGTAATGTTGTCCAACTGTTGAGTCTGCTGAACGCGGCCAATGCTAGGCGATAGCGGTAGGAACAAGGGAATAGTAATAGAATAGAAATAGTGATAAAAATTATTATTAATTAATCGCTACCCATTGTACAATGGCGCGACAGGAATAAAAGCCAACCAGTCAGAAATCTTGTAGTCTGCTCTTCCATGTTTACGATACACAGCGCATAACCTGAAGAGGAAAAGATATTCTCGCTCGCGTCGCTGAGTGAACACGAGAGCGAGAAGGAGGGAATGATATCTCTCTGTCGCTCGGCGCGCCCCGACGATTGCCGAGCGCGTAGTTCACACGGATATACTGAGCCGGCTATGAGTGCGTGCGTGGTGGGGGAAATCAAAAAAGAATCGTAGACATTGGCATCGTAGTTCATGTGCACGGTTGTATAGAGGGCGCCTCACACTGGGCTCGGCTAAAAACGGCCCATGACATCTCTCCTTCTTCTCTCTGGAATGAGGTATATGCAGCACCCTCCTAAACACTGAGATATCATCGGTAGTGAGAGGAATTTGTTTTATGATATAATTTAAAGTATTTGCTTCGCATTGAAGAGAGCTCTCTGGGAAGGAAATCGAAATAAAGAGAATCCTTGCTTGTGAAAGATGGAAGCGGAACCGTTAGAGCTGGAGGATGGTGAAATAGTCGACGACGAGGTCAGACACTGAACATTTTCATTTGACAGAAATCTAACCTGTTATAAATTTGCAGTTCGCAAGTCGATCAATTTCTTTCGTTAAATTAGTCAATTAAGAAGAATCATACTAATTAATTTATTTACTTACTCCTCTTACCGCGATTCATTTATGTGTATCGCTTAATCTAGACGTGTATTGTAACAAAGAACAGAATGATATAATGTAGCATAGAAGATGAGCATTCTTTTTCACCATTGTACTTTAAAGTACCAAAGCAAATTTGCAATATACACTTTATTCCAAAATTTAAGTCAGTCATTGTTATGTCAATCTACTGAATGATTTAATGCACTATGCAATTTATATATACAAAACAAAAGAATTTCCATATATTATCTTAATTGTAACAAATTTTTAATTACAATTCAAAAACTTCTTGAGTAATTTCAATGATATAAGTTTATTATATATGTTAGAAAGAAACATCAAAAGTATAGATTTTCACTTGTTTTTAAAAACTACCCTTCGATATTTCCCAATTTGTTAAACTATGCTTTTACATGCGAATGTTTCATTTCTTCTTTTTTTTATTGAAATTATGCGAATAAATCTGTTTCTTTTTAATTATAATTTTATTTTTGCATTATACAGGCTGGTGATATCTTTGGGACATACAAAATTTTGCAAAGGCCTCATATAGCACCAGTTGCAGACATAAGTGCAAAGATGCGATGCAGTGATGAATCTGATAATTCCACAGATTCTGAGAGTGATTCTGATTCTGATTCCACACCTATAAAGAGACCTAAAGTTAAAGTGAAAAAATATAAAAGCTTACCCAAGGACTGGACTAACAAGAATGATAAATACAAAGTATGGTGCACGCAAGTACAGGAAGAATCTTTAACTGAAGACTTGATATCGTGTGGTGTTACAAAAACAATGTATCAGGAACGTAGTGTTGAAAATTATAACTTCACTCTGGGATATGCACATAAGAACAGAAAGCTTCGCAATAATAACAGTTCAGATGACGAAAAGGACATTGAGCGAAGACTTAATAATAAAAGAACAACTTCAGACAGATACAATGTAAAACTTAGATTAGGGAGAAGGAAAAGTCCTAATCGGAAAAGTCCTACTGACTTTGATAAGCAGAAGGGTTCTGTTAGAATTATACCAGATCTATCTACTACTGTGGAGTCGACTGATGCTGATGTTGCTACCGATATAACAACTAAGCTTTGTGAGAAAAAGGATCTACTGATAAGTACGAACTCTTTCTCTATATTTATTGCATTATTTTTTTGCATTATTTATTATGCTTTACATTTATATTGCATCCAATTTTAGTAATTTCTTTCTTGACAAACTTTTGAATTTTGATACAGATAACTTTGATCTCCAATATTTATTTACAGGAAGAGTTGTGGATATCATTGGCAAAAAGAAAGCTATTGACTTTTTCCAAGAGACAAGGACAATCGAGGAAAATGGTGGAATGATGATAATGAATGGGTCTCGTAGGAGGACCACCGGTGGAATATATTTCTGGTTGGTGAAAAACAACAAACATATTCCTCAAGAAAAGATAAGAGAGATATTCGATTACGATCAGAAAGAAAGTAACGAGCAGAAGAAGAATAAAGCAAGGGAACAAAATACCCAGGATTGTATGAGAGGCTTTGAAAGTAAGTAGCACGTCTAATTGCTATATTTATAGAACGAATAATTTGCAAAGTAAAAGTTATTTCTTGCGAGGAAGAAGAATAATGTAAATGTATCCTTGAAACTATAGACAGTTGCGACAAAGATTTACCAGCTTTGCTAACAAGAGCGGAGCTTTCAACGAGGGAAATTGCAGAGCAGGCGAGATTACGACGTGGCGAAGGCATGGATAGAATGCCGATGGATTCCGATCGTACGGTATCAAATCCACCCCCGAGCCCTGTAACGGACGATCCAGATCATTCTGAACATCCGCTGATGCAGAGGCATGTTCAAGATTATACCGACGATTTTCTCGACATTGGAGTAGATATAGACAGCATGGAAGTACTTTAAGACTATGTTCTAGATCTTACATTTGCACATATTGCAACAGCAAATTGTACAAATAATTGTAATCATACACACATGCGTACGCACGCGCGTGCATGACATACACGACACATGAGTTACACGATACAATACATAAGTGTATAATTTGCATAGATTGTATATTTACCATTTATTCATAAACGGCAGAAGTAGACTGACAGTAGTGATCAAAAAAAGTTGTTTGATTCTCGTATGATTTTGTTTTGTTTATTCAACATATTTAAGTTGAAGTAATTTATTTTTTGTATAATTATGCTGTTAAAAATTTCATGTTTCTCTGAGTTCAATAAATGGATGTAATTGCTTTTGACACGGAATTTGCAATTGTTAAATGATTTATAATTCGCGACAGAACTAGCAATGATTATTCAAACATCTTTGAGCCGATATTACATTTACACGTAACAGATGCATAGGAATATGTATTTGTGAACATTTATATATCATTTATACACATGGTGTGTGTATATGTAAATTTTTCTACTATATTGTGTGGTATGTAAAATTGCAAATAGGACCTTATGCCTGTTTCTGTCGTAAATTACAAATCTTTTACGGAGAAATTCAGTTTTATGTCAATGAATGACGAAAGATTTAACTTAACTAATTTACGGCGTAATAATCTTATTGATACTAGAGTTTAATAAAGGGGAACCTTATTAAAACATGAATCAAACATCTATGTTAAATCATTTTTACAGGATTTTCAGTACCGTTACACATAATCTGTGTATATAATATTAATTGTAATAAGCACAAATACGCAAGGATAAAATGTAATTTGTACGATGTATTAAACCAATGTTGTATATAAAAGTTTCCGGCTCATTACCATGTTTCCATAGACTGCAATGTGACGATTGTCAAAACACATTGCTCACATTAGTAGAATATAATTTTGAAAATATTAGTTTCAATGATCATATACTACTATTTATCATCTTGCATTATACGTATATAGGCAATTTTTTTCATTTTAATTTAGACTGCATTATAGAATTCTATGACTCAAATTCAATCGCAATATTGCGACAATTTAATGTCAACATTATTTTAAAGCCTTTCACGATTTGGTGAGAAGCTAACGGTTTAGACTGAATCGAGAACACACTTGGAGTCAGCGTGATAAAATTAACACTGAACAGAGATAAATTGCAAAAGCTTTTATTACTAACAATTGTATATAATATAATCGAAGGTAAAGTCTCATCTCAACGTGTTATCCAAACCAATGATTAGCCATACATTCTCTGGTCCACTGCATTTGACACACCCAACACCAGTGATACCCACATCCTGCTCTCATACATACCATGTGCATACAACCTCCTGCAAATACAAATTATGAATACAAATATTAAAGAATGTTTGCGAAAGTTTTCAGAACTTGGTGAAAAAGATAAAGAATCATAACGATTCGATACTTTTTGATAACGATAATGATGACAAGATTAATAAGTATTGAGTAACAAGGTAATGATAATGCGTTTTTTTTTCCCCAAAATATCCTTTCCAATCTTGGTGATTTCTGGCAAAATGGCGGTTTCAATGGCCAACGATATGATCGGTGACAATTAATTTTTACTAACGTACCATCTCTTTCAGTAGGAGTTCTGCACAGAGGACAAGGTTTCGTGGATACTTGTATCGTCTTCCTGCTAGCCTCGTCCCACTTGGCCTAAAAAGTTATGTCCGAGATCAATTGAATCTCACATGAACCTACGTTTATGCAAACGCATCGATTAAACTAACATCCTTAGCTCTCAGAGGATCCACTGAATAGTTTCTAAGTGAGGAGACATCTGTAGACGCTCCCAATGGCTGAAATTCGCATTTTCCTGTATGGTATCCTTGTAAACAAAGTCTGCAGAAAACATACTGAAAACGATAAGATGAATGAATAAAGAACTTTCTTCATGCTTGCTAATTACTCACACCACATCCACCAATGCACTGAATCCTCCGGCGTTGGTCATCATCTTTCTCCGCTTGTTCCTCGATAGTGGGCGGTATAATGCCCATTCCACAGTCTGGCATCGGACACAGAAAGCCACCGCTGCGTAAAACGTATTCTTCCGTACCGAATCTCTGATACTTGTTGTACTGCACATTTCAATAAAATAGAATAGAGAAAATGTCAAGTTAAAACAAAATCTATTAAAATCTGTTAAAACGTCACAGACCAGTTCCGCGTTAAGAAGATGAAAATGATGAACTTCGGAAATAAAAGAGTCGGGGCATCCAGCAGGGCACGGCAAGGTGTAGTAGCCTTCGACGGAGTCGAATTGGAATTGTCGTTCTTGCAAGCGAACTATGCAGTACTCGCAAAAGCAATCGAGACAAGTTACATGATGAGCTTCGCACGGAAATACCAATACCGTCTCTCTGCGTGAAAATATGGAAAAATATAGTAACGTTTCTATCGAGTCTCGTTGTGTTTGCTATATTGCCAACCTATTATCAAGTACCTGACGTCTGTACACGCTAAGCAAGGGACATTCCTTAAATTTGCTCTAATGAGATAAAGAGGTATGACTTTGTCATCCTCTCCTAAGCTGACATGTCTTGTACACTTGAAGTAGAAGTGAGCGTAAGTGACTTGGAATTCCTCTTCGCTAAGTGAGGATGCAGGACAAAAGTCATTCTCACAATGTACAGTTATCCTATTCGGTTCTAATATGTCCGACCAACATTGAGGGTCTCTGTCGACGGTGACAGCGCCGCTATTGCATTTTGCACATTTGACTCTCAGCTTACCCGCTGTCACAATCTTACAAGGTCCTGGGCAATATATGTAAAAATGTGCTCGATTGTCTTGCTGCTCTGTTCGACAATAATAACATGAAAAAAGCAGTTTAGTCTCTTGTCTATTGTATATATGAAGTATTTGTTATATTAACATTAACGGCACCTTCTGTAGATAAATTGTGTTGATCAGATGAGTCCAAAGACAAATCTGTAAGAGTTTCATTCATAGGTTTGCTACCACTTTCGTTCAAGTCAGAGCTCTCAGATTTGTATTCTTCTATAGAACTAGAAGCACACTGATTTTTTAATTTTTTATGTGGATTCCTTACTGCGTGTAAAGTGCTTTGTTGACCCAAATCACATTCCTGTAACAACCAATGTATCAAAATTGCAAGGCTTAAATACAAGCATATTTTCATACAAATATATGAACTTACTTCAATTACAATTGAATTATGCAGCTCTTTACCAGCAAATATAATCTTAATATCCTCGGCTGCCATTCCCATCTTTGGGGCAACAATTTCTTTCAGATTCTTTATATCCCATTTTGGGTCTAATTCGACAGAGAGTGTTTTCCCTGTATTTGTTTTGATATATATGCTCAAATAATTTGATATTCTCCGTTGGCCAAAACACAAATTTGTACCAACCCACAATAAATGCAACATCTCGAGAAACGTGTTTTTCACTAAATTAAACCAAAAGCTCATGATGTGTTGCAATATATTTAATTATCACGTTATCTATTGAAAAAAACAATGTTCAATCAATCTTGCGAAACTAAATTTCATTGCAAAATCAGATTGATAGACTATGGTCAATGGTTATGTTTAAAAAATACAACAGTTGAGCAAGTATTCATGTTGTTGAAATACAACAGATGAGTAGGTACTCATGTTGTTGAAATATTCTTTTAAATTGAGAAAAATACATCTCAGTCAGGAGCAATAATCAGTCAACAGTATTACTTGTACTATTATATCTTCTGAACATATCCAATGCTAAGTTATGCAAGTGTTTGATTGTTCGATTTTTTTCTATTTGGAATATGCATATTGCTATTGAATTACAATACTATTTTTCTTTTGTCTTTACATAATATACTCTTACCTGTCTTTTGTTAAATATTTTACTTCATTTTGAAGGAATTTTTGAAAATAATTGTGTCCAATGATACCATTTCATTTCATTTAGCCACAAGTATCGTCAAATAATAGCTCATTAGTTCTTTAATTGCTCTCTCAATCGAAATTAACACAGTAAACTGAAAGGTAAATGTTTTATTTGATCTGTTCTTTTCAGCTGCACTGCGGAACTAGTGCAATAAATTAGAATGAGACAACTATATTTTTTCTCACTTTAACTTATTGCACCAGTTCAGTAGGGCAGCTAAAAAGAACAAACCAATTATGTCGTACAATCGTGTAATGGACGTTGGGAGCAACATGAGTGGCATGAATCTTTCACATTGAGCATGATGATGATTATATCTGATTGTTTTTATTTATTTTCTGCATTTGAAATAAAACAGATGTTCTAATTCGAGGACCATGTAAAAGGCACCAACGTGTAAAGAGCAAGTGACAAATAGATACCCGCGATAGATAAAAATTAATTCTCCGGAGTATCGTTAGATCAGTCAAGTTTAATATATGGTTCCGGACTGCATTCAGTTATTCGTCCATATTTCCATTTTCCAGTAGTATGAAGGTAAAAGAAAAACAGGGACAACGCGTACGCAGTCCCCACGATCAAAAAATATGCGCAGTTACAGAAACCACATCCAACTGGAGACGAATTAAAGACTAGTATCGTTAGATGGAGAATCTGTACCGGTGAAAACAAAAGTGAAAGAATCAGCAGGTGAATTTCAATGTAAGTCATGTATGTATATATAAACTTTTGTATATAAGAGAAATATCGAATATAGCGCATTTAAGTTTTGAGACTTTCAATTTGAGGTTTTCAAATTGAATAAAACAGTCGCTTCATATATAATTTTATCTATTGATAGTGCATTTCACACACAAACAGTCATATATACCTGTTGCTGCAATTTATTTTGGAAAGTAACGTTCTGTGCGATCTAATTCGATATACAGGATGATTCATCAAGATGCATGTAATTTCAAGATCTGCTCTAACTTGTCCAGATACTTGTGATTGCAAAAATGCATATAAAAATCAAAAGACAAATTGACATTAGGGAGTTTTTGTAATAACGTTTCTCAGATATAGTGAATGCTAAAGTTATTGGGTCGAAAAACAAAACTGCGCATGCGCATATATATGAAGGTGTTCTATATTTATAGAGGTTATGTTCTTTATTATTTAATTAATAAATAAAAAGGATTTTCCACTGTAAACACTGCGTAAGCGGAATTACCGAAATGTAGTTGCTTTAATGCACAAGAAGTATATTTAAAGAATGAAGAAATATACTTTATACAAAGTTATAATAAAACATGAATTATGTTGAACTATGAAATGCAACTTACACAACGCCTCAGTGTCTGATGCTGTGCCTATTTGTGACACATCTTGCTGGGAAATGTCCTTTACTACCTCTTTTATTCCTCTCTCCCATCGCACAATCACACATCACACACTCATCTTATACACGAGACTTCAAAAATGGCGTCTCCTCGGCCCAAGTCACCTCGTACTCCAATTTCCACGAAAAAAGAAGACAAGGAGGAAAGTTTTTGGGATAAAATTGGAACCTTGGGACGAAAGAAACGCATTAAAGAAGGTGTTTTAATCTCATATACTTATCGATCCTTTAATGATACTTTAATGATATGAGACTTTCACGAACTTAGTTGAAAATCTTAAAGAAGGTTATGTCCTTATATGGTATGACATGTCAAGCGTGATGTCATCTCTTGATGTTGAATATAGGAGTGTGTGTGTGTGTGTGTTTGATTTGCTTTGGAAACAAGAAACCTTTTTTTTTAGTACACTTTTGTTTAATTTATTATTTTCTTCGTGTGAGATTTAATTTATGCTCGTGTCGAATTATAAATTTATCGTGTATGCCATTTATTTTAAATATTTCAGAATAAACGATACTGATTAATAACCATATAGACATTTAGACAATATATATCAGATAGGCAATATAGACAAAGACATTTTATGTTTTCAGTGCAAGAAGTGCAAGAAGAAGGAAAATATGCAATCGATTCACCTGGATACGCAGCTAATCCTGACATGCCACCGGAGGAATATGCTCTTGATGAAAACGAAGAACGTTCCATGATAGAACCGAAGTCTCTAGAAGATCCCAAGCTACAAGAATTGATATCTGTATTAATCGAGTGGATCAATGACGAATTGGCTGATCAGCGGATCATTGTGAAAGACATTGTGGAAGATCTCTATGATGGGCAGGTGCTACAGAAACTTTTAGGTACATGAGTATGTGTAATTTAAGTTAATTTTACCCCAAGGTAAATTTCCTCAAGTAGAATCAGTTTTTATACTTGTGAAAACTTTACTGCAGAAAAGCTGACTGGAGAGAAGCTGGACGTACCTGAAGTAACTCAATCAGAGGAAGGACAGAAGCAGAAACTCGCTGTCGTCTTGTCCGCTGCTAATCGCGTACTGGGCCGTTACCCACCTTACAAATGGAGCGTCGAATCTGTACATACGAAAAACATTGTTGCAATCTTGCATCTTTTAGTGGGCTTAGCCCGGCTCTTCCGTGCTCCTGTTAGACTGCCGGAAAGAGTTGCTGTTCAAGTGGTTGTGGTACGTAAAAAGGAGGGACAATTGATACACAGGACAGTGAGAGAAGAGCTGACGACAACGTACGACGATTTGGGTATGCGTTGCGAGCGCGACGCGTTTGACACTCTCTTCGATCACGCACCCGATAAACTAGCTGTCGTAAAGAAAGTGAGTTCATTGAATGACTTCGATAATTACGACCTTTCGTCATCTTCTCACTAATCACGTTGCCTGTTACTTTCCAGTCTTTGGTGACGTTTGTGAATAAGCATTTGAGCAAAGTACACTTGGAGGTGACTGACCTGGACACTCAATTCCACGACGGTGTCTTCCTGACTTTACTGCTTGGTCTTTTGGAAGGCTTCTTTGTGCCGCTGGGTAGTTTTCACTTGACGCCAAAGACCATCGACCAGAAGGTTCATAATGTCTCGTTCGCGTTTGATATTATGCGTGACATCGGGCTGCCGAAACCCAAAGCCCGTCCCGAAGGTTTGTAGTTTTTAAATCGCAAAACCTCTAAATTACTCTAAGATTCTTTTTACTTGAAGATCAAACTTTTCTTGCAGACATCGTAAATTTGGATCTCAAGTCCACGCTTCGCGTGTTGTATAATCTCTTTACGAAATATAAGGGGATAAATTAATAAAGTTAAAATGTACTCGACAAACTGCCCTTGCGCGAATGCGTTTTCGTGCGGTAATAATATTAACAAATTAATCATGCTAACACACGACGAACGTGCGACACGTGAATCGATGTACTGCCATTAGAAGATTCTTCATACAAAGTGCAGCGGGAAGTAAAGAGCCAAATGGAACCATGAGCATGACGAGCTTTATGTAACGTGCCTTTTTATATGTATAATGTATAAAACGCATATATATATATTTTATAAATATTTATTTACCGTGTAACACATAGTGTTATATTGAAGTTTTTTTATAGATTTAGATATTTGTATTAATAAACGTTTTAGCTGTTATATTACCCTCTTGTGCATTGAACCATTCCACTTGCGCGCGGTGAAAACTACCGTATAATAATCAATTTTTTGTACGCAGCTGTGAAACCTGCAATTGCGTGTAAGACTGGAACGGAAAGAAAGATATATAGTAATCTGTCAAAATATAAAAGATCACGTAATATGATAGTCTGAAAATTGGAGAGAGAAAGGGTATATTAATGTGTACTGATACTAATACTAATACGAGAGTAATAAAAAGGGAAATGAAAGTGCACGATCGCTAGAACAATTTATCAGCATGTGATCGTAATACCAGTGTTACTGCTCCTTACTCTTTCGAAATTGTGTCAACACGATCGTACTACCTGCCACCGTCGCTCCAAGGTGATCGATCGGGCCCCGTACGTGACAGCTGCCTGTTGTCTTCCTTTCCGTCTGTGGAAACGGAAATGAATTCCGGATCGTGCACGAGACGCGATATGTCGATAGGGGATAATAATTCATTGAATACCGTCTAGTATTACGTAGTAAATATAAAATGGGCTATAGCGGATGCACGTAAACGCAAATCGATACTCTCGTATATTTCTTCTTTCTTTTTGCTTCTTTCTTGTTTCTTCGCATTTTCGGTTGGCATATCAATCGTGATAACACCGACTGTTCGAATTACACCCCAATTATGATCTTCCGATTAACTGATCTTGAAATACAGATACGATAAAATCAATATGATAAAGAAGAAAAAGTAAGGATAATAAAATTATTAAAATTATGAATTCAAATTACATGCCACAATGACATATACGAGGTGGACTATTTAAGTTGATAATGAGAAATATCTGAAAAACAAAGCATTGGAGAAAACAATGTTTTAAATGAAAATTGTATGGTTTAAAGGGAAGCGTACGATAGTGCTTTTGGTTTGACCTTGAAATGTGTATTTAAGGTTAGATGAAGGTCAACTTAATTTTTTCAAGTGGAAATCCGAATTTTTTATTATATCTTCTTTTTCTACCAATTAATTTGAACAACTTTTGTTTGAAACATTTTTTATTTGCCTAATATTTTTTGAGATATTTAAGAAAAACTTGGTAATTTATTCAATATTTAACTTTCAATATCTCGTCAATTATTTGTCGGAAGAAAAAATAGTACTAGACTTTTTTACTCTATTCGGTCCCAGAATATATTGTTACAATAGAGTCCTAACTTTTGTTAATTTCATAATTTTGAAATTTCCAAAGATCGATAATCTACATATATATATATATATATATATATATATATATATACGTAGACTTAATACACAAATAATACACTGAGAGAAAAAATTTCTAAAAAATAAAAAATATTCGGTGGATATTAATAACGATATTTATATCAAAATTCTTTTCATTTAAATAGAATAAACAATTGTTTCTGTGAAAAACTACAATTTTTTTAATGTATATTTTTCCGTTTCAAAAAAGGATTTTTTCAGTATAAAAATATGTATATTGATATAAGTAAATATGTTATCAGTACTCACTACAATAAATATTTTTTTTTATTTTTTAAGTATTTTTTTCTTTCGAAATATAAATTATTTTCTTCCTTTATTTTAAAACATATAATTGTTAACGCGTTCATCACTCGTGGAGTTTTAAGAATTTTCGATCGTACGTCTTTAATATGTAATTACTTTCTCGTTCATTTCGAATATTTAAATATCTCGCTGAAATTTGCCAAATTATCATTTGCTTCGGTTCCGACCGCCAACTCGCTGACAAAGCGGAGGACAGATTCCCACCGGTTCATAAGCGGTCGAGCTGTTTCGTCCTGATAAAGGAGTCCAGGATGCAATTTTGTAGGATACGCTTCCGAAGCACGCGATGTCGCGCGACACGACCTCCAAACGATATGTCTTCAGTCTCTTCGTATCTCTCCTGGCGATTGCGGATTGCCACGAGGAACGCGTCGCGAACGAGTTCGCCGGCGCGCAATTAAGTCACCTGAGCTCTCGCGTGTCATTCGTGTTTTTAATCTTACGTTCTAACTCTCTTGATTTCCTTCGGTTAACACACCACCGTTGCGCTCTTCCTGAAGTATTCTCGTAATTAAGTCTCCTTTGTAATCCGCGTTTCGGTCAAATTTCCGTTTCCCGTCGCTTTGCGCTTCTTAAGGACGATGACGACTAGCGATCTGCTGGACGAGCCGGTGAAATTGGAGAGGTCTCCCGAGGACATCGAAACTGACGTACTCAATACCGATGTTCGTAAGACCAGTCTGTTCACCCTCTACGCGAGGATATTTCGCTTGCTCCTCACGACGCAACTACCGAGCCGCGATTTTCTCAGCAACGAGGGACGCAACAAGGAGCTCGAGGATTTAATATTGCCGAGCAATGAGGAGTGGCGTCACCGAGTCTATCACAGTCTCGTTGAGTTGCAGAGGGAGAAGGACGCTGAAACTGAAGATAAAAGGTAAGCCGATGCGATGAACATGGACGTTGTTATCCTTTCCAATAATCGTAATTTTTTTGCGATATATCACATATTACGTTGATAATCACAATTAAATTAGTTGGTCCGTAAATTCATCTCCTTAGGGATCTTTTTCAGTTTTAACAATATATTCGCGTGGGAACACGATACACGTAAGCCGAGATAATTCAAGTAAAAATTACCCTGGTGAACATCAAGTAACAGTAAAATTAACATATCAAAGGAAATAGAACTATTAAAGTAATTATTAAATATAATTCTTAAAAGAAATAGAATTATAATTATTTATTATATTAAATTTATTTAACAAGTAAATTTATAAAATAATTTGTAGAGATGTGCGAATCAAGAATTTTTATGTCGAATCGAATTGAATCGAATCTCATTTTTTAAATTCGAATTCGAATCGAATCGAATCTATGAAATTTCATTCGAATTCGAATCAAATCGAATCGAACCATTAAAAAATTTAACATGAATATCAAACGTGCAAATAATGATGGAAGATTTTAATTTGAAAGGGAATATTAATATTGTAATATTATCTTAAAATAAAATATATATTTAAATATTTATAGTAATTTATAATTAAGTTATTAATTATTAACGATATTAAACCAATTAAACGGTAATTAAACATTATTAATTAATAATTAATTAAAAATAAGTTAAGGGTTCAAATATACAGGCCCAGATGGCCCGTTTTATAACTGATACGCACAAACGCTAATATATTTGATTCGTATTCGAATCTTCGCGATTCGAGATTTTCGAATTATTCGGATTCGAATCGAATCGAATTACATTAGATTCGATTCGATTCGATTCGAGTTCGAATAGTTCGCACATTTCTAATAATTTGGTTGGCGAGAAACGGAGAACGTATACTCCTTAGAAAGGAAATCGCAACCGCTTCGGACAAATGAATACGTCCTTCTAAATCCGCTAACACATCGCTTCACATGCTGCCCCGATCAATGACGCGCCAAAGTATCAACTGAGAACCGCGCAATCCAAATGTAGTGATCCTTATTTAACAATTAATCCAGAGCAATATGCCTCACCGTCACATTCTTATTTTACACCTCGACTAAATCGCAGACTCGCCGCGAGAAGCTGACGTTTCCTGCACATCATCGTGACCGATAATTAGACAAACTGAGGTTAGGCAATGTCGAGAACATCTTAACCGCTACATTTCACGTCATATATACATCGTAGGTTGATCAGCCTACGAGAGAATTAAACAAGGATTTTGCCTTTGAGGACGGAACCCGAACGGCGTATGAGCCGGAAGGACTCGCAGGATTGGGAATGGCAGCCGAGGGAAAAAGGTTCTCTGCCGAAAGGGAGGAGCGAGAAGAGCCTGGACACCATCGTCTCCTTAAACGCTATATCGGGCACCGGTGGTTCGATGACGGAGGCCTGCGTGGAGCCTGGCTGGCGCCTCAACGACATCCTCTTGGCGGCCAAGGTCCTTCAAAATACGCAGCCCTCGCCGAGTTACGCCAACGAGGCCGAGATGAGGCGCGTCTTCGGCCTGGTGTACGACGTTCTGAGATGTGAGCATTTTGAGTCGTGCGACGAGCTAGGAGGAGCACCGCCGTTGCTTCCGAGTACAACGAGTCACCTTAAGCCGAGAGAAAGAGAGCTCTCTCTCTCTCTCTCCTTCTCCCCTTTTCTTTCATTCCTTCATTCTTACGGATATGAGGCATTTTTTGTTGTTCACCCGAATGTGGATCTTCTCGCGTTTCTTCGCAAGAAGGAGAGGGAGAGAATACTCATACAGCACAAAAGCAATGTTGCTGCAATTTCTGTGCTGTATGCACACTTTCTCCCTCTCCCTCTTACTGCAACGTTGCTGTAATATTTCAATACTGCGGCAAAGTTGCAGCAATGTTGCTGCAACTTTTGTACTATACGGATGGAAAGCAAGCGCCACGGCACGGAGTACACGCGATACTCGAGCCTGTCGCGAATTGCGAATTTTTCAGACAGGAATATCTTGAATCGCACGCTCGAGGACGGAGGATTTTGGTACGAGAACGGCGCTCTGAAGCAACGCGAGAGGGTAGTTTGGTTGTTGCTGTACGACATGCAGGGAAGAAAATTCGCACGCCGACGCGATGGCAGCGCACTTATGATTCGGGAGAAGATATTCAAGGTTTGTCAGAGTCGAAGTGTCGCCCGTCCTTCCTCGTTCTTGTAGTACGACTCCAGTAAATGTCTCGTACTTCCGGTTAGGATCCGGTTAGGTAACTGTCGTTGTTGAGAGGAATTCAGGGTCGAGAGTTGCTTTTGGAAAATAATACGTTACCGTTATTCGTTACCTACTGAGAAAAGAAAACTCGTTACCGCTATTGTTACTCAAGAAATAACGAATTATTGCAATCCCCGTCGTCCATTTTGTGTACCCATGTTCTTTTCAATACGCAAGGTAACTCTGAACACAACACGCAGAGTTGAAAAAAACGTTGCTGCAATGTTGGAGCAATGTTGCAATATTGCAGCAATATTGCTGCAACTTCTGTGCTATATGGGTGTCGATCAAAAAATGCAATTGTACTACCGTTATCGTTGCTAACAGGGAAAGAAATAACGTCAAATTATCAAGTTATTATATCGGGGACGATAAATTATAAAGATAACAGTATTTTTCGCAAATAACGCGTTATTTTAACGTAACCCTGGAGGAATCGGCAATTTAATTATGTTAAAAGCGGCAGTAATAAACAAGCAAGTATGCGTTCACTTTGTCAAGACACCTTCACCAGAAGTGAATTACATTATTGGAGTCGTATGTGAAAATCTCTCATATTTGATAGAAATTTTTTTCATGTCGTTCCAGACTGTCGGCCTGAAAGACGTCGAGGATGCTCTCTTGAAGGCGAAGACGCACTTGGCGGCGAGTATCTCGCGTCTTCGTATCGGCGGCTCGGCGCTCAGTCTTGGTTACTTTCAATTCTCAATTGCAACACACTCCTATATAGTCTCAAAATTTCTCAGTTCGTCTCATCTCGTCAGGAGATGTAAAAATATTCCGGCGAACATCAAGTAGCAATAATATAATTGCTATATGATGCGTCACTACAAAACCCTACAACTTATGTATTTCATATTTTTTTCTATCTTATGTATTTTCAAAGTTATTCAGATGGCCTGTTTTACGTGCCTCACCCTGTATAAGCTTCCATAATATAACGGCCGGACGAAATTAACGGATATATCCACTTCTGATGCAAATGAGTCAACACATTGGTCGCAATCGTCCATTGGAAAAACTTCCTACAGACCACCTTGTAGTTTTTACATGACAGTGTGAAACGGACTTAACTCGCTTATAAGAATAAGAAAAGTTATCGGCGTCCATAGATTTGTAATGTGGAGTGCATTTATACAGGGTGCTAAATTTCAAACGTAACAGGTAAAAAATCTCGAAAACTATGAAAGACATTAAAAAAAGCTAAAACACGTATTCCATGATTTCGAAGGGGCAAGAGAATGGCATTATCAGTTTTTTATTTGGTGGGCATTTTCAAGGTCGGTTGAAGGTCAACTTAATTTTTTAAAATAGAAAGCCCAATTTTATATTATATCTTCTTTTTCTACCAATTAATTTTAACAACTTTTGTCTGAAACATTTTCTCATTTGCCTAATATTTTTTTAAATATTTAAGGAAAACTTGGTAATTTTTTCAACATTTAACTTACGATATCTCGCTAACTATTCGTCGAAAGAAAAAATAATACTTTAAAAATAAGATAATACTTAAAATAATACTTAAAATAATACTTAAAAAATAAGACTTTTTTACTTTATTCACTATCAAAAATATATTACTATAACAATGCCTTAACTTTTGTTAATTTAATAATTTTGAAACATCCAAAGGTCGATAAAGTTGTTAAAATTAATTGGTAGAGAGAGAAGATATAATAAAAAATTGGGCTTTCCATTTTAAAAAATTAAGTTGACCTTCAACTGACCTTGAAAATCCAAATAAAAAACTGATAATACCATTCTCTTTCCCCTTCGAAATCATAGAATACATGTTTCAGCTTTTCTCAATATCTTTCATAGTTTTCGAGATTCTTTATCTGTTACGTTTGGAATTTAGCACCCTGTATACAATGTGTCCGGGTGTCCTTTTGAAAGCAAAAGATTGTGAAGATTAATCAGGTCAAACTGAGAAGAAAAGTCATGTACCATTTCGCAAAGATCGCAATAGTTATTAAGTTATTGGTGATTGAAAATGACCAGACCATCTAGAAGCTCTTTTAATCGATAACTTGAAAAATAATAACGATAAAGCGTTATTTTCCCAAAATATATAACTCTCTCGATCTTGAATTTTTCTTCTCGAGGCTAACAGCTACGGCAGTAAAATTTCGAGTAACGAATTACACGTTGAAAAAATTTAATCAATTTGTTATTCTCGACACTCTCGGTAAACAACTTGTAAAACAACAGTGTTCTTTGCTTCAAAACTTCGATCTCTCTTGGCATATATTTTACATCTGCTCTGCCTCCATTTAGACGAGCTGCTACCGATGCACTTGCGCATCGCCGAAGGAATAAGCTGGGTCGACGAAGGCGCGATTGCCTCCGGCTGGATCAACACCATGAGAGTGGCCAGTAAGAATGAATTCGTCAGAGACATGTCGAAGCTGAAGCTCAAGCTGTGCAACGATATTCAGGAGTTGAACAGGAACGACTACGTTTTCGATCCGATCTGCCCGAAGATGATCAATCTGCACGACAAGACGCGAGAGAACCTCGCCGTGTCCGATTTGGTTCGCGATCACCGGTTCGTTTTCCTGGTAAGTATGAACGAAAAAACAAGCAAAAGTACGGTTAGGAAAAATAATAATCACTATTGATGACACAGAAAGCTCGTATTTCGCTAGCTGGATCTTTTCTTATTGCTTTGCGAGTTACTTTGTGTTTTGACAATGGTCTATAAATAATATTGGACCACGAAGAAAAATAAGCCGGTCACCTTAAGGGGTTGGTAATTCAGCATTGAGCAGGATTAAGAAGTAACACGTCGCTTGTAACGTCATCACCGTTACGAGTCACTTTTTGCAATAGCGACTTCTCAACGACGTTTTTTCATCCACACCACTGATGATTACGCAATCACAGTTGCAAACAGAAATTGTAAGGAAAATTCCCGTACTGCACAAAAGTTGCAGCAACATTGCAGCAACGTTGCAACGTCGTAGCAACGATGTTGCTGCAACTTTTTGTATTGTATGGGTTTACCACCCCAATATCGAGGATAATAACGAATTATTTTTTGAAACGGGTAACGAGTAACGGCAACAAGTTTCTCTTGCCAAGCGTCTGAAGACGAGAGTGACTTTTTCAAAATAACTTTGCTGACTCCAAGAGTGAGAAATCGTGTAACAGATGACAAGGACTTTTACCTACTTAGGAAAGGTCGCTGTGCCTTGGAGCGGCCACGTTGGCGCAGGCGATAAGAGTGGCGCGTCTTTGCGGTCCTGTGGTCCTCACACACTCGATTGCGCCGCGTCATAGCGGTTACTTGGCGGGCCTCCTGGCCGACATTGAGGGCGCCGGTAGACTGTTGGCCTTCGACGCCGGCGATCGCCGCTGCGAGTACGAGAACTACCTCAGCACCCTGGGCATCACTCTGCAACAATGTAGAATCTACTCAGAGAAGTAATGCGGCGAATAACAGAATTACACGCGCAATTTACACGGAGAGGATATTACGGCGTCTCTGATAGAAATTCTGCTCAGTCTTGTTACGTTTCGCCTGCTATAAAATGTTCTCTGCGTATCGATTCGAGAAGTCGTCGTCGCGACCTTACAGACCCCGCGAACGTCGCGTTTTATCTCCAGATACGTGTCGCCACCGCCGTCCATAGAGCTGGAGAGGGCGACCGTCGTCTTGGCGACTCCTCCGTGTAGCTACACCGGCATCAAGGACATCGTCGACCTGGCGGTTGCTCGTGGCGGCGATACCGGTTTGCTGGAATCGTTGACCAGCGACACAGCCGCGACCAAGCAGCCGCGCGCCCTCTTGGCCGAGCAATTCTCGACGCTCAAGTACGCACTGACGAGACCGAACATACAGTTTCTGATATACGAAGTGCACACGATCCTGCCGTCCGAGACCACGGAGATGATCCAACGGGTCGTGGAGTATGCCAATCAAATTGCCACGGAGAAATACATTCGCGAGCACCCAGTGAGTGTAATGAGCTTTGACGTGAAATCTTCGGTAGAAAATATCCTGGAATCTAATTAGGATTTTACTCTCTCAAAGTGAATCAGTAAAACTCACTGTCCATCAGCGATTATGCATTGACAGTTTCACTGATTCACTTTGAGAGAGTAGATTAATTTTTGCTAATAAAAAAGCATGTATTCCGATTGGGAAATCTACGAATATTCGGATTAGAAGTACCAAAAGGTGTTAAAAATAATGTTTAAAAAGTGCGATTTTCAAAAGCGAGAAATTCAAATAGATTTTTCCTATTTTTCTACTGGCTGTGGTCCCAAAGTTTTTTTTCTTGTAATTTTAGTTATATTTTAGATTCATGTTGAGTAAAATATTCAAAACACTTAAGAAGAGAGATATTTACATATAAAAATATAAATATCTAAAAAGCGTAAATATCTAAATTATTTGAAATATATTATGCTCAATCCTTTTTCCTAAAATTAAAAAAGAAAATAATAATAATCTCGAAAAATATGAAAGATACTAAGAAACGTTTCAGACAAAAGTTGTATGGTTTTAAAGCGGACATAAAACAACTATGTCATTTTGCTTACAGATGACGCCATTTTCGAGATATTCACTGATTACTTACTTTTCTTAAATAAAAATTCCAATGTTTTATTATATCATCTTTTTCTGCCAATTAATTTAAAGAACTTTTGTCTGAAACATTTTTTTTTAATCGCCTAATATTTTTTGAGATATTTAAGGAAAACTTGGTAAAACATTTTCAACATTTAACTTACAATATCTCACTAACTATTTGTCGAAAGAAAAAATAGTACTAGACTTTTTTATTCTATTTAGTTTCAAGAATATATATATGTATATCTAAAATAAAATAATAAGTAAACTTTAAATATGAAACCTGTATATTACATTAAGCAAAAGAAAAAAGGAAAGTAAACACTGGAGAAAATGTCGAGTAAAGCAAATGAAATGTACTCGAGTTCCTCACTTAAGACAGTTGAATTTTATATTTAAGATCTTAGATTATCTTATAATCTTAGATTTATCTTATAATCTTAGATTTATCTGCAGATGTTTTGTGGGCACAATAAAACGATCTGGAAAGTTTCCATTCAAAGATCCAGAAGTTTCAACGCAGGAAAAAATTAGTTATTTCAGAAATCTCATATACTCCTCGATTATTTATTGCTGTCAAAGAGTTTCCGTGCTTTGTGCGTCGCGTGTCCGACTTTTGCTTCATAAAGAAAATGTTCTCCATTATTTTCCAGGTAAAGAGAAAAACAGTGTCCAAGGAGAGCGCTGGGAGAGTCCCAAAATTGGCAAAAGCTGTCACGAGTCCGAAACCAGAACAGTCGCGGGAACAACTGGAGGTTCAATCACGACAGAAGCAGGAGGAGGACGAAGACGAGACGTCGACCATCACAGACATCATCGTAAGATGTCATCATAGATATTTGCTACTCAATCAATATTAACGATGACGATTTATCTGAGAGAGAGAGAGAGAGAGAGAGAGAGAGAAGGTTAGGAAAGTCATATTTTTAAAATAATTCGTTTCATTTTCTTTCCCTTTCTCTTTCTCTTGTTATCCTTTGAAGAAAAACCTCTCATCACTTAATGACAAAAATAATAATTGTTTTTGTCTCCGAAAATATAATTTTGTTACGTTAATGATAAATATTTATCCGGTGATCGATACTAATAACATGTTCACTTGAATCTAAATTTTTGTACGTCAATAGGCTAAATAATCTTTTCCATGACAAACTACGATTTGAAAAAAAAACCGTAAATACGTTATTAATATTCATGAAATAAATATTTTTTTCTATTACTAATATAACGAGAAAGAATAACGCCGTTATTAATCAATTCATCGGAAAAGAATGCAACTGTAATATATGTACGTAACGCGTCGATTTTCAATGTTGATTCTGCTATCCTATCTGCCGATGATGCCGCTAATTGCCATTAACGCTAATCGGATCACCGTCAGATCCCCGATAGCGATCTGTTCGAAGTCGGGAGCATCGATGAGATCTACGGCGAGGACAGCGAGCACATGTTGGATCCCGGCTGTTTCATCGCCATAATCAAGCGAAAGGAGATGATGCAGTTTGACTCGCTCTTTATGATCAAAGTGGCAGAGTCGAAGGGACTGTTCGGCGACTCCGATAAGGAGCGAAGTCCGAAGCAGAAGGTCGACGTGTCGCCGGCATGCGAAGTGTTGCGAGTCAGGGCTCGCAAGGGCTCGAAACGCGCCAAAGTACGTATACGCATTGTCATATTTCAACGAAAAAACAAAAGCAACGCATATCGAAAATGCTCTTTAGGAAGCTCCATTTTTAAGATGGTATCAACAGGATTTTTATTGCGTCTACTATTAGTAAATGACTAAATATCATGGATTAATATTAAAACATTAAGAAACAATAGCTGCGATTGGAATATATCTTTGACAAAACTGACATATAGTGCCATCTCTTGCAAAATCTTCAAATCATACCCCTAAGTCAAAAGCTGCGAAGAAACGTCAGTGGCGAAAATCATTTCTTTTTATAATAATAGTGTTCTATAATAATAGCTGATAATAATATCGGTGACGCACCGTACACGCCGAGCTTTTCTTAGTCGTCCTTCGATCCTATATCCCGTTAATATATTTTTAAAAATTATTCAATATCCTGAAAAAAAACATCCTTATGCAGCTCTCATTAGCCTAAATTAATCCTTGGCAATATGATTGCATTCATACGGAACATATCGCTGATCCTGCTCGATTGGCCTAAATTAATTCTTGACGATTGAATGCACAAGAATCTTAACACACAAAGTATCGCACCAAAATCGTGACAGGACGACAGGTCCTGCTCGATTCCTCCTATTCTCCGCCATCATTTTATTTTCCGTCAGCAAGCTGACAAGAATTCCGACAAGAATTCATAGCAGACACACTTTTAAATCTATCCCCGCAAGTTTGGCCATCTCGACGCGTCGCGTCGTTCCACGAACAATCAACAAACCGCGAGCCTCCTCGTCGAGGCACGTCGAGCCGCCTCGGGTTTTAACGAGCGACGCTCAGAGTTCTAATTTGTTTCTTCAACTACTGCACAGGTCGAGATAGATCGCGTGGCAGCGCCTACGCACTCGTCGATATCGCGGACTTCGAACAAACGTCAGATATGTCCCCGTCACAGGCGATACATCGTTCAAGACGAAAGATTGCTGCCGCCGCACGTGCGCGACTCGCAGAAGCGAGATTCGCGTCAATGGTGGCGGGACGCGATCGCGTATCTCCTCCGTTCGATGAGATACGACACGGCTTGTAAGTTTCGCACCACTCGCTCGTCCCCGTTATCGCGACAAATCATTTATCCTTTCCGTGTGAAGAAGATCGCGCTGTCGGAACGCCCTCCTCGTCCTCCTCGTCCGATTAGTCTGACGCGCGATTTCTCTGGCAGGAAGACGATTTAATTCGACGATTTTTTCGCGGGCTCGTGTTAGAAGTCGTTACTTGAAACTTACTCCAAGTGCGAAATACTCTCTTCCGAGAAAAGTAATTATATATAGATTGACCCACTTTAAATGTCTACCTGAAACATCGCGGAAAAATACATTGTTCGGAGAAACGTTTCAAGCAAAAGTCCGAACAAGATCAAATCGAGGCCTCTGTGTTGTTGCTTCCTTAAAACTTCCTTAAAACTAAGCGACTTATGTCTGAAACATTTCTTCAAACAGCACATTTCTTCCGAGATATTTTATGTAATTATTAAAAACGGGTATGATACGAGTATTATATATGAATTTTGTCTCTCTGTATAACCATCGTCTGTAATTATAATTATGCATATCTGCACGGAAAAAAATGTTATTGTATAAATATAGTTGATGAAACTGCTTATGTTTAATTGAATGGAAATATCTCTTCTTCTCATTCAGCAACATTTTTTCCGTATGGACATGTATAGTTATATACAATTAAGTATGTCGTGACATATAGAGACAAAATTCAAATATGAGCCATATTATAGTAGTCATACTATAGTATAGAATTTGCGTGTAACTATATACAGGATGTCCAGGATTTTTTGGAAACGAAAAATTGTGAAGATTAATCGGATCAAACTGCGAAGAAAAGTCAAGTATCATTTTGCAAAAATCGCAATAGCTATTAAGTTATTAAGGATTGGAAATGACCACATTTAGAGGCTGTTTTAATCGATAATTTGAAAATTTACCTACTTATTTGCAAAATGGTAAAGGACTTCTCAGTTCGATCTGATTAATCTTTGTTTCCAAAAGATCCCGGACACCCTGTATATGTTGCAGTATAGAAACAAAATTCAAATATGAGCCATATATATTATAATATAGAATTTATTTGTAACTATATATGATTTTATATAATTATATATGATCCTTTTGTTCGAGCAGATTTTTTAGAATTAGATTTAAGTGTTTTATTAGAACCATATAATATATGTATATGCGACATTTTTGTAATCGCGATTTACTCGAAAGACCTGTATCCAACTCTAAATTTAAATTTGAGTGTCTCATCTAAGTTTTAAGTCTCATATTAATTATTAATACGGCTTTTGATTCCTCGAAGCTTTTTCACGTATGACTTGGTTTGCAAGTTCTACACCACTCGCTCGTGTGCGTTCAAAGCATCCCGATGAAAAAGAATTATATATAATTATACATGGCTATATAGGAAAAAAGTTTATTTATAATTATCATATATAATTATTTATAATTAATAATTTATAGTTATCATATATAATTATTTTTCGTCGAAATTTGCCATTTCCGCATGAAGATTATACTTCGTCGGATCGTCCTTCTCGCATTCCCTGTTTAGAAATCAGTTAAACTCGTGACTTCTTCCTTCAAAATTTGATTTAATTCCAATATTTTTGGTCCGGCGCACTTTTACACACAATCATCAAAATAATCAAATATTTTTGAACACGCTCGCTCTACCACCGTTTTATTCTGAAACATTTCACAACATATTTCCTTATATTTTTGTGTAATATTGCAAAACAATTTAAGCAATTAACACTCACCTCTAATTATCTCTAAAAATCCGAACTTGTTCGATTATCGTGATGAAACAACCGAGATTTAATATTCGCTCGCTGTCCTCGTTGTAAGATAACTCATTGATACGTAAAAAATTAAAATTCAGTTTATTTATATGGATATAAAATGAATGAAATTAATGCCATTTACACATGCGTGACGTTGGTTTCTTGCGAGGATCAGTGCGTCATACGTATGTAATGCGTGTTAAATTCCCTTCGACATAGCGATTCGCGTAGCTGAAAACAACATCACTGAAAAGACACAGTCAACGATGGTGTCACGCTCATCATTATTCATACGTTCAATTTCAAATTCTTTGTGCTACCTAAACGTAATATTTCTCATCCAGCCTGAAAGAGAGCACTTGTACAAACTGCCCGCCGGGAGAGTCGACGTATCTGTTATAAGTACGGTGAGTCTTGGAATTCTTCGGTCCCTATAGGGGAGAAGATTTATGAACAAAGTTTGCATGTTTACTCTAAAAGAAAATAGAGAGGACGGCACCTCTTTAATCACGAGCCGGTAACTGGGACGCTTACTGTTGGTTCGATAAGTAATAGCACACTTTTTTGTGCCTATCTCTTCTCCTCTCTTGGATGTTAAATGCCGGCGAGACTGCGAGTGAATGTGTCTCGTTTTTAATTCGTTCTTAATTTTATCGAGACTTGCGTACAATAGTTAGTACAAAAAATTTGAGATGTACACATCAGGTTTTTTATTTTATACACGAAAAAGTGAGTCAGTATAGATTTATTTTCAGAGTTAAAGAAAACACACACAGAATGTCGGGGAAACTGACTTTCCTATATCCTTTTATCTTATATACGGCGATGCGATATTAATATTAAACGAATAATTAGTAGAAATAACTAATACAAAAGGTAACGGTTTTAATTAAACGTATTCTATACGTACGATTTGTGTGATCGACTTTAAAAGTTATTTCTAGAAGCACCCTTTGCGTAAAAAATTCTGGAATTGATTCGAGAAGGTAAAGCGCTTCCTTCGGAACAATTCGTACTTGATGTATACAGGGTGAGGCACTTAAAACAGGCCACCTAAATAATTTAAAAAATATGCAGAATAGAAAGAAAATCTTAAATAAAGAAGTTATAGAGTTTCAGGTGACGCATCGCACATGTGACGTTGAAGAGCGTCATCAAGGTTACGGTAAAGTCACTTGGAATTTTTTAAATAGAAATCCTCATAGATCTCCATAGATAGATCTCCTGCAATTATGACAGATCCATTTGGCCGCGTCGTTGTCCCTTTGATACCTCCACTTTATTTCAGTTAAATGAATGAATTTCCGACACTTAGAAATCGACACGATCGTCATTTCGTCGCGACTAATCGAATTGCGACAAATGCGATACGCCTGATCTCTACACTCATTGCGTGAAAAATAATTACTTCAGCTTCCGAAGAAGAATCAAGAAACGACGAGAAAAATATATATAACAAAAATGACAAGCATGTCACGTGCCACGTAAATCGATCCACGTAACATTGTTATTTTATGACAAGCGTCGACTCGAGGAAATCAACATCAACCCGTTGCTTCTCGATCCGTGAAGTCTTTGAGGAAACTGTCCCTTCGGTAACAACAGAAGGACATTCAGAGAATGCACTCGATATGGACGAAAGCAAGATTACCATGTTACCGATACAGTGTCAAAATGCAAAACCATTTACTCGCACTCTATCGTGGGCTCGTCCAAGAAACCGTTGTAGAATCGGTACGATCTGACGAACTTTATTGATTTTAGATAGAAGGATTTTTATTTCTCTCCTTCTAAAAATTAAATCCTCTCTTGTTCCTCTCTTTTCCCTCCCTCTCTCTTTCTCTTCTCCTTTCTCTTTCGAGTCGAACAGCATCTAAGCAAGACTTTTTCAAATATTTGCACCAAGAAAGCACAATAATTATATTATTTTTACTACACTTAAATTTCGCTCTTAAACGACCGCTTGAATGAAATGTCTAAACGCTCCGACTATATATACATTTTGAACGAAATATATTTGGTATAATGTATATTATTTAATAATTACCTTACTTATATATTATAGCAAAAACTTTTAGTACATAATTTTCTTGCACAGTTCTAGAATGTTGGTTCTACAGCATATTCATCTATTTATCTCTCATTTTCCTCTCTCGCAGAAATTCGACCTGTATCGTCTGGACGAAGGACCACCTGAGAAGTCGACTCTGAGCAAGGAGGAGGCCACGTATGCCCTGAGGACGATGAATTACATACGTCGGATGGAGAACAGAGCCGCGGACTTGTACCGATTGCGACTCATCAACGGCTTCCTGCACTTGTACACCGGTCAGGTATGAGGACTTGTTGAGGTCAAAAGCTGGGGAAAGCAACTCCACTTGTGTAATTAAACTTTCTGAATTATCCGGAGAGCTCCCTCCCACCAGGTATTAGATCGTTAAGTATAAAATGTCCGATTTCGAATCAAAAGTTAGGTTAGGTTTATTATATCTCAAACTAGAAATAGTACAATTAATCCTATCGGCATAGTTCTACCGTCTTAACGGCAGCTTATTTACGCCAGCAGCGAAGAAGCCCGAAGTGCAGGTGACGATGAAATCGCGAAAAACGTTTTCCGCAGCTTGTTGAGAATTAAATATTTTTCCTTGCAAGAAATGGTCCAGTGCCTGGAAGAAGTGATAGTCAGTTGGTACAAGGTCTGGTACAAGGTCTGGTGAATACGGTGGGTGACAGAGAGTTTTCAGGTTCAGCTCCTGTAGTTTGAGCAACGTTGTTGTGTGACACGTGTGGTCGAACGTTGTCTTGCAAGAGGAGTCTTACTTGTGTCTATTGATCAATCTCGGCTGCTTGATCGCAAGCATCCTCATTATTTCGCCTAGTTAGTTACAATAGACATCCGCTGTAATCGATCGACCAGATTTCACGAAGTTGTAGCGGATAATATCAACGCTGGACCACCAAACAGACACTATTAGCTTTCTTCTGTGAATATTCGGTTTCGGACTGTGCTTCGGCACTTCATCCATATCCAATCATTGTGCCGAATACTTGCCGAATAATTGTCGAAAAGAATCCGCTGTTCATCGCACGTAACAATATGATGTAAAAATGGTTCGCTTTTACGTCGTGATAGTGAAGAAAGGCAAGCTTCGAGACGACTTCTCTTCTGACGCTCGTTTAATTCATGCGGAACCCATTTATCCAGCTTCTTTATCTTGCCGATTTGTTTCAAGTGATCCAATATCGTTGGAATAGTAAACGTTAAATCTTGCTGCTAATTCACGCATAGCTGGAAATGTATCCACTTCCACTGCAGCTTTCAGCTCGTCATTATCCACCTTGGTCTCTGGTCTCTCACGTCAACGTGGCTCATTTTCCAGATTAAAATCGCCAGAACGAAACTTCTACCGAAACCATCGACGTATCGTACGTTCATTAGCCAAACACTTCGTTAATATTTCGAGTTGTCTGTACTGCATTGGTCCCACGACGGAACTCATATTCGAAAATAACATAAACTTTCAACTTATCCATAGTTATACAAAAATTGCTGTAACAAATTCGAAAGATAATCACAAGGCAAAACATGCACTTGAAAGAGTGATGATGTATACCTTCACAACAACAACAACAACAAAAAGACCAAAAACTTTAAAGGTGAAGGTGGTCAGAGATATGCGACTGTCAAACTTAGTCAAAACTTAAGGAAATCGGACATTTCATATTTAATGACCTAATATAAGGTCGCATCGCAGAAACTGAAATATTGTTGTTGAAGGCTCCTATTCGCGAGACGCGAAACAATGGTGGCGTCATCGTCGGAACACTCAGCCGTGCGGGGCTGAAATTCGAACGTGTACTAACTTCCGCAGGAAGCCGTGGCTGTGGGCTTGAAAATGGCTATACACAAGGAAGACACCGTCATCACAGCGTACAGGTGTCACTCCTTCGCCGTGGTGTTCGATATCTCGGTTCGCGCGGTCCTCGCGGAACTGATGGGTCGTAAAACCGGCGCCTCCCAGGGCAAGGGCGGCTCCATGCATATGTACGCGCCGCGCTTTTACGGCGGCGACGGCATCGTCGGCGGACAGGTGAGTGAACGATGATGGAGCTGGCGCGCGAGCGGACGCGGACGCCGGAATTTCAAAGTGGTGTCTCGCGATATTAGGTACCGATTGGCACCGGCATCGCGTTGGCGCACAAGTACAACAGCACGGGCGCCGTGTCCATCACGCTCTACGGAGACGGCGCGGCGTCTCAGGGCCAGATCTACGAGGCATGGAACATGGCGAAGCTGTGGAACCTCCCGGTGGTTTACATCTGCGAGAACAACAAATATGGCATGGGCACCGCTGTGCACCGGCACTCCGCCAACACGCGTCTCTATACGCGCGGAGACCTCATACCGGGAATAAAAGTAACGCGACCGCCACTGCAGAAAAGTATTAACGGCTGTAATAATATTGTCGCGTCTATTGTTAGTAAATGACCAAATATCCATGGATTAATATTAACCCCTTCCGTGGCACGGACGCACCACCTCTGTGAAGTTGGCCCCTCATTCTTCAAATTTGAAAAAAATTATTAGAGTTCTGAATGCCCCTCGCAGAGTTCTAGAGTTCGCAAACCTTTATAAAAAGAGTTCCGTCATTTAAAGTGGAGAAAATACTATTTTAAAAATCGGAGGGCCAACTTCACGACGCCCCTCATTATGTAAAAAATGCAAATTTTTTTAGAGTTCTAGATAGATTTTTTAATTTTAATATACTTTAATAAACTTTAATAAATACTTTAATATACTTTAATAAACTTTAATAAATTTTTAATTTTAATATACTCGTATAAGTAATAAAATTACTAAGCAAACTATAATTGCAATTGAACAACAATAACTTAATCAGCGACTGATTTATTGCAGCTAGTGGTACTTTTCTATAAGAGTGTACCTGATAATCACGTCTAATAAGATATTTATCGTGTCTTTCATACAAAGGCAGACGGAATGAAGATCGTAGACGTGCGAGAAGCGATACGTTTCGCCCGCGACTACGCGCTCCGTAACGGACCGATCATAATCGAAGTCGTAACTTATCGTTACTTCGGGCACAGCATGAGCGATCCTGGTGTAGGTTACCGTACCAGAGAAGAAATCAAGTCTGTGCAAAGCGAACAAGATCCAATTATGTTGTTCAATCAACTGGTTGTACAGAAAGAGCTCATGACCGAGGAAGAGATCGAGGTATAAGTGCTCGATTTAATATTGTGTGTTGGAAGAATAATTTGCGTAAGTAAATAAAAAATGAGCAAATAGGTCGACGTACCATGGAGACGGAAATTGCATCTCCAAAAGTTTCAGTTTGCAACATGAAACGATTATTATTTCATAATAAACGCTCTAATTAAATTTTGTCACGACCAGGACATACGAAAATCGACCTACAAGGAGGTTGACCAAGCGGTGGAGCAAGCCCAAGCCGACGCTTGGCCGGAAATGACGGAACTCGCGACGAACGTTTACGTGAAGCCTATGGAGAAGGTGCGCGGTAAAGTTCCCTGGGAATCGTTCTAGAAACGCGAGAACATTTCGTAGTATTCCTGCCTCGAGGATATCGAAGTCTTCCTCACGTTCGGAAATCGTAATCGCTCTCGATGTGTTTGTGATGATGCGATAATGTACACCTTTCACAAAAATACACGCACATCAGAATCCAAAGGTGGATTTTTATCTTAATGCATTGTTAACCGCCCGAGTTGTGCTTCGCTGGTCTTCGAGTGTTGCTCGTCCTATTGGCATACCTTAACTTTGCCAGGTGCGATTTCATCAAAATCAGAGAGACCTGAGCAGAAAAATTAATATGGCTTTGGTAAGGACCTGATTATTTTTCCCTAACATTAATTGGGTCTTACTAAGGATAGAAAGAGAAGGGCTCTACAAAATGTGTAACAAATAGTTTAACGGGTGTTTATAAGGCAATATTAATAGTGTCTCGTAAGAAAATATTTTTATTATTGCTTGAATAAAAATATTCGTTCTTTTCATTCCAAGAAATTTAGACTGTAATTTCTTCATTTCTTTGTAACTTTGTTATTGCATAATAAGAATTTTTCACTTTAAAAATATAGCATACTTTACAATAAAATATATTATTCTTTACATATAAAAATCCTGCTACTGTTTTTATTAAAATTTGCTGCGTGTCAAAACGAAGGCAATACTAGAAGAATCCTTGGACGAAACTAATGAATATGGCAATTAATAAAACCAATAAAATTTGTTTTTAATTGCGGTATAATTGAGAAATCTTTAAAATCTTTAAAAGAACCAGATAGAGCGTACCTACTAAAACAATACTAAACTATGACAATTTTATTACCTTCCAAGGTCCTTTTCAACTTTCCCGAACAAAGCCTTATTTCGTAAAATCTAAGGTATCTCTAAAAGCGTACCCGTAGAGCGTCAAATAAATAAATAAATAAAAAGAAGAAAAAAAGATCCGTCTCTCGGGGTTTGATGAGGTAATAATGAGACATTTCCTTTTAGGATATTCTACTTTCAGCCTTATCGGAGCCTTATGCTTCATGAGGATGGCCCTAACAATTTTTTGCTCGGGGAAGTAAACGATTTTACTTTAAATATGATATTTATCAATTATATCGATTTCCCTTCTTCTTGCGGAATTTTATGTTGAATGTTTATTCACAGCAGTTCTTTGTATCTTTGTCGTTGTCAATGTTTGAATTGAAAAAAAGAATTGAACGTATCTAAACGTATATGTGTGTGTCAGTACTCCTGCAAAAAGGTCAACTTTTGTGTAATTTTTGTTAAACAATTGACAACTGACACCGTGAAATTCGAAAAGACGGACGATTTTCCCACTGAGAAGGCAGGCTGATCGTTCGATCAATCAAACTAACTCGATAACTGGGTCGAAGTTAACTTCTATTACGTCGAGTGTCAATTACTTAATCTTAATTACGCTGATTTAATCGCCGTATGCTCAGCGCGCGCGCTAATAAGATAGGTTATCTTGAACGATGATCTTCTCTATTTTTCGCTCATTAATGACTTACGAAACGAATGTTTATTTATACGAACGTTTATGAACGTTCATTTTTATGCTTCGATTGGTCTCGATTGACAATTTTGCGTACCTACTCCGTTTTTTTCTCTCTTCCCTCTTTTTTTCTTTCGTTTCTCTGTTTTTATCTTCTTTGCATCGTTTACGTCAAATGGATCATCTACTTTATAAATAAATTATTTACTCATGGTCCACATATCACGAAACGGCTAGATTTAGCTGAGCCGCTAACGCAAACGAAAAACGCGTGCAAATTCTCACCGTATCCTTCCTTATCTCATTCTCTTTTATCTCGCTTCGCTTCCGACATGTATAATGATTTTCCCGACGGGAAGTCCCGCGTGGTCGAAGGATGAATCCGCCATTCGATCGAAGGTCCAAATGGACCAAATGGTGGAAAATCGCGGAGGAAGACGCGCGAGAGGACGACGCGGTCTCGCCGCGCGTGCATTCCGACAGAAACGCGATCGATCGATCGGGGCGACGATCGTCGGGCGGAATCGACGAGGGCAGGAGCACCCGGACGAGCACGAAATGGGCCGGCGAAATGGCAAGAGAGAGAGACAGAGAGAGAGAGAGAGAGAGAGACGGGCACGAGCTCGACGAGTGAGTCAGAGGACTCATGAAGAGAGGCGTAGGAGAAGCTCCGAGAGGACGCGCGGCGACACTCGCAGGGCGAGACGAAGTCCCGTGAACGTCTCGGCGGGAGTCGCATTGCGTCGCTCGCACGTGGCACGTCGCGCTAATTGAATTCTAACGAGACGCAGAGAGTCGCGGAGCCCGGGGGAACGGCATCGGAAAGGCCGCGCGACTCGCCGCCTTTGTTAGAGTCGCCTGGGAGCGTCGTTCGCGCCGCCGAAGCGACAATTCCTCCGGTTTCGATCGCAGTGCACCGGTGTTGTGCAGTCGCCAATTATCGTCGGGCCGCGATCGTTAATGATAATGGTCTCGAGCGATGCACCAGCGAGACTGACAGGTAGCGTATCCTCTGCGGATCCTCCGCGTCCTCTGCGGATTTCCTCGAGAGAGAGAGAGAGAGAGAGAGAGAGAGAGAGAGAGAGAGAGAGAGAGAGAGAGACGCAAAAGTCGCTGTAATTGCGATTCTGTCGTTCGTCGTCGTAGTCGTAATGGTCGTCGTAAGACAGTCTAATGTAATTTCGATGTAATTAAAAGTTGAACGATTAAACGTCACGTTCTTTTCGAACGGGAACTGCGACGGCAGGGGCGGTGGCTAGGGAAGAAAGTAGCAGATGCGGAAAGGACGAGTAATTTGTGGCCGCGATCGCTCAATTGTCGTAAGTCTTTAATGAAATCCAACGGCCGCGCCGCCGGCAAACCTCGGCCGCGTCATCGGCCAGAAGCGCTCGAAGAATTCCCCGCTGCGCGTCCGAGCACACGACAATATAACTCGCTCGCAGTCAACTTCGATTCGTCGCCGGTGCTCTTAATTATGCTGATTTCATTGCCGGGCATTTTACGCGCCCTACGAAGCAGATTATCCTCGATGACGATCCTCTACGTTTCGAACCGCGTTCGTTTATTCGCCGTGCATTCGAGCGCCGTTTCGAGCGCGTCAATGTCTTCGCAATGCAAAATTTCTTTAATATTATCTTTTTTATTATTTCGACGAAATTACGCGCGATAATACGAAAGTACGCACGCTGCGCACTCGCTCGCGAAACCCGCTCCCGCACTTTTCCTCCGACGAAATTAGGAATGCGCATCGTCGTATCACATTTACCTATCGGCTACATTAGATCTAAAAAAACTATTAGTCTATCAGATGAAGGTTGTATAAAGAAATACGATAAAGAGAGACATTTACACATCGTGCTGCATCGCGTTGCTTACGCGAAATGCTGTTTAATATATGCAGTGCTAACGTAACAGTCTACGATGTAAAAACAAATATTTACATATTTGCAGCAATGTAGATTTAATTGTCTGTAACGTCATCTTAGATAATTTTACAACGATAACATTTTTTCTATTTATATATTTATATTATCTAGATAAGGAGAGAGAGAGAGAGAGAGAGAGAGAGAGAGAGAGAGAGAGAGAGAGAGAGAGAGAGAGAGAGGGAGGGAGGGAGAAACAAGATGGTGCCGTAAAACTTTATCTAGATGATCATCTATATAAGTTTAACTGGATAAAAACACCGATCACATTGTAATTATATTGTCGAATGGCAAATTACAACATTGATATAATGTTACTACTAATTGTACTGTTAAATGTCAAAGCGAATTCACACCTTGGCAGAAAAGCAGAAATCGCGCCGATAGTTTCTCTCTCTCTCTCTCTCTCTCTCTCTGCCACTCTCTTGACTTTTGCTGTTCTACTTTCTGCTTTTCTGCCAAGGTATGAATCCGCCTTAATTTTACTGATAAATGACTACTTTAACACATATACTTTTCGCTTGTTTATAAATAATCAATAAATAATAATTCAATCGTGCATACGATTCGAAAATCCTAATAATCCTAATTGCATCATATGTTAAGGCTATTATATCGGTTTGTGTGACGATAAACATACATTGCCCTAGAGAAAAATGTATCGAGATTTAAGAAAACGAGTGTGATTTTCTGAAAAATTATAATGTCGAAATCTGGATACCGATACCCCTCAAATAACATCGCCCAAATAACTTTACCAAAATATTAAAATTATCTCGTTGCACAGCCAAGTGCATTTATTTATCTGACGGATTTATCTAAAGGAGGATAAGAGTCTCCCTCCGATTTGGGTGGACTTGAAATATATTATAATTCAGACCAAAATAAAAGGGACATGTATTTTTATATTCAAATTTCGGTATTATGACTCTTCGGCGAATTGTTCGAGGTTCCGATTTCCGAGATTTTGATCCCTTTAAACAGAGTACTCGCCTACTCGCTTGGCTTCACTGCGGTGTGAACAATTTTTGTTTATTGGATGCGACAGCCGACGGTCCAGTATGAAAACTCAATTTATGGAGATCGATGAAGAACAAGTTCATCATTATTGGATCAAGTCCATCATTTATCATTTATCGGATCATCGGATGCGCTGCAAGCTGCATCGAGAGAAAAGCGCTTGTGCCGCGTTGGAATCAAGTGTGTAGGGAAGTCTACGAGATTGACGAGATATTTTTACGATAAACACACGCACATATATCGATTATAGTACGTAAACATTGTACGTACGATATGAAAATCCCGGGTACATGCTGCAACTCTGCTTAATGTTGAGCGAACGAGCCAGTTACCATTTGAGAATTTGATAAGGCTTTATCAACGTTATATCTTGCATCCTGTGTGATGACTGAACTACTAGGACGTCATCGTCGCGAGGTCCTTTTTTTATCAAGGAAATAGAATATAGGCGCATATGTTTTCTATAGCCCGAGTGCTCGATGTGTGTGATCGTTCGCCGATTAAACTTTTTTTTTTCCAAATCATTTTTTTTTCAGAAAGGTGCGCGCACTCCGGAAACGTCGCGACAAATGAAAGCGTCACTGCCGGCGTCGCGTAAGTTCCGTCGGTGAAGGACTTTGAATTTGTGCGAACTGTGCGACCACACCTTTTATCACCGTGAAATAACGGATGCCGGGATCTGCAACGACAACCATGGAGGCCGACGCGAACATCAGCGACATATTGCGCGGTATGTGAATACGTCTGGTAGGACTAATTTTTTTCCTTGTATGTCCTATTCGTTTCAATTTGTCTCTTTTTTACGTTTTATTTTCATATCGGTTATGCATGTGAACGATGGTATATTTACGTATTTCGTCAGCAGCTCGAGCTACGCTTCGTTAAACTATGAGCAGTCATCATAATATCATCAAGTTAGCGAAAGTTAGGACATTATTTTAACAGCATATTCTTGAGATCAAATGGAGTAAAAAAGTTTAGTACCACTTTTGCCCCCGGCAAATAGTCACTGGGATATCGTAAATTAAATCTTGAAAAAATTACCAAGTTCTCTTCAAATGTCTCAAAAAATAGAAATTAGGCAAATAGAAAAATGTTTCAGACCAAGATTGTCCAAATTGATCGGTAGAAAAGGGTGATATAATAAAAAATTGGAGTTTCCATTTAAGGAAAGTGATAGACAGGCGGGAGCTGATTTTTTCCGCAAAGTACGTTGCTTACTGTACATAAAACTGATTCTAGAAGCTTAAAAATATGCGACGATAAAAGCATGCTGAAAGATCTTTGGATACACGCAGTTACATGACGTTTTTACGATTGCTTGTACGGTGTTCAATATTTGTGGAATGCAGTGTTTAGCTTAGAGAGCCTCTTTGGCTTACATTACATAATAAGTTACATTACATAATAAGAAAAATATATAAATAAATAAAAATAAAAGTAGAAATAAAATAAAAATAAAAATACATAAGGAAAAAATTAGTTACTCAACAAATGTGTTTTATTGAATATCATATTATGTTTCATTTTTTGCAAACATATTGTTTCGATGTAAAGTCCAACTACAAGAGAGGGAGGAAGTATTTATATATTTATAAGATCTTATATAATAAATAATTTAATAATACAACCAAACATGTAGAGATGTGCGAACTATTCGAATTCGAATCGAATCAAATCCGAATAATTCGAATAGGAATCAAATACATTATCGTCTGCGTGCATCAGCTACAAAACACAGGCCGTCCGGGCCTGTGTATGCTTGAACCCTTAACTTGTAATTAACTTAACTTGTAATTAATAACTTAATTATAAATTACTTTAATTATTTAAATATATATATTTTACTTTAAGATGATGTTACAATATCAATATTTCCTTTGAAAGGAAATTGAATATTGAATTTCCTTCCATATTAAAATCTTCCATCATTATTTGTATGTTTAAGTCATGTTAAATTTTTTAATGATTCAATTCGATTTCATTCGATTCGACTCGAATTCGAGTGAAATTTCATAGATTCGATTCGATTCGATATAAAAATTCTTTATTCGCATATCTCTACAAACATGACGCTTTGGTAGGTCGATTGGTAGTCGTCGCCTGGCAAGCGAAAGGTCCTGGTGTTCGATTTCGGGCCCAGCTTTTACTCATTTTACTATGCCTGATAATATATAAGGACACCCTGTACAATTATATATGTTCACACATATAAGAAAAGAATAATGTTAAGTGAGAAAAGAAAGAAATAGTTTAATTCCAATGGTATTTTAATAATTTTATTCTAATATTTTAATAATTATATAATAAATGTCGACATCATGTGCTGCCAGAAATATAAGTATTTATGATAAGCAATAATGATTGAATTAATAATTAATCTTTAATTAATATCTGAATAACAATAGTCTCGCGGTTTGACAAGTAGTAAAGGACTTTTTCATACAATTTGATAGATTCTGTGAATAAGCGGATATGCAATTGCAAACGGGAAGATTGTCCGTTATTTTTTACGTGAGTTTCAGGATTTCGTCATCATTTTCGTCAGTGACAAAATTCTCCCATTGGAAGACAAATTGTCTCTTTAGACAAGACAGACGCGTTCCAAAAAAAAATAGAAGAGAAAAATAGCGGTCATCTTTCTGTTCGTGATTGTACAATCAGCTGATTAAAGTTCGCGACGCTTTCGATGAGTTCTGCAGCGCATCTCGCATTCGATAGCAAAATAGATAAGAATGACTAAAGAGCAAATTTTTCTATCGCGTTACGAAGCTCTTTGAGGAAAAGTAGCGCAACCTTTATAAATTCTAGAGATGTGCGAATCAAGAATTTTTATATCGAATCGAATCGAATCGAATCTCATTTGTTTAATTCGAATTCGAATCGAATCGAATCTATGAAATTTCATTCGAATTCGAATCGAATCGAATCATTAAAAAATTTAACATGACTATTAAACATGCACATAATGATGGAAGGTTTTAATATGAAAGGGGATATTGATATTGTAATATCATCTTAAAGTAAAATATATATTTAAATATTTAAAGCAATTTATAATTAAGTTATTAATTATAAGTTAAGTTAATTACAAGTTAAGGGTTCAAACATACAGGCCCAGTTGTCTCGTTTTGTACTTGATGCATGCAAATATAATGCACTCTAATATATTTGATTCGTAATTGAATCTTCGATTCGAAATTTTCGAATTATTCGGATTCGAATCATAGGGATTCAGATTCGAATCGAATCGAATTACATTAGATTCGATTCGATTCGATTCGAATTCGAATAGTTCGCACATCTCTAATAAATTCCTACGTCATTTAATCAAGTCAATATAAAACTGCACGTACAAAGGTCAATTGCAAGGTGAAAAGATGCATGTTGGCTAAAGTCGACGACCGAGCCTAAAGTTGTATCGGATAGTACCTTGTATCTATTTGAAATCAACACAACTTCCTCGCATGAGTTTTAACCGCATCAATTCCGCTAACAGAGGTGATCACATTCCTGGAGAGCCTCCGGGACACCCAACTGCCGCTCGCGCTGGAGAGCCTGCGGGAGAAGCTGCTGGTGCGCTCGAAGGACATCCTGACCGCCAGCGCGACCAGCTCGTCCCCGGAGCCTTACCTGAACATGAACTCCGGCCCAAAGACCATATTGCTGACGAAGAACGATGCCGATACGGAGGAGTACGTGGGCATGGAGGAGCCCCCGCAGAAGAACCATCAGGATTACTACGAGACTTTCGAGCACGAGAGCGAGCCCAAGACGCTGGCGTCAGTCGCGCAGAACGAGCAGACGGAAATGCAAAATGCTCAGGACACGCGGAACCACGGAGAGAATAGCCAAGAGCTGCTCAACATCTATAAGAACCTGTCGGCGGCGCAGAGCAAGAACAAATGTCACAAGTGCGGCCCGCTCCACCGGAAGGAAGGCAAGAAGTTATTCATGTCGGACAACCGCGCCTGCTGGATCGCGCTGATGGGGTCGCATCTTCTGATCTATCGTAGCGAACGGCATGGCCGGCCGTCTGCGATTTATCCCATCCGCGGCTACATGGCGCGACCGGCGACGAGTCTGCTCCCGCGTGACCGGCAGAAGAGCGACTTGGCCTTCGAGATGTACTGCCCCGGCAGCGAGACGCTGCAGTTCATCGCGAGGACGCCCAAGGACACGGCTCAGTGGATAGCGAAGGTCTGCGAGGTCGGTGGAGGCAAGGAAGAGGCGGCAAGCGACGAAGCGGCGAGGGACCACGGGATCAGCAAGAACAACAAGGCGACCAGCGAGTCCCCGGTGAGACATCGCGAGGGCCACGCGACGAGCCCCCGACGTCAGAACCCCAAGTCAGCCGACAACGCGAAGAAGTCGACAGCCAAGGCGAAGAGCAACAGGAACGACGCCGGGAAACACAACAGCGTCGAGAACCCGCCCCCGCTGCCCGCTCGAATACCTCGAAGACTGCCCTCTGTACCCTCCGACTCCGTACCTACTTACCGGGCCATCGAGGACTACGATGACGACGATGACATCTATCACAAGATCGAGGATCTGAATAACGGGATGGCTTATCAGAATGTAATGCTGGCGAAGACGCAACGCGCCAACGTCAGCGACAAAGAGCACGAGGACGCCGCAGGACACAACGGTACGTCCAAGGAAGGGAAGGAAGGACGAATTCAGGAAAAGTCCGATGCCGTATCGGTCGAGGAGGAGCTGTACGACGATATCTTTGTAACGTCACAGACTAAAGCGAGCGGCAACGAGGAGGAGAAGGCGCTGGACGGCGATCGTCCCGTTGACGACGGCGAAGAATCCTTTTACGACGACGTAGAGGTGACCCAGATAACACACATGTCTAGAAGATGCGTCTGAGGACGCACTCACACCTGGACAGAAAAGCAGAAAGCAGAAAGGCAGCAGCCAATCAGAAGTGGCGTTGGTAGTCTATTCTTCTCTTGAGAGGAGAGAGAGAGAGAGAGAGAGGCAGAAGAGAAGGACAGGCTATCACAGCGCCACTTGTGATTGGCTTTTCTTGCTTTCTGCTTTTTTGCCCAATACCGCGATTCTGTAATTCGTTATTGGAGTTAACGACAGTTTCGTTATTGTTGCGCAGCTTTTCCACGGTATACAAAAGCTGCGCAATGATAACGAAAGTGTCGTTAACTCCAATAACGAGTTACAGAATTCAGCTGCAGGTATGGATCCTTCTAATTAGAGACATTTTATTCGAGGATCCTGCCTGTGTGTGTGCATGCTCGCCACGGCTATTTTGTCTGATGGCGTCGGGAGCGAGTAAATATACGCTTAAAATTCCTGCAATACATTGAAATGAAGAATATGTTCACAAAATGCTACAATTGACAATTGAATTGACAGTTGAACAATCCGGAGGTATTTTGGTTTAATTCTAAATCAACACGGGACAGAATCACGGGAAAATTAAAAAGGCAGGCCACGATTAATTTTACGATAATTTAATGATTGCTAGAGTGAAAGAAAAGTGTTCAGACTATTTTGCTAGATCCCAAGATCCTGTCACTTTACGAATATTATCTTTCTGCTTCAAGATTTTTGAGCGTGTATTTTTTTCACTTCCAACGTCCGACTTCGTCAGATCAAGAAGCTGCGGAGAGTAGTTGAGAATCTTAAAATTTGTTCCTCTACCGAAAGACGTCTTTGGACTTACCTGCTCTTCAGGTATATCCCGATCGCGGAAATATAACGCAAACAGATTCGTCTACGTCGACACGTCCCTCCTTATTGAACAAATTTCGTCGCTGTTGGATAATTTGTTTGTAAATTCCTCCCTCACGTTGTTTCGACGCAGAACTTACTGGGGAGATCCACCAAGGACCACCGCGCGAAGGATCAAACGGAAGCGTCGAGCAACAAGTTCCTGCAGAAGAAGTCCTTCTTGGAGAGAGTCTGGAGTAGAAGAGAGTCTCCTGGAAAAACGGACAAGAGATTGCAAAGTAAGGTCTCAGCGAGTCCGACACCGTCGTCTTCAGCTACGGAAACGCCGTTGCCCACTTATGACGACGTATCCGAGTGGACACTGATTCCGAGTGGACAGGAGTCCTCGGCGAACGATGGGGGGGAAGAATTGCCGGAATACAATTGCCCTCCGCCTCCCAGGCCGGTTTACACGAAATCACCGATCGTGAAGCAAGTCGAGTCGTATTCGGGCGAGGAATTTTACGACGACGTCAACGCGTGTCGTGAACAATATAATAAAAATCACCAGGTAATACAATGTGTCTGCAAGTTACCGTGTGTCTAAGTTATCGATTGGACATCTTAACTGTTTTCTAAACTGCTTAGTTCTCGAGATATATATATATATATATATTTCCCCGTTCCGATATTTTTTACACACTTTGTACATCTTATTACATAATCCTGATTTTTTTCCCAAACTTTGAAAATTAGTTTTATGGTCTTATATACTGTCGCAGCTACACGGAAGAGATCTCACTTCGTGTAATTCAACGGCGGAGACCAGACCAAATCTCGGTTCACGAGAAAATGGTTTCTGCTACATTTTCGGGAATTCTGATATAGTCATCAGCGTTTCATTGGTGAATCGTTAATCGATCAATGACTGATTAGTGTTTCAATCAGAATTCTCTCTCGGCAGCAGACAGCCTTGCAATCGACGCGAGGGTCCTCGGCAAACGCGAGGGAAGCTAAGGACGACAGGACGGAGCCGAGGACGAACGGCGAGCTTCCCGAAGAAGAAGTCGAGCACTATCAGTCGCCGAGGAGCGAGCTGCGCGTTCACGAGGCTCCAGAGTACCAGAACGAGGAACTGTACGACGACATCGCGTTGTGCGCCAATTTCAAGGCGCGTCAAAGAGACGCTAACGAAAACAAGGACAGCGAGGACGGCAAGTCGACGGTCGGTTCTGACAAGAAGTCGTGGAATCGGTTCAGCATGAATAAGAAGTTGCCCGGTCTCGCCGAGACGAACAGACGCAACGCGAATGAGTGCGAGGAGATCGACGACCCGGCCGAGGCTAATAACGCGTCCAAGAGGAACACTTTCCAGAAGTTGATCAGTAAAATGGAGAATTCCCTGTCTAAGGTCTCCGTGAGGGGCCCGAATTCACTCCCGATTAGCAAACCGAGTACAGCGAGTAACAATTCGTAACGTCGTCGAATAAAGGAAGATGGCGGCCGGACAGCCGAACAGCGCGACGCTCACGTGAAACACGTAGGAAGAAAAGTAATTTGTAAAGCGTGTAGAATTCACCTAATATTAAGAATATCTTTAATTCGCCTTACTCTTTCTCGACTTGCGTGATGCGCGAAACGTCTCTTTCTTTTTTACCACATGTTTGAGATGAGATCGTGAAGGATCTTCGACTCGTTCCATCGGAAGAGTCGGGCGCGATTTGGCCCGTCGAAGTCACGCAGGCGAGGCGAGAGACGTCAATATACATCTTCACGCGTATGCATAAGTCATTAAATGTATAAGTTACAATGTTATTAATGATGTATGACAATGATGTACATCGGTATAGAGTAAGTGAGCAAATAAAATGTGAGAGGATAGAGTTATTAATTCAGCGATTAGATTACTCATCCTTTGCGATTGCGATTGCAAAACTCATGACGTTGTTGGTCCTCCCCCCGCCACTTACAGTGTCAGTCAAGTTTTCATTTAGTTACGGTTCAATTAGACGCGAAACTGCTAGCTAAACGCTAAACGCACAACTTTGTTTGGCGTTTATTATTTCTTTTTATTATGTAATTCGTTGTATCGTTAGTATAGTCGTTGGTATAAAGTAGTAACTACTTTGAATTAACTGCTAACTCGAAGAGAATTATTATAAATAATTGTATAAAAGTATACATAATCATGTATGAATTATATGTACATATTGATACAAAGTGTTTAATTTTAATTGATATAGTGAATTATCTCGGAAACAAAGTATTTTTAAGAAAAACATTTGACAAAAAGATTCCGAAAGCGCAGCAACATGACGCAATAAATGCATCTCCTAGAAAAGCTACCAAGAGATGGCGATGACTTCAGTTTATTGGAAAGTAACCACTATTTTTCATTTGTATATCTCGAGATATGTACGATCTGCTGAAAAAATGGTATTAGAATCCACGTGAATTGGATAATCGAATCGAATATTGCGATAATACCTTAAGTAGAATACCTTAAGTAGAATCCATTCTCGAGTAAAATCTACTTTGAATCATTTTAACTGCGTGTATAAAGCAAAGCCTCCTCAAAGCCTATGGAGCGTCTAGCGGGTTGCATCCGTAGATCGCAAATAACGAAGCAGATTAGCAGCAATCGAGTGTCGTTGAGTCCTTTTCGAGACGCCGATGCGGAGCAGCCTGCGCGCCAGGATTTATTATATATCGCGCTGCTTCACGAATGATTCCGATCCGCTCGCTAATCCACGGCGCCTTAGCTCGTCCTCACGAGTAAAAATGCAAATGCGAGGAGACGCTCGGCGAGAACTCGAGTTTAAAATGGAGTCCTGCTTACAAAAACGGACGCGGCATGGCGGTAATGGCGTTTCGTCCGTTGGCCGCTTCCTGCACGACGCGCAGCAGCTGATGTGTAAAAATGGCCGCCAGTGCCGATGTAAACGATACAAAGCGAGGATAAGACGAAGCGTTTGGTATCGCGCGATTAATATGAAGGTGAGAACACTGCGTCCTCGCACGCGTTTCTAATGTCATCACGGAAGCGAAGATTACGTAAGCGTCTCACGTGTCGCATGTTCCTTTTTCACGCAGATTATCCGAGCGCGTCAAACCGTGTCGTCTTCCCGTCATGTAGCGTGATCGCAGATAAGAAACCGTCCGGTTACAGCGAGCACGTTCGTCGACGATTCGTCGATGTCGTTATGCACGCCACGTGAGAAAATCGGCGAGATGAACATAGTAAGAACAGCGCAGCGGATAACAGCAGAGAACAGCACTAATTCTTCGATGATACTCGACGTAACGTAAGGCGCTTTTTTCACGTTTTACACATATGTTGCAGCAACGATGACACCACCTCGCTAATTGCGCTTTTTTTTCTTTCAAGGAGAAACTGTAGATCCCTCAGGTATCATAGACACATATATCATTAAAGTTAGAGATTCCTGGATCAACGGTTACTCAACAGCTGTTAGCAATATAATGGCTTACGACCCACGTAATATAAAATATTCACCAAATACTCACGCCAATCAGCACACTAGACCCAGCATGACTGGATACGCCTATTCAGGCCATCCACCGCAGCATTTTCAGCAAACTGATGAAAATAGAAACGAGAATAACTTGTGCGCTACTAAAGAGATTTGCTCACAAATCTCGCAACAATCATCCAGCACTCAGACTGTACAGAAAGTGGATGCTGCAACGATGACAGATCCTCTACAGATCGACTTTAGACTCACCTCTGAATACTTGGCACGTTGTTCTAGTACGTTAGGTCTGCCATATGTAACTAAATACGAGGACAACAGCAATAATTCTTCACACAATTGTCAAGAGATAAGACCAAAAATTGAATTTGAGATTGAACCACAACATATTAACGGTAAGTTACTTTTACTTGGTTAGTCCTCTCATGGATACATATTTGTGCTTGAGGAAATCTATACTTTTCTTTTTTATATATAATTAGATTTCATATCATATTTTTATATTGAGGATGTTGAGAATTATTCAATGCTGAGATTAAAACTTAACAGTTGTTAAATCGTAATTTTGATATTGCCATCGTACAACTAGCAAATTCGGCAACCCCTCTGCAAAAGAAAACAATGTTTTAAAAAAAATGGCTGCTTTGATAAATGTCAACTGTTAGATTTTTATTTCGGTGTCAGAATCATAATCAGTAGCACCAAAAGTATACATGAAGTTATTAAAATTTCTTCTTGTAAATATACTTTAAGGAAAATTTTGAAAAAATGTATGTAGATGTTCCAAGTGCTACATCCAAATGTATCGGTAAAATTGTTTACTTAAAAAAAAAAACCTTTATCAACCCAATTTTTGAGTAACCATTTTCGAAATAAAATACACTCTTTTGTTATTTGCTCGATTATTGTTGATAAAACTTTTAAAAATTGATTACAGTATTGCACAGTAAAGATCTTGATTTTCTGAAATATATATACGTGTTGATGTGCAAAATAAATCCAAGGATTTAAAAAAAGATACAAAAAAATATATAAAATGAAAAATTGTGGAATATATTCCTGTTCCGCAAAGGGTCAAATTAACGTTCTACATTTGAGTTAATAGCTTGCAAGCAAGTGTGATAAAATTTCTATTGAAAACATCGATCTGGACGATCCTACGTGACGTGTATAATTCTGTGTTTGTCAGGTATGCTGATTTATCATTGCCCCGAGTGCGCATATAGATTTGAAGATCGAGAAGCACTCCACGAACACCTCGAAGATCATAAACAGAGACCACATATCTGTGATATTTGCGGGGCAAGTTTGAAACGAAAGGAACACTTAGATCGCCATAAGCAAGGTCATAATAAGGACAGGCCTTATCAATGTAATATGTGTTGTAAATCATTCAAGCGTAACGAACACTTAGCGCGCCACATGATCACTCACTCAGGTAGCAAAAATCAAATTTGTACAGAGTGTGGTAAAGCCTTTTATAGAAAAGACCATTTAAAGAAGCATCTGCAGAGTCATAATAGCGGTCGGGGTAAGCATTTAAGTGGCTCGCAGAACAATCAGAACGACCAGCAGCCGAACGACGAAGGATTGAGCAGTTTTGCAATGATGATGAGACAGGCTGGGCCTCCTCCGTTTTCTATTTTGCGGACTTAGTTATTACGCTACGACGACGCTGTAACATAAATCCTTATCTTCGCCTATGAAGCGCAAGACTATTTGGACAAGTTAGGTCCGTAAGATTTAATACGAATGAGCTTTACCTAATATACCTATGCGGAGTAATCGAGAATCATTGTTAATAATGTAAGAACCCATGTTCCTAAGGGAGTATATCTTATTGCTATGTATTTTGTCAACAACATTAGAGGCGAGCTGAGGGATAACGTTATTACGTCAATTTTGTAATATTCTTTATAATACACTACGCGTAGAAGGTTGTCTATACATATATATATATATATATATATTAAGACTGTACCTGTTTGGTTTTTCTTTTTCTTTTCTTTTTTTTTCATTTTTTCTTGTGCAAGTAGAATGAGTTTTTGCGTTGAACATATAGTTTTACATGGTTTTCATTATTTACGTACTCTCATGCGCATAGACTCGTATAATGAACATATATGCACGAGCAAAAAAAAGGAGTCCCCCTGTAAATCGCGCATATCTAACTGAAATTTGAGAAAAAGATTGTAAGAAAAAAAAAGACGAAACGTAGCTCCCCAACTGGACTTTAAGAAACTTTAAGAAACAAAAAGAAGCTTAAATATTTAGATTATATGTAACTACATTCAATATGACATGAGCATGTGTGGATATATATGCACGTGATGATCGTTAATTGTTTACATAGCGATGTTGAGTAATGACTGATGAAATTGTCTATCTTATTAATTGTACAGTGTACAGTCAAATAATACACGCAATTTCCGTTTTATTTCAAATGTATCATTACCCTACGAAGTAAAAGAAAACAAAAAAGGTTTTAAAAACGACTCTCAACGACGCTAGTTTTTTCGCTTATTTCCGTCGCTACTTGCGTTTGAGATCAAGGATGTCGGGACAGTGTAGGTTTCATCGAGCGAAAGATTAATTAGCGTAACCAATATAAGATGCTAATATTGTATAAATAAAAACCTGCAATTCTTTTACATTGTGAATGATTGAGCGTCTCTGTCGGCGTGACGAATTCATAAGGTAACTTTGCATGAGGATTAATAGGAGCGCGTTAACATAGCGACACTGCGACTATAGCGAGATTTAGGAATTGTTAGTTACGAAGTAAGAAGGAGCCGAGTCATCCACGTGAATTCGCCGATGCATATCTGTAGATAAGAAGATTGATTGTTACTCGAGAGGAGGACGGTTTATCGCTGAAGAATTTCACGTGTATGCGAGGTCATGTTGATGCATCGCGAGATCCTGAAGCCCAGCCCCTGTTGATTTTGGAAAAGACACATTCGGACGACACAGTTTTGTTCCCCGAAAAAAAAAGAACCGCAGGATAATATCGACTCTTCCATTTTCAATGTAACACGTCCATAGCGAGTCGAACCGCACGTTCATTATTATAGCGTTGTATATTAGTATAAAAGTTCGTGATACATACTAACATCTTATTATTATATCGTTAAGTTGTGCTCATTATACGCGCGAAGCAAGATCTGAATGCCTAAAAAAAAAAAAGAGGAGAGGATAGCGTTTTGTTATTTAACTGCAGTGATCTTAATTAAATTAATAAATGATTATTATATAAAAATATCTACCTGGTGTTTCTTTCTTTTCTTTTTCTTTATAATACAGTCACATTGGAAGTGCAAGTAACGCATATACTCAAATTCATTGACAATTTAAGCGTTTCATTCTCGCAAGAACAAATTGTAACGCGGAATATATATACGTACATACATATATATATATATATATTTATATTTATATGTGTGTACATATATATGTATGTATGCATGTGTATACATGTGTATGTGTAGGTGTGTAAACGTGTAGAGGTAAACAGAGAGAGAGAGAGAGAGAGAGAGAGAGAGAGAAAGAGAGAGAGAGAGAGTTAAATTCTTTCCGGGTGGTAACTCCGAAGAGTAAATCTCTTGATACGACTTTTCTTACAATTTATATGCATACATTATAGCGAGAATTGTAAGAAAAGATATATGTCACGCATTTTTCCATAAATGTATATTTATATATATATATGTGTGTGTGTGTGTGTGTGTGTGTGTATGTGTATCTATATACATAGAACGACATAATATATAGGATATATTACACATGAGAAGCAGTATTGGGGAATATTTGAAAAATGCGCACGCATATTTGAAACTTCCATTCTTGCGGTCTAAATTCACACTCGCATCTAGTGTGTATATGTGTGTGTGTATGTGTGTATATGTGACTTATACGACTCTCTAAATATTTTTTCTTTTTTCTTATTTATATTCTTTTTTCACCATCCGTCCATTCGATTTTCTCGTCTCGTGTTCGTAGACATTTTAAGCATTCTATATAAAAATAAAACGTCGACATATCAGAGAAATTCGCTTAAGTATACACTTTTTTTCTTTCATCGTTCTCTCTCTCTCTCTCTCTCTCTCCTCCTCCTCTCTGCTCTCTTATTACGTCCGCTTGCTGTGCGCGTTCATTCTGCATTAATTTTTTTTATTCACGCACGACGAATAATCGGTATTTTTGCATCCTGGAAGACTGGTACAAATGTTCAGCCAAAAGAAAAATGGCGGCACGAGTCGGCAATCAGGGAATGGCTCAGGCAGAACAGAAAATCATGACATCAGAATTATTCAGTTTTTCATCATGATTCGGTAATTTTCTCGTCACTTTGATGTCATTATAATTTTCTGTTCTGCCTGGATGGTAAAATATAAGCTGAGAATGTTGTTGAAAGAAAAGAAACGGAAGATTGAAGAAGGATTGCCTGATCTAGACAATCAGCGTGAGTGCCGTTAAATAACACCAACTTCATCGGAAGCCCTCGAAGTTGCTTCGCACTCGACGGTCGTTCACCAGAAATCTCTCGGCGTTCTCCTCTTGCGTCTGCACGACGCTTGGAGGATGAAGCGAGCAGGTGAGCAAGTGAGTGCTCGCAGACGAAATCATATGTGACATGCGAAAAACACAGAGGGGGCTGGATGAGAAGTAAGACGAGAAGATTCACCGGAGGGGTATATTTAAAATTTCTTTCTTTCGAAAATACAAACTAGAGATATCGAGATATCGTACTCAGCGTCCGGATGTATTGCACCACGAAGACCACACTCCACCTACGGTTCTGCAAAAGGTATCATCGAGCGAACTGTTCTCCTCATCATCGACGGATCCTCCGAGAGACACGAACACGCGTTCTCGCGTGTCCTCGGAGAGAACCATCCGCGAGAGAGAAAGGTTTCGTTCCGCGGAAAGACTACACATGCTGCGTTTATCGTATCTGGACGAAAAAGGAATTCGTACTTCTTCGAGGCCAGCCGGTTATTATTTCACTCGTATTACTTACGCGTCTAAAGTCTATCTGAGAGAAACAAGGATTTGAGCGTTTGTACTATATCTCAAGGAATTTGTATGTCTTTCCGTCGTCGATCGATCGCCCGTTTACGTGTCCCGTCGAGAACTCGGTTGTGTAAGTCGCACGCACGCACGCACGCACGCACGCATGCGAGCGACAAGGCGGCGCGATTAGACAAGCCAAAACGACTAAACGATAGTCCGCTGGAGATTCTCCGTTCTACCTACTTTTGTCATTCTCTTTACTTCCCTCCTTCCTCTCTTCCTGCCCTTAAACGCACACACTGGCGACGCGCGTTGGTTCATGCAAAATCTCGCACGTCCTGCGATCGCTCACGCTGCTATATGCTATAAAAAATCATATCCCACGCCACGGAGGATCTACGAACGGGACGAAGACGAACGGAGGGGCGAGGGAACGAGCAAGGTACGAGGAGACGAAGATACGAGGAGGAATAATAACGCGCGCGGGCGCGCGACGTTCCTCTCGGTTTTGCATGAACCAATTATCGGTATACATAATTACACTTTGCATTCGAGGTATCGCTTCGCGTGTCTTGCGACGAGACGTCGATCGAATTCGCTTCCTCCTTCGTGTGCTCATATGTGGTTTGAGTAATTGTGCGGTATAGGGGATGCAGCTTCAATGACTTTGACCTTGACGAATGTTGTCAAGGTCATCGCTCTGGATTATGCGCAAAAGCTCTTACGTAGCGCTCGTTTGTTCGTCGAAGAGCTATTAACAAAAGAAGTTTCATTGATCGAGCGTAATTTCTCGACACTGTGTACATTTAGGTATGGTAAACTTTACTTTATGTGCGAGCAGAGAGAAGAGGCTCAATCGCATAATTATTATGAAAGTACAAAACAAGTTTCATAAATACGATCGCTCGCTTTGCTGAATTAATGAGTCTAATTGCCCCCTTAAGTGCAAACCTCGCGTAGGGGGTGTCCTTGCTATTCTTTTCAGAATCTGTTTACTTTTTAGCATATCGCGTAGACTCATTAATTTAGTAAGGCGAAAGATTTATTTGCCAAACGTAGACGCCTCGCGTAGAGACCTTTGCTAATCATCTCGGAATCGACAATTTTATTATAACCTCATCAACTTGGAAAGGCGAGGAAGATTCAAGTGCCAAAACTTATGTATATAAAAACGAACGTACTGACAATTCGTTCTGATGCTTCTGAGTAGCATTCAAAGTTTAAATTGGCGGTTATTGTTTATCACATACGGTGAATACAAATTACGTTCATTTTGTTGAACTTCTTTTGTCGACAACTTTTTAACAAACAACGAGCGTTGCCTGAAACCTTTCGCACGTTACTCAGGGTGATGACCTTGACGATCTTGATATGTCGAGACCAAAGTCATTGGAGGTGCATCCCCTGTACTGCGTAATTACCGTGGTTTGATACAAAGAATTAGAAGTTTCGACACACTGCATAGAAAAATATGGTTCTTCATTCAGCCGTTCCTGCTCTCTCCTGAGGGACTCGCGCGCACTCGCGAGTCGCACGTCGAGGTCTCGTGTACTCTTTTTTTTTTTTTTAGATTTTTGTTCTCCGCTACCCTCGTCGAGTAACCGTTTTCACGTTTCCGATGACTAACTTAGAAGAAAAAAAAATCGCCCTCACGCACACACACACACGCTGTCCACTCTTCTCAACGGCACACACATTCGATGCCCGGAACAAACGAATCGACTGAAGAAGAAAGTATTAAAATCATCCGTTTGACGGAGAAGTAGGAAAGAAAGAAAGAAAGAGAAGGAGAGAGACAACGGAAAAATGCGTCATATTGCGTACGGTTGTCTTCGTTTCGAGCAACGATTACAGAGAACCAAGAGAAACAGAGATCTTACAACACTCAAAGGCGGTATATACGCATCATAAAGCGACGAACAATGTCAAGTACAATTGTATGAGAGAACGCAAGGGATATCGAAATACGTTTACGCATATCTTGATGATGTGTCGTCGAAATGAAAATCGTTACCAACTCGAGAAGTCGCTCTCTTTTTTTCTCTCTCTCTCTCTCTCTCTCTCTCTCTCTCTCTCTCTCTCTCTCTCACGGCTTTCCGGGGTTTCGCATAAGAACTATTAAGCGCGTCGCAAGAGAATCTCGGATCTTGTTTTTTCTCCGTTTATATGTTATTATTTATCGCTAATCCTCTTACTATTTTATCATTATTGTTATTAATATTATTATATTTTTTTTCGGTATTACTAATAATTATTATATTATTATTGTTTTTGTTGTTATCCATATTACTATTATGATTATTGTTGTTATTATTATTATTATTAATTATCATTATTATTATAGTACATCTTCTATAAAATCCATATTCATAATTAACCGCATTCTCTTCTAATCGAGATGAAGGAGAATCAAGTCCAACCGATATCTCCAATTTGATCGAAACTGAACGAGCGCGCCCAACCGCAGATATTTTTCTACGTACAAGTGTGTAACGACCTCTTTCGCTCCCCCCCCTCCCCACCCTTCCTCCTCCTCCTCCTCCTCCTCCCGGTCAACCCTGATTTCTTTTTCTCGCGACATTCGAAGTCGGTAAGTTCGCCAAGTGGCACACTCCAATTGAATCTCTCGAAAGCAAGGCGTTTAAGAACCGACGAATAATATATTGGAAATGTTGGTCGAATGCGACGTCGTACGCGTGACGAATTCTATGATTTCCTTAATCTCCCGAGTCTCAGTCTTTCCTCGTTCTGCCGGAGAAAAAGGGAAGAGTTCATCGGAAACATCCTGCGCGGGCAGGAGAGGTACGTTACATTGTGTTAAGAGAGAAAAAAAAAGAAAAAAAAACAACGGAAGGAAAAGTCTATCGAGATCCGTTCCGCGTGAATCCCCGACGATCGCACGCAAAAGGACGAAAAATCGACAAAACCGACGGCTGCTCGAACAACGCGGAGGCGGACAAAGTATACACGCTGTTCCGAAAACAGAGAGGCACGACGCGCCGTTTTTCTCTCTCTTTCTCTTCCCCCCCTCCCTCTTTTTTTCTCTCTTTTTAGATCTTAGATCTCACGACGGTGAATTCTATATGGGTGCGGAAAATCCAGCGCAATACAAAGGCACCGGAAAAGTATTTCCCTTCTTTAGAAACGCATCAACTATTATTCCTCCTTCGTCACTACAGGAACGTTACTACAACTATATAGCTCGACGAGACGGTCGGTTGTACAGCTACGGAAGGATCAACTGTCCGCCTCGTCGAGGGTGGAAATAGGTTCTTTTTAGCTACCCTTCAAAATAGACCTTCTTGAGCCACTCATTTTGTTTGAACAGTCGAAGACGTATGTCGAACTTTGGAAATATCTGCTCTTTTTCTCCCCTCCTCCCCCGTTTTCTCCCTCTTGCCATCTCTCTTTCTCTCTCTCTCCCTCTCTCTCTCCCTCTCCCTCTCTCTCTCTCTCTCTCTCTCTCTCTCTCTCTCTCTCTCTCTCTCTCTCTTTTGTAAATCGTAAAGCTATTCCTCATTACATCTTTGCATAGTCCACTTACCACTGTAAAAAACAAATTACTTTCCTCAAAAGATTTATATATCGCTCGCGCGTTTGCTCTCGCTTGCTCATGAAGGTGCATGAGAATTCGCGCACTTTCTCACCCACAATTGCAGACTCTTCTTGGCTCTCGTGTTAATTTCTCTGTGACGAAAGTGTCACTTTACGAAATCTCTCGGACCGTCAAGCTTCGACGACTTATTATCTGAGCCTCTTGGGAATCAGAAGAGTACTCGAAGCATCTTCGTTCAGTGCGTCCAAAGATGTCTGCTGTCGCTTGAAATCTTGAAGAGAAAACAAGCCTGGGCCTCTCTCTCTCTCTCTCTCTCTTTCTCTCTCTCTCTGTCATCTGCATATCGAGGAAAAAGTGCGCAGCATCCGATGCACCCTGATGTACAACGCTCTTCTTTGCTTCTCTTCCTCTCTGCTTACGATACAATTATATTTTGTGTACAAACTTACTCGCTAACGTACAATCTAAGACATACTCTCTGCCTTGATGGTTACAAGTACATGGCAATGAATCTTCAATACAATTCGATCTCTTACACACGACTTTTAGTACGTATGTGTATATATATATACATATGTGTGTGTGTGTATATATATATATACCATGTATATGCAATAATTTTAGCATATCATTATACTTGAGGTCTGACGAAACCTGAATCTTCTGTGTTACTTGCCGAGACGTCTTACGCTAGAGACACGATGCGACGGGAGGTAAATGGCGAGAGACAAACACATCCAGACGGAAGAAGAATGCCAATTGTGCAACGATTATCTTGAAAATCGCATGAACGAATGCGAGCTCAGCTGCGCGCGATTTTAATCGGGAATGTAAAATGTGTGTGACACAACGGTGCGTTTCTTTCTTTCTGCCCGATCGACTCGATTTATGTGTGCAAATTAAAAATCTAACGAAAATTAAGTCACGAGATGTCGTAACGTCGATTATCAGCAAGCGACAAAAAAATCTCAACGAACGGATATACACAATTGCGAGCCGAGCGCCTACTTCTGCAACGCAGAAGGTCCCATCATATCTCTAACATCCTACGTCGCAGTATATGTATGTTTATACAATACATACAGACATGTTCGACGTCATTTTTACGATAATATTTATACGGATATATATGTATATATATTAAAAGATAAATAATAATTACGATAACAATAATGATAAATGAAACATAAGTAGATCGCTCGTTGATCAAAGAGTCACATGTAAGAATGCTCGCCGCAGACTTTTGAGCCAGCCATGCGCACACAAACGGCGGAACGACGAGTAATACAAAATCACAGAATCGTCAAAGTTTGCCTCTTGAAACCATTTTTTATTTGATTCATATTCACCGCCCTCTCAGCTGTGTGATGTCTCAAACATGTCGCGCGAGTGCTCCTACATGTGACTTAATAATAATAACATATAATAATAATAATAATGATAATAATAATGACACTAATGACGATAAACTGAAAAAGTGATAATCGTTATTTAGCGACGACGATGAGAGTAATAATAATAGAAAAAATATATAGTCATTTTTATGTATACGACGTTGACTTATAAAACATCTGTGTAAATGTATGGCAAGAAAAGGAAAAAAGTGAGTCGAAAAAGTAGCTTTAAAAACGATGGCACGGACATTAATACTAAAAATGAAGCCAGAGTTTGTATGTAAACTTAAAGGCAGTCTGACGATTACAGCAGATATATCTTCTCTGTTCGGAAACAATCACAGTCTGTGAAGATTTGCGATGCGTGGATAAATATAAACGTTAAAAACTAGCTAGAGGAAAACCATAGTATACTCCGAAGTGTATCTACGAGATAGAACTTACTTATTATAATCAGTACTCAACGTGTATAACGAATACAAGACCAACGAAAATTATGTATAAAAACAATGTATATATAAAAAAAAAGAAAAAAAAAAGATAATGTAAAAATTACAAAGACTAATTAAGCTTCCAAAATGTTCGGTACGATAAGTATCGCAAAGGAAAGTGACGACGGATTCGCCAGAGTTCACCTGGGCGAATACGCTCGTACACGTATATAGTGTCTCATACATACACATACGTATGAGAAATATGTATATATATAAAAATATATACAATAAGTAAAGAATTTCGAATTATATCGTAAAATATAAAATACTGTCAACTTTATATATAAAAGGAACAAAAAGTTTTAATGAAACGAAATAAAATTTTTTCACCGACTGTGCGAAATACTGCTACGCTTTTGTCGCTTTTCTTTTTTCTTCCTTCCGCGTCGGGAGGGGGGGCATAGTCCTATCTAAAAATTGTACGATAAATATACATTGTCCTTTAGATGCGCGCTAAAATTCTCAAGTAAGCAAGTGTCCGTTTTCGGAAAAGAAACGAGAAACGACGACTCCTAATCGGTGGGTTGACTCGTCTACGTTCGTATCTATTAGGAATACCGCTATGCACAAATTTCTATTCCCTTTACATTATTTGCACTTACACTCGTCATATCGTCCAACTAGGAATATAAAAACAAATTACAACCACCGCGGAAATGATGAGAATTAACGCTTCAACGCGACGATGCGGGAATCAATAAAGAGTAAAAAAAAGAAAAAAAAAGAAAAGTAAAAAAGAAAAAAGAAAAAGAAAACGAAGAGAAACGAGTATCATCATTTTCTCTTTCTCTCATTCTCTCACTCTCTCCCTTCCTTTCTCTCTATCTCTATCTCTATCTCTCTCTCTCTCTCTCTCTCTCTTTCTCTCTCTCTCTCTCATCGATCAGCTTAGTTTCTACTACATTAACACCGATCTTTCATAAAAATATCTTTTTCTTCATCGTACACGACGTGTATGGCAAGAATCTTTGACTTACAGTCAAACTTCTATTCTAGAATTTCCGTGGAAAATTAGTATTCTCTCCCACATGTGTACTTTTTGTTTGTGCTATAAGGAGCGTACAGCTTCTATGTCTCTGCTTGATTCTTTACGCGCATTACGTGTAACTCTGTCTGCGGAAAGTATATACTGGCATAGAATGAAAGTCGCGCGAATGGGACGATTGTAACGAGAACTCGTCGGATGCAACAGTGAAGACGGTCGAAAAAGGAATGGCATGGCTCACCGTAGTGAGTTGACGAGACAAGACATAGGAAGCTTCATCCGGAGCACACACGACGCACATACAATGCGAATACGTTTTATATAAAAGTCACTAGATCCGAATGAGATGAGTCAGTCGTAGCTACCTATCGACAACGACAACGACGATCGGTTAGCGTGTTGGTGTTACCTCTTCGCCGAGGTCCTCTCCTCGTCTCAGAAATCTTTAACATGTCCCAAAAAGCTAAGCTCGTGCGACTGATAGTGACTGGGTGTAGCGAGCGGCGTGACGGTCGACTGATGCGCCACGTTGACTGCCGTTAAATGATGATGGTGTAACGAATGATGAGAAGTATGCGTGTGAAGAATATTGTTCGGATGGGGAACCTGGAAGTTCCCTGGTGGCGGGGCTCAGGACAGGAGAGGACCTGGATGCCCACCCGGAAGAACGGACGACGCCGACACGGTTGTCGTTTGCATACTCGAGACGTTATTCTGCTGCTGATTCTGCTGCGTACCTGCGGACACACAGTGAGAAGCGGGATTGGTAGGATCACACGGCCGCTGAAGGAGAAGGCCGCTGAAGAGGACCTATCGCAAACTTACGTTAATCGTGTCGCGATATCAAATCATGTCGCAGATTTCTTACCAGCGTTCTGACTCAGTTCCGCCTTCACTCTTCTCGCGATGTGACTTCTGGTGTGCTTCCGCAAATGATCCTTCCGATAGAAGCCCTTACCGCACTCCGTGCACACATGCCGCTTCTCGCCGGAATGTATTACAAAGTGCAACGTCAGCTGCTCCTTTCTCTTAAAAGCCTTCAAGCAGACGGTGCAAACGTAAGGCCGCTCAGGATTGTGGCTCTGTTTGTGACGCGTGAGGTGGTCTTTCCGCTTTAAGCCGGCACCGCATATGTCACAAACGAATCTTCTCTCCAGGGTATGGCCCAACAGGTGCTGCTCCAGCAGTTCCCGCTCCGGATACGCCATGTGACACTCTGGGCAGCAGTACAACGTCGAGCCGTCCAACGCCGTGGTCAGGCGAATCTCGCCGGGCTTCGGACGTGGCTTCTTCTCCTTCGGCGTCTTCTTCTTTTTCTTTTTCTTATTGTTCGGCGACATCATTATATTGGGCGTCGTTGTGGTGGCCACGGCCACCGAGGTCGTCTGCGCCATTTCGGACTCCTTCTTGATACTTTCGGCGGAATATTTGAGAAAGTGGTGTAAACTCAACGGTAAAGTGCTGGCTGGCAAATGACTGAGATAGTCAGCTACGGTGGATCCGGGAGTGGCGAGCGATTGCCATGTAGCGGGCATAGTAGCCGGCGTCTGGGTGTGAGCGTGCTGCTGATGGTGCTGGTGCATCGTGTAATCCTGTTGAGCACCGTTTGTGGCAGTTGTCTCACCGTTGCGTTGCTGCTCCTCCGCTTTCTTCTCCTTGTTCTTGTCCTTGTCTTGAAGGAGATTGCAAACATCTTGTTGATTTATCGTTTCCGTGGATTGCTGCGACAGAAGAACAGGTGGTGCATTATATCCTTTCTCTCTCTTTTCTGGTAATCGAGTAGTCAGATACATGTCTGGTACTGCCTGTTGGCAGTATCGCTTTGTTTCAGTACAGTCTACATCAATATACATGTATCGGGGAAGTTGTGCAAGGTAAGAATCATCTTGCGGTTTCTCTAGGACGTTGAAAACGACAATGACTACAAAATGTATCCAAAGTTATGCCGGAAATGGTTTATGGACAATAACTAAAAATAATCCATAACCAAGTACGAGTAAACCTTGCTGTGAGAGAGAGAGAGAGAGAGAAAGAGGGAGAGAGAGAGAGAAAGAGGGAGAGAGAGAGAGAAAGAGGGAGAGAGAGAGAGAAAGAGGGAGAGAGAGAGAGTAGCTGGCATGAAGAACTGTCTTACCTGATGATACGAACGCTTCTCCTGCATTCCAGGCGAGTTGGTGGGCCGTTGTTGAACAGATTGGGCCTGAGAGTACGGCACGTTTGGATAATGGTGAACATTACTGTTGGGATAGCTGGCTTTATTGTTCATCATCACTTGCGACTGTGCGGATTGTACGGCGTTGTTCTCAGGACGGTACTTTCCCATCACCGGCACTCCGATCGGAGGCTGGTTGGGAAAATGATTGGCGTAGCGCGCACCCGCACCGCTGGAACTGTCGGTCGCGAATTGATGGATACTCGGTATGGTAGTTGGGAAGTGGCCTCCAAACGGCGAGAAATTCATTGCAGACTGTCAGTAGAACTCATATACCTGCGGGTGAAGAAAACAAACGTTCGTTTTCAGCGGAGATTCAAGTTCGGTCTCGCGGGACTTACTCGCGAGGTTACTTCGGCAGATATACGTTCCGCGCGACAAGGACAACGAACGCACGCCGACGACGACGAGCGACTACTGATCGGTCGGTCCTGCCGACTTTTACGAGCGAGTCGAGCGAGCGAGGCTCGATTGAAAAACGACACCGTCGCCGTCGTCGTCGGCGTCGTCGGCGATGCGACGGCGGCATCTTGCCTCGACCAGGAGCCGACACGATGCTCGCTACGACGCGACTACGTCGAGCCGCGCCGACGACGTCGCGTAGACCGCGAGAGAGTATTTACTCACAACGATGTCCCTCTCCCCATGTTTCCACGCCGTAGCGGATCCTTTCCTCGGAGGGGGATCCCCGTAACACACGAGAGTGCGAGTGCGGGGGCAGATTTTTCTCGCGCACTCGGCAGGACAGCAGAGAGAGATACGCACTCGGAGAGAGGGAGACAGACAGAGACAGAAAGAGAGAGAGAAAGAGCGAGCGAGCGAGAAAGAGAGAGAGAGAGACAGAAGCGCGCCGGTAGTGGACAGACACGCACCACGCACGCATGCACGCACACTCTCGCGAGCAGCGTCTGTCACACAATGAGTACGCGCGACTGGATACACAGAAGATACGCTTCCTTTGTAGCGCCGCTCACACGTCGCCGTCGACGTTTGACACTCGCTCGAGCCCGACGACCGCTCGTCGCCGGCGGCCCCACGCGGCCAAGGACGCGCCACGGACACGGGGAAAGAGAGAGAAAGAGACAGAGGGAGAGTGAGAGAGAGAGAGACAGAGAGACGCGACTTGCAGCCCCTTCTATGATATTCACGCGGCCACGACACGATATGTGTGTGTGTCTCTCTCTCTCTCTCCGGTCTCGAGAGACGTGCTGAGAAAGTACGGCGGAAAAAAGGACGAATAAAAAAAACGCTCGGCCGAGAGACGAAGACAGAGAGGTACGCGACGGCGGTGCGCGACGCGCGGAGGGGAGGCCGATTGCCGAAGGGGGACGGGGCGGGGCAGGGGGTGTACGACGCCAAGGGACGCAAACGCCACCCTTCTTTCCTCTCCCCCCACCGAGAGCGCGCGCCCCGTCTCCGATACTTAGTCGATACCGCGGCGCGCGGAGCCGTATCTCTCCGCACTCGGGCGAACTCTCGCCGCCGACGGAGAGAGAGAAGAAAATGGCCGTGCGTGTGTGTTTCGTACGGTCTCTCGCGCGCACCGCGTCGCGCCGCGCTCCCGAGGTTGACGCGCGCGCGAGCGAACGAGCGAGTGAGCGGGCGACCTCGTCGTCGTCGTCGTCGCCGCCGCCGCCGCCGTCGTCGTCGTCGTCGTCGTCGTCGTCGTCGGCGCTCGTTACTTACCACTCGGTAACTCGCAACCCGCGCTCCAGCTCGCCTGGATTGTTTTCTCGCGCAGCCGACCGTCACCGGGAGGAATCCCCCGTTGTTCGTATATCGTTGACACCTGTCCCTCAAGCCGGCGTCCCCATCCCACCCATCCGCCCTCTACTGTGCCAGCCTCTTAACTATTTTTTCTCTCTCCCGGGTCTCCCGACTCCCGACGCAGCGCGCCGCACCGCGCCGCGCCGCCCGTCACGTCGCGCCACCCCGCGACGCCCCGCTCTGCTCCCCGCGCGCCGAAAATGCCCGAATCGCCCGTCGGATTTTTCATTCCGAATTCTTCCCGCCCGACCGGCCGGCCGCGACATCCGACTCGACATCCCCGTCCGCCGACGTGAGAGAGAGAGAGAGAGAAAGAGAGAGAATGTAGTTTTGTATTAAATGTATTTATTTTAGTTTTTTTTTTCCTGCAGTATTAATGTAAGTAACAATGAAAATGACTTACGTACTAGTCGTCTAACTACGATAATTATAGTACTATAGTATTATGATAATAAAATAATAATATTTCTTGTACAATTATACCCATTGCCTTTAATTGCGATACTGTAAGAATTTCCTGTTGTATACACATATGCCTTTTTATCAAGGAGCCATTTTTTTTTGTCAGATGAATCACGATCGGTCGATTTGGTTGATTATCGTGTTTTTTCGTTACTCAGCGCTCCTCCCGCGTTACATACACGGTGATAGATATGCACGCACCCCCCCTCCCCCTCTCAATCGTCATTTCATCTCATGAACCAACCGAATGAAAAAAAAAATCTCTCGACTGACCTCGCTGGATCGTGAAATAATTACCATATTCGTGGACTTTTTTTTTGTTTTTAATTTTAATAGTTTACGATTTAGATATAACGTAAATGCACAGATTTCCATACATAGTACATTTCCATTTGTTTATATTTAAAAAGATCATGATTCTCTCTCGCCGGTTGTGTATGTCTAACATGTTATACCGAAGCGAGCGGGTTATGCCGCGTCACGTGACAAGCGTGGCAGTAAACGTGTTAAACGCGGTACTCTTGCTTCTTTCCGGTGTGTGTGTGTGTGTGTGTGTGTGTGTGTGTGATTATCCCACGATCTTATGTCCTTCAACAAATGTCCGATAGAATTCGTTTGATGAGCTTCGCCGCTCGAACCAAACCACCGATTACTTTGGTGTCTTCGAAAGGAGCACAGGGTGTTTCCGTAGTAGGTGGCCAAATCTCAGGGAGATGTTCTATGTCCATGGAATCCAATCGCGCGCAATCGCGCGTTACTTATCACGTTGTTGTTTCGTCGAATGTCAGTTTTGCGACAACCCCAATTGTCCCCTCTCTCTCTCTCTCTCTCTCTCTCTCTCTCTCTCTCTCTCTCTCTCTCTCTCTCTCTCTCTCTCTCTCTCTCCACTCTCTTGCAACAACAAACAGAATATGCATCCGGCTCTGACCATCTATCGCTGAACCACCCTGCATTAAAAACGTTGCACAATGATTGAAATCATAGATTCAAAGATTCAAGAAGCATGCGTCGATATAATCTTAAAAAAAAAAAAAGAAAAAAAAAGAAGATCCTTAAGACACTGAACATGATGATTCACCGATGAATTTTCTCATTTGGGTCACAATCGTGTGTTGTACAAGAGAAATAAATAATATATTCACCCTGCGCTAGTACTCATTACGACAAAATGTTCTACCCTCGTCAGGGGGTGAAAAGCCGCGCCCCGTATTTACAACTCTCCCCTTGTCCTGTTTTTTTTTCCTTTTCCATAGTTCCCCGTTATCTTTCCTTTCCTTTCTTCCTCGTTTTACGTATTTTACTATAGTAGAAGCGAATTATTTTCAGCCCAAAACTCGATTCCCTCCTCACCTCCGGGCGAATCCAGTCCGCGCTTTCAAAAATATATTTTTGTATTTATATTTATATATATATATATATATTTATATAAACTTTTTCATTTATGTCTAACTTGCGTCATGGAACTGGATTAGCGACGAAAACGTTATGTCCGAGGCGAGCGGATGATGCTGTCGCTTCTTTTTCCACGTACGCTACAACGTGTACGTCAAAGAGAAACTCGTATTATGTATACGAACGAATTTCATCGGTACAGCTCAGAGTGCGCTTTTACGAAGTAATTATCAAACACGCGAGTGTCGCGAGCTGTGTTTCTTTCACTAAGAAAATTTCACAAGCCGACACGGCGCGCATGTGAACGCGCAGGTTCGAAAATTCCTACCGGCTTGCGAATCGACGAATAAGGGACGACGTGTTTACTTCATCAAAAAGGAACGGAGGGCGTTTTTCAAACGGAGAGACTTTGCAGAATCATCAACCGGGCAATAATGATGATGAACCAAGTTTGCGTTAACATCAATTTGCCTATTGCATGAGAACAACTCAATCAACGAGTACACCATGTTTTGCACGACCTCTAGCTTGTTGATGATTGAAACGAAAGTACCGCCCGAGCTGATTCGGGGCGGTATGCTGTTGCTAATGCTGTTGCTGTTGCGACTGCTGCTGCTGTTGCTGCTGCTGCTGCTGTTGTTGCTGCTGCTGCTGCTGCTGCTGTTGATGATGAAGCATAGTCATAGCTCCGGTTTCGGCGGCTGTAGGCAGCACCACAGTGGACTGCTCGCTGACGGAGATCTGGTGAATCTGCGCTTGAGATCCTTGTCCCACTTGTATCTGGATTTGCTGCAACTCGGGCACCGACGACTGTTGTTGCAATTGCTCCACTTGCTGCTGTTGGTCCGCCTGTTGATTCTGCGTGGTGTCGTTCGTGTTCAACGGATCCTCCTTGGCGCGCTTGGCGAGATGCGATCTCGCGTGCTTCCTCAGGTGATCTTTGCGGTAAAACGCTTTCCCGCATTCGGTGCAGACCTCGGTTTTTTGTCCAGAATGTATGACGAAATGAAGATTCAAGTGTTCTTTCCGCTTGAAACCCTTCATGCAAACGGAACAGATGAAGGGTCTGTCGGGATTGTGGCCCAACTTGTGCCGCTCCAGATGCTCCTTCCGCTTAAGACCAGCGCCGCAGATGTCGCAGATGAATCGCCTCTCGATTTTATGTCCAATCAAATGCTGCTCCAGACTCTCCTTCTCCGGGTACGCCATGTTGCATTGAGGACAACAAAACAGAGTCGTACCATCAAGAGCCGTGACTATGCTCACCTGTCCTGGTTTTGGTTTCTTCGGCTTTGGAGGTTTCTTCTTATACTTCTTCTTCCGTTTCGGCTTCGTTCCCGGCTCTTGCTCTTCCACAACATCAGGAATGATCGCAGTTTCGCCCCCAGCAACTGTAATCTGTACCGCCTGCTCCCCCGAGGTTGCACCGCCAGAAGTGTCTAAACCGTCCGCCCCGAGCGGACTAGATTCAATAGTAGCTTCTCGTTTTATAGTCTCCGCGGAGAACTTGAGAAAATGTTGCAAACTAATGGGCAAGGTACTGGTAGGCAGTCGAGACAGATAGTCCGCGACTTGAGCAGAACCCGCAGCGAGACTCTGCCAGCTAGCGGGCATGGAGGTAATGAATTCTTCTCCGCTCTGATTACCTTGACTCTTGACGCTACCTCGTTTAATCAGGGCTACCGGTGTCGTGCCTTCCTTCACGTCCTCCTTGGACTCCTCTATGCTCTCTCGCAGTATCAAATCTTGCGGAATCTGAGCGACCACGGTTAAGCCCTCAGGTGCTCCTGGCAGTTGCACAGTTTGTTGGATAGTCTGCTGGGAAGTAGTTGTCACAGCAGTAGACGTACTCTGTGTCGTTTGATCGGACCTGCAAAGATGGACGAAAGCGATCAAGTGAGTGTAGCAACTTGGATGAAAATATCAATTGTATCGTGCATACGCAAAACCTTTGAATAAACACGTCGGGTTCTTACGTTTGCGTAGTCGCTACGGTGTTTTGCGGTTGTACTTGAATTTGAACTCCATCCGCACCCTGCTGACTGTAGGCAACGGTGAGAACGGTAGCTGCCCCTTGCGGGAACTGTCCCAGCGATATCGGCGCCAAATGATACTTGGGTTGATCACCGCTGTTTCCACTCTGCGATACGCTGGGGTTGACGACTTGTATCTGAACCGTCTGCTGTTGCTGCGTGCCATCTTTCCCCGGCACGGTGATGGGCAGCGTGATGATCTGCTGTTGCTGATTGTTGCCACTCTGAGCGACAGCAAAGCCATTTGGGTCTACTGGCCTCAAGTAGTGGACTCCACCTTCACCACCGGATAACACCCCGACAACTTGTCCTCCAGTAGTGAGATTTTGTGCGAATTTCGCCGTAGCAAACTGATGAACAGTGCCCGGTGTCGTGAACCCGGTGAATGGTGTGAAATTCATCTTGCACCGTCAAACCTGCAAGACAAAGAGATTGGTAGTCGCTGCATCCACACCAAGTTTCAGAATTAAATTGTTTCCCAAGCATGACACAAAAATTTCCAGTGACTATGCAGTTCTCTCGAGGCCACACTACCAAGGTGCAAGTCAAAGCTGGAGATGTAACATGGATTTCGTCACAGGAATGCTACTCGACACAAAAAGGAGTGAACAAAAAGTTTCTCGCTCTCTCTTTCTCCCTCAGTACCATTAAAAGAACGGATAAGACCGAGTTGCCAATCCGGAAGCCCAAGAAGTCACCCTAACGAGCCATTTCAAGTACATACAGGTAGACATCTTTGCACTTCTCAACTTTACGTTTCATCGCGTTCATACTGCACGTTTCAGTTCCGCGCCACAAAGTCGTCGTCCACTCCGTTGCGATGCCGTCTGCACAACACAAGAGCCAGACCATGTCTATACCTTGAGCTATATCGGACCTAACCTAGGCCACCCTGATCTAACATAACCTAACTTTCCCTCCCGCCCTCTCCACACGTGTTTTTCGCGAGAGCAACAAAATGAAAATTCTTCACGTCGTTTTTAGCGAGTGTCGGACGAGGCGAGCAACGTGCTCTTGACTCGCGCGGAGCCTTGGTGATACCATTCCGCAAGGGTGGGGTGAGGGCTCCCCCACTTCACCCCCTTCTCCCTACCTGAAAGGGATCCGGGAGCAGGGAGGATAGTCGTCAAAGTGGCCCAGGATCCCACCCCACTCCACGGCGGCGGCGATGGTGCCCCTACGGGCGCCGTAAGGGGTAGGAGCGCGATGAGGGTAGGGGGGGAGGTCCATAGGTGGGAACCTACCGCGAAATAGAGCTCGAGAATCCGCTCCTCTTTCTCCCGCGCTACCTCGACGCGGCGTGTACCGCGAGAATGGAACGAGAAAGAAGGCGAGCGCTGGAAAGGGTAGGGGAACACCAAGAAAGAAGGGAGTCAAACTCGGCACACCGGCAATCCCCGGGGAAGGGGAACGCGAAAACGTCGGGGGCGAAAGCACCCGCGTCGTGGCAGGCGGGTAGACACCGCGCCAGACGAATTGGGACAATGATGATGACGATAACGACGCGCGCGCGACCGAGAGACAGCGCGAGTCGGACGCGTTCCCCGCCCTTGTGCGAGGATCGATGTGTGAGAGCGCGAGCGGGAGAACGGGGGGAAGAGAGAGAGAGAGAAAGAGAGAGAGAGAGTGAGTGAGTGTGAGAGAGAGAGAGAAAGAACGCGGGCGCAAAAGTGAGACAGAGGCAGAGAGTGACAGAGGTAGACAGAGAGAAAGAGAAGACAAAGAGAGGTTAAGATACCGTGCGTCTTACGGGTGTCAAGGGTGCTCGTTCTGCCGTACGAGGCACGATGCCGTTTCCCTACGTAGGGCAACGGGTTCCGCGACACGCGCGCTCGTCTCCCTAAGCTTCACTCGCCGGCACCACGCGACGTGTTTTTCGTCGTACGCGGAATGGCGTACACGACTGATCGGTCAACTCCGCTGTCGGTCGTACTGCCGCTGATCGTGCTGCTCTCGCAAGACGCGCATGTCGTAATGGCGCACCGATTCTCTCCTAAGGTTAGCCTCGACTAAGTCTATCCTTCTCCCACGTGACGCCGCGGCATCTTATTCGCTCGTTCGCTCGCACGTTCGCTCATTCGCTCACTCGCGCTTATTCACTCACTCACTCTCTCACGCACGCACGTATACGCACATTCGCACGCTCTCGCTCGCTTGCTCTCTCTCTCTCTCTTCATCTCACTCGCTCTCTCGCTCGCTCGACTGCACGGCCGCGCCCTCTTTCTCTCTTCCGCTCGGCCGTACTACACACGCGCGACACGTCTCTCGATCTTCCGCGTGTGCACGCTCGCGAATTTTTCATCAAATCCGTCTCGCGCGTTTCCCTCGCGCACACAATCGCGCGCGCGAGGAGAAGCGCGTGCCGCCGCTTTCGATGTCACTGCGCGCGCGGGACGCCGCACGCTCGACGGATCGGCGGCGCGGTGGCTGGCTTCTTGTGCAATGTCGCGTGCATGTCGGGGCCGCTCGCTTCCGCTTCGCGCTGCTAACCCACGCTTTTCGTTGTTCGCGATTCAATAGCATCGCGCTCGAGCCTTCGGGAGAAAGCGAGCGGCCGAGGCGGAAACGCGTCGCTTTCCCCTCGCCCCTCGTCGAGCTCGTCCTCGACGACGACGACGATGACGACGACGAGCGGCCGGCCGACCGTTGTCGTCGTCATCACGTCGTTACGCACAAAGCGTAGGTCGCGCGCGGCCGCCATGATGGAAAAAATCGTCCACGTAGGTGAGACGAGAGAAAACTGCGCGACTTGGCCGATTCTTTTGATCTCGCCCTCCCTTGACTGTCTCTCCCGCTCGGCGCATCGTGGAAACCCCTTCTAACGTGCACGCGGGTATGTTCCGCACACATCGTTTCTCTCTCTCTCTCTCTCTTTCTCTCTCTCTCTATCTCTCCTCTCCTCTCTCTCTCTCTCTGGCTCTCCCTCTACTTTATCCCCCTCGTCTTCTCGCTGGCTGCCGCGTCGCTGGCCGTGAAGCGCGAGCGCCGTGTGCACACGGCCAGGACCGGGAGGACGGAAGTAGGAAAAAGATCGACAACGGCGGCACGCGGCGAAAGACGCATCAGCTGACAGAGAGCAGGGCAGAGGCGAAACGACGGAGGCACACGGGCAGGGCTGTTGTTTACACCCCCACCTCGATGGGTTAGAGGCAGCGAGATGCCACGGAGGGGCCTCCGAGACCTCGACGAACACCCACCACCACGCAATTTCCAACCCCACCAGCCTCTCAACCACTGTCCGCACCTCCAACCACCCCACCAAAGCCAGCTCGAGCCAAGCCGTGAGCCACGACGAGGGCCCCGCGACGATTTTAGTGTCTTGGGGTGGGTGCTCTCTGTGGCCACAGTTTCGCGGTTTCTCGTGCATGGTCTCGTCGTCGTCGAGAGTTGGGAGTGAGAAGCAGCGCGAGCCGTGACGGCACCTTCGCCTCGGCGTCGTCGGCTGGAGCTACTACTACTACTACTACTACTGCTACTACTACTACTACTACTACTACAACACTACTACTACTATTACTACGGCAGCAGTGCGATCGGGATAACAAAAATAAAGGCTCAGCCAGAGGGGAAGAGGGAGCGAGAGAGCGATATATAAAGAGAGAGATAGAAAGAGATAGAGAGAGAGAGAGAGAGAGAGGGAGACACAGACATTGAAGGAAGATACGCATATGGTTGTTGCACGCATCAAAATTGCACACCGTACGATATGCATGCATCTACACACACACACACACACACACACACACATACGCACGCATACGTACACGCGTAACACGAAGAGAGAGCGTGGCTCAGCCGCCGAGAGTACGCGAGAATGCCACGTTATTCGGCGTCGACGGTGTGCCGTTCTACTTACTTGTACGTACGATCGACAGGTGAGACGACGACGACGAACAGGTCAAGAAGCGGCAGCTGCGATCGCGCTCCCCCGTGCGTGCTCGGCTCAGCGTACCGCTGCTACTGTCGCCGCCTTCGTTCTTCTGGTAGCTTCGCTTAGTACGGAAATCGTCCGTCTGGCCCGCGTCGTCGTTCCCAATCCTCAGCGCGGCGGCAGCAACGACTTTCTCATTTCTACGTGCACGACGCTGCTGTGCTGACCGATGTACCCGCCGCGTCTGTCGCCGTCGGTGCATACGTCATACGTGCTGGCGTATGTGGACGAAAGAGAGAAAGAGAGACGCGCGCGCGTTTCCTCTAACGGAAACTCCAAGAGAGCTCGAGAGTGACTCCGCGATAAATTCGCGCTCGTACACCGCCGTCCGTCCTCTTTCTTTCTCGCTCGTTCGCTCTCTCTCTCTCACTCGCTCGCTCGCTCGCTCGCTCGTTTTGCGTACGTATATGTACGTCCGTGCGTGCGTGTCGCGGTCTCGCTCCCTCTTTCGCTCGCGCGCGCAGTGAGTTCTCGTTCAACAGAGGGACGCGCACTGTGTGTTTCCGGGTTTTACGACGGCCGACTGCGCGATCGAATGTAGTAACTCGTTTCTTCTCGGTCGGTAGGTAGGCAAGCGTGGATCTCGCCCAAGCCGGCCAATGAAATGGATTCGAGCTAACGGTACATAACCGCCCGACAGACACCACGGTGGCCACGCGTTGACTCCGCGAGCCTGAACGCCGCTCTCCTGGAAAGTCCAACGGAGTCGCGCCGTCGCGCACCGTTTCACCGTGCGCCGCGTCGCTTGCTTGCTTGCTCGCTCGCTCTCTCTCTCTCTCTTTCTCTCTCTCTCTCTCTCTCTCTCGGCTCCTCCGGCTAACGTCACAGCCGCATCCTCGTCTCGCGATCGCTCCTTTCGATCGAGACTGCGTTCGGCTCGTCGCGAAACGCGTCGCTATTAATATTCTATCGACCGATCATCAACTATGGCGGCGATTACACGTGTGGGGCGCAAGTGTGTTGAAAACGTGTGTGAGAGAGAGAGAGAGGGAGAAAGAGGCAGGGAGGGGAAGAGAAACGGAGGAACGAGCGAGCGCCAACGGATCAAGGATGTGGCGCGTGCGCGCGATCGTCGATTAAACGGCTCACGAGAGACGATGCTGTTGCCTCGTCCGCGGATCGCGCGCGCGATGCAACCGTGGAAACTTTCGCACCGAACTATCCCGCACGATTCAGCTAGAGATAAACAACTGTCCGTCTCCCTCCAAGCCACGGTTACTCCTACGCGACACACACGACTGTGAGAGGACGTCGACTTACACGCACCTAGCGGATACTAGAACGAGGTTAAGTGAGACGACGTCAACCGACGGCCCGCCATCTTTTCCGGTTCGGATGCGCGCGCTTTTATGAAACGCGGCGGAGCGCGCAGTTTCTTCGTCGCTCCCACTTTCGTAAGGTCTCTGTGGTGCGATTCTGTAACTCGTTATTGGAGTTAACGACACTTTCGTTATCGTTGCGCAGCTTTTGTATACCGTAGAAAAGCTGCGCAACGATAACGAAAGTGTCGTTAACTCCAATAACGAGTTACAGAATCGCACCACTGAGCCCTTATTCTCGAAAATTTGTGAAAAATATCGTATATAATGTCTCATCAATGAGACAATTTAATTGGTTGAGAATCGTGATATCTAATAACATTCATGAAATATCGTATGCGATATTTTTTTTCCTCGTTCTCGAAAATTTGTGAAAAATATCGATACGATATACGACATCAACAGGGCGATTCAATTGGCTGAAAATCAAGACATTCATGAAATATTGTATGCAATATTTTTCAAGAATATGGACCCTGTTCTTACTAAAAGAATTTCTGAATTACTGCGGCAAGTTGGGGTATTAGGGAAAATATATCTGTTAACATCTTCAATTTACTGCGCTAATTCAGAAGTTCTTTGAATAAGTACAAATATACTTTAAATTTAAGTGCAGAAAATAAGAGTTTTTTGTCTGGATCATTATTGTCAAATCGATAGAAACGATTCCATATGGTGATGGAGGAAGATATATGATATATTCCACCCGAAAATATTAAAATATTCAAAGACTGATGGCTCTCTTACTTCTATGGCGTCCACAAAAATATACACACTTTGTACAAACTATATTTTATAACTTCTATTTGCTTTATTTCATTATCTTTATATTTCATACATGCAACTTAAGATTTAAGGATCCCAAGTGTCATACGCTTGATTCGTTAAAAGTGTAGCGCAACGAAGCATCGAGAATTTAAATAAATTACTGATAAATTAGTTCTACAAATAGTTCTACAACTATACATTTCACACAATTGCGGAAGTTACTCATACTTTCCCATATACATAAAATTTTATGTGCCGCATATGATATAAATGATCACCTAAAGGCTGTGTGCAACAAGTATTCATCAGCACCACCTTTTTATAAAACAAGTTTAGTACATAGATAGCTAGTACCCCTTTATTATAATCTGTATAATCAATGTGAATGATTGAAGACTGTCAAAATATGTCACATAGAAAAATGGCAAAAAGAGACATGTTTGTCGAATGTTAAGTGGATGCTTTGCAAACATGATGATCGGTAACATGTACTTTCACTAGTAGGGATTTAACCTCCTTTGCATACGTTCCATATATAAGGAGAAGAGTAACTTGTTACTCTCGTAATAAAAAGGATTCGACATGGCATCTAAGTCTGGTCTGTACTCAGTCGTGAAACTGCTTTGGCTGGAGCTACAGGTGTCCCTGGACGGTGAGTTTTGAGAAACCTCTGAGCAACTCGGGGACGGCACGAAATTTTCACTCCCCCAATCGTCAGTCTCCATTCGTTCCATCGCTCTCTCTCGCAGACCAGACAAGCCATTGATGTGAAGATTGTTGATTCGTTTGCTCAACGGCATAAACTCGCTGGATTCCTCTTCCACGTTGCGACCCCTTTTTCTAAACAATCCGTACGTAGGAAAAACAATAGAATCATCACAACTGTGGATAATGCGCGTCACGACGCGTGCCGTACGGGCCTTTACGTACTTTTCTTCGTAAGGTTATGTCATCTTATAAATATGTAAACAAAGACTAACCTGTTGGCTGATGTCATTGTCATGTTCACTGATCTTCCTCGATTAATGTTGGTCATAAAGAGGATACTTCTCGATTAACACATTATCGCCACAATCTTTATTGAAACGGAGAAATCAACCATTCGCGTCAAGATGAGTCGGACTCGATGCATATCAAACGATCACTACGGAATGGCAATAGATAGCTTTGCTCAACGAAGCTAGACCTTCAATCCGCGGATTTGTCGAAACTCGAGATGATGACAAAACGCAATCTAAACTGGAAAATCTTTCCCGGAAATTCCTTAATATGTTATTAAATTTGTTTCTTAGCTGCGTCGAAAGATCGAAAGCATAGAACTCTATTTATGCTGGAATTGGCTGAACCGTCGAGCTGAACCGTTCGAGCAGTAGAAATATTATGGTGCATGTTCCACCGTACGTACCTGCGCATGCGTGAGTTGCATTGGCAACTCGTGTTTCAATGGGTGCTAAACAAACTTGTGTTTTGAACTTTATAAATTTCTTACAAATTATTTTGTAAGATTTATTATTATTTTGTAATTATCTTAATTTATCACTGCATTAAGCATTATATAGAAAATAAAAATGTAAAAAAGTAATAATGAAAATAATACTTAAGCATCAATTGAAAATAATACTTAAGCATCAATTGAAAATAATAATGTATGAATTAAGCATTATTGTATTATGCATTAATAAGCATATTAATGTATGAATTAAGAATTATGTATTATTGATATTATGCATTATAAAGAAGACAAGTATACACATTAATATTATAAAAACTATGATAGAAAATAAATATTAAATAAAACATATATTTATTTTATAAAATATATTTTTGTATTTCGAATTCCATGTGACTGTACCCTTTCAGAAAATAACAGAAAAATATCACAATATTTTAAATTATTCAGACAATAGTATTCGTGTAACGTAAAACGTGCAAAATTATGTATAAAAAAACGAAATAACCTTTTAAATATCGTTAATTTCCTCGAGTAATTAACACTCGTAATGTACAAATATGTAAAAATAACGTGTGTGATTGAAAAATCTTGATGGGTGTGTTCACAAAATACAATAGTCATGTAATTGTTGCAAAAATATATATTCGCTGAACGCATTTGTCATAACGAATTCGGTCGCTTGCATTAGTTAACATTAATTTATATTTATCATTTAATACATGTACCAAGTAATAAATTTCTATTAATATTGATGATTTATATACAAACAATGGTGTATTGATCTGATACAATATATGCATGAAGAAGACAAATCGTACCAATTGGATATCGTCGTTTATATATTAAGGCTCACATTCTGAACTCTCATCACTAAAAGTAACTGCTAAAAGTAACTAAAAGTGGCTTATAGCCAATCAAGACTTATAAGCCACTTTTATAGTCACTTTTAACGATAAAAGAGTTCAGAATATGAACCTGAGAGGTTTGTTTTCTATTGCTGAATTAACTGCACTAACTTGCACTTATTCTCTTTTTCTCTCCCTTTCACTAACTCCTAGATGTATATCTATTTCTTTTTATGTTCCCTGAGTGTACACTAGTTCAGCGATAAAAAACAGCGATAAAAAACAACCTAAGATTATGTATAGAGCCTGTTCTGAAACCGGCTTTGGAAATTTTGGTTTTAGTTCTAAGAGGCCTTCTACAATAAACAATTAGTCATAAGCTATAAACAAATTGACCAATCACAATTGATTATTTCAAAAATAATCAACTGTGGTTGGTCGATTTGGTTACAACTTATGACTAATAACTTATTGTAGAAGGCCCATAAAACTTATGAAGGAAATAGGGGCGGTGGTTACTGTACAGCACTGTACAGCAACTGCTTCCCCTATACCCCTTCCAGCGGGACTGTGCGAGAGAGAACGAACAGTAAAAACAGTGTATCCTTTTCTACGTGAGCCCACTCCTCGAACACGCAGTCCAGGGCTGCGTTCCGATATTCACTGCCAGTACTGAAAATCTATAATATATGTGACATAAAGTATATATTAGGTGTAGTAAAAAGAAATCCATTATTTTTGCATGAAATTGAAGGCTTTAATTACCATAGTTAGAATGATCCGATTTAGGTCAAATATGCGCCGTTTTGTTCGACAACTTGTTGCCATTTTGAAGGTAATTTCATTATGCCTCTCTCATAAAAGCCCTCGTTCCTATTGGCAAAAATTTGAGACAGTCAATTTTCACAAGCCTCTCTTGAAGCGAATTTTTCACCAGCAAAATTGTTCGCCATAGACAGGAACAGATGGTAATCACTTGGTGCTAGGTCCGGACTATAAGGTGGATGCATAAGAACCTCCCAACCAAGCTCCCGGAGCTTCTGGTGAGTCACTATCGATGTGTATGGCCTGGCGTTGTCCTGATGGAACACAATTCCTCTCCTATTGGCCAAAGCTGGCCACTTCTGGGCGATTGCTTCCTTCAGACGGTCCAATTGTTGACAGTACAGTTCCGAGTTAAGAGTTTTGCCGTAGGGGAGCAGCTCATAGTAGATAATTCCTTGCTAATCCCACCAAACACACAGCAAAACCTTCCTGGCCGTAAATCCTGGCTTGGCCACCGTTTCCGCCGGCTCACCGCGATTCGACTACGACCGTTTTCGCTTAACGTTGTCGTAAGTGATCCACTTTTCATCGCCAGTGACCAACCGCTTCAGAAATGGGTCGATTTTGTTGCGATTCAGCAGCGATTCGCAGATGGAAATTCGGTCCATGAGGTCTTTTTTCGTTAACTCGTGTGGCGCCCATACATCGAGCTTCTTTTTGTATCCAGCCTTATTCAAATGGTTTCAAACGGCTTTTTGTGCAATCTTTAGCTCTTGGGCAATCGAAACAGTGCTTACATGACGGTCGGACTCGACAATGTCCATGATTTTATCGATATTTTCGACAATTGGCCTTCCAGTGCGTGGTGCATCTTTGACATCGAAATTACCGGAACAGAATCGACGAAACCAAAATTGCGCGTGATTGGCTGTTACAGTATCAGGACCATAAACACTATTCACCTTTTCAGCCGTCTGGCTTGCGTTTTCGCCTTTATTGGAGAAAAACTGTAAAATATAGCGTATTTTCTCTTTGCTAGTGTCCATCTTTGACGCGCGCTCAAACAAAACTGAGTCAACTAATTACAAAACTGTTAGAAAAGTTTTTTTAGTACGAAATCTCATCTTTCTAACGCCATCTGGTGGAACCCGATCGGACTTATACAACGCGAGATACAGATAACTACTAAAGCCATCTATTGGAAAAATAATGGATTTCTTTTTACTACACCTGATATTTTCAATACTGACAGTGAATATCGGAACGCAGCCTAGATATACTATGGCTGCGTTTCAAAATTCACTGCCAACGCTGAAAAGTTATAGTTTGCGTGATACAAACTATATATTTTCAGTACTGGCAGTGAATTTTGGAACACGGCCCATGTCTATGGCTAAAACCAACGTTTCCGGAACCGATTGCGAAAAAGACCTATAGTCACGGAGTAAGAAGTAAGTAAGCAGTAACAAGTAACAAATAAGTAACAAACGTAAGCGGTAAGAAATAAACCAATCACAATCGATTATGACAAGAATAATCAACCGTGGTTGGTCCATTTCTTACTGTTCACGCTTACTTCTTACCGCTATTGTAAACGGCCCTTTAAGCTAGGTCTACAATGGGTGGTATTAGGCTTTAAGCCGTAAGAAATTGACGAATCACAACTGATTATTCTTCTTATATTCGATTATGGTTGGTCAATTTCTTACGGCTTAAAGCTTGCCATACTTATTCTAGATGCAACCTTAAGCCCATTCTATATTAATTGCAAATTGTTCGTAAGCAAATTGACCAATCACAGTCGACTGTTCTCCTTGGATCGAAGAAGTATCAACTATGCTTGGTCAATTTACTTGCGACTTGTGGTTAATGCAGAAAGGCCCGAATGGCCAAAATGAGTTTTATGCATTATATGAAAATTTATGCTCAGAGGATCTATTTTGTAAGTTTGTAACGTATACGTTATAGCTATTACGTATGCGTTAAAAAGACATAACGGATGTATTTCTTATTCATAGAAATAATGAATGTAGCACGAACATGATATTACCAAACGATAATATTATCAGCAGTGGCTGCGTTCAATAGAACAAAATGATCAGTGAGTGCTTAGTGATTATTGTCTTTGATTGGAGCATTCTTTTAGATTCTTCATAGACCCAGAAGTATTTACCAATCAGGAGCGAGATTCAGTGGAAAATCTAGTAATGTTGTCCAACTGTTGAGTCTGCTGAATGCAGCCATTGCTCTCTTGAACTAGATGTCGATTTAATATAGATTGGACACAAAGTTAATGATTGGTTAGATCTAGTAATTTACTAAAGTAAAGCTTTGCACCAGTTAGTTGTGTCCAATCGTGTTATGTCGAATTGGACAATCCCCTCTGTTCTTTTGTTGTATGGTAAAAATAATTTCGACAAGCGAAAATAATATTTTTAATGCATTTCGGAATACAGCCACCAGGTACGACTCAACGGTGGGTCAGGACTTTTTATTCTCAAGTAGTATACTTCATAGCGGGTCGAACGACATTTTTTATTATTTATTTTTCAGGAGCATTATATATTCCCTAAAAGGAATAGAGTGGACTTCTGTATTTATTTATTGTAAACAGATCGAGGGGCAAGAGATTTCAAGACAAATTAAATTGCGATATAAACATTGTTTAATTTTCTTTTCAATATCTTATTTATTCTTCCTCGCAGCGCTATTTCTAATAAAAGTACTTGAAGATCTGAAAACATATTTAATACACATACTTTTTATACATATTTAATACATTTACTTTTTTATCCTCTTTTACTCTTTCCACCTAATTAAACAGAACGAGATAAAAACTGTTTATCGCTGAAATATTGCTGCTCGAAATGTGTTTGACATTTTAATCCCATCTATTTGCGAATGCTTTACGAACTCGTTTCAGAATTAAAACAATTGATGACACAATAATTTGTATAAAATAATAGCAATTGTTTAATGATGTGTTACATCACGTAAGTCTGAAAAATTTTTTAGAAAAAGCTTTGTCACTCAGATTTCTAGAATCATTTGCACGCTGCGACTAAATCATGCAATACGATTATTATATGTTTATATCTACTCATATTTAGATAATTGTATATATATATATATATATATATATATACACATGCAAGAAGCCCATTCATTAATATATACATGTACTTTATTTATTTGAAATGTAATTGAAACAATCTGGAACATTATATATTGTTTTACATCTCTTCATATATAACAACTCGATCCTGTAAGGACAACCACTTATGCACAATTCATGCACGGGTGTGCATATAAATTTGAGGAAAACTCTCGAATGTCGACATGTCCACCGTTATGAAAGAGTTGAGGACCCATGGAATAATAATCGGAAGAACAATTTAACATTCAAGGAATATAAGGCGCGTCTCGCTGATCAGATTTCATTTAGTTCACCCAACTGTCGTCAGATTTGCACACAGGGCGGACAAAAAAACAAATATCGCGTAAAAGAACGACGGTTTTTCCTAAATGGAAACTGGGAATTATTCTTCCTCGGAGAGGCTAATTTTTTAAATCTTTATTAAATTATTACTGCATTCCGAAATTCATTGCCATTACTGAAAATATATATTCGTACAGCATCCGTACAAAAGTTGCAGCAATATTGCAACGTTGCAGCAATGTTGCTACAACTTTCTGTGCTATATAGATAGTTTATGTTACACGTATTATAGATTTTCAATATTGGCAATGAATATGAAAACACGGCCTATTTTGACGCTGTTTTAGATCTATTTTTCGATGACTAGTCGAATAATTACAGGCAAGTTAACCAACAATACTTGGTTGACAACAGTTGATTGACAAGACGCTTCATTTGGGCCCACCCTGTAGTGATCGTCGAGAATAATTTACGAGATATCAATATATGAGGGTATTAAAAAGATTAAATGCAACGTCATCGCCTCCCGCGTGTCCATAAAATTTGATAAGATCCACATGATAATAACTAAATAAATCGATCTCTTCCGTTATGCAACTCAGGTATTTATTATCGAGAAGTCAGAAATTGCTAACAATATACGCGTGCGCGTTTTTCTAATCAAATTTGCGAGGGGTAGTCAATTTTTACCTGGAATAAGTAGAGGAGGAAAGGTAAGAGGAAGATAAGAAGGAGATCAAATAGTAACGGGAGATAGCGAGGAACGTACGCGAGAATCGCAGGGAAAAACGACAGAATCAAGCCGGATAATCTAATGAAAAACAATAATCAAACGGACGAGAGTAATTTGTCTGAAGTATCGATCGGTCAGTCATTTTCTGCGTGAATATTATCCCGCGATCGCCGCATTAATCAATGTAGTCCCGAATCATATTCCTCATCCCGAATAAGATGTCCCTCGGCTTTTGTTCGGATCCCAGCTTCCTTCGCACTGGTGCTTCGTAATCGTCATGTGGATAGTTGTCCGGACGATTGATATCCTGAAATAAACGGAGTAACGGAAGATAAGCAGAAAAACAATTGAATTATTTAAATTAATCTCAGATGACGATTCTGACGATTCCACTTTTATAAATGTATAAATTATTCATTTTATTTAACTCATAACACACACACTTATCAATTACTTATTGTCCATTTATTATTCATAATTATTGATTATGTGTAAATTCTACTTTCCTACTCGCTAAGTTGATTATTTGTACGACATTGTTATTTTCCAATGATCATATGTTGTTAGATAAATCAAAGAAAATTATAAATTTTCACAGTATAAATCAGTGTATTTGCTTTTCGAACATTTTAATTGAGATACAGTTGCATTTCTTCATTAAAACAAAACTGATTGATATTTGTATCATATATATTTTATATATTCTTGTTTTTTGTATATTTATATCTGATGATAGAAATTACAAAAAAACAATCATCACATACAACAATTAAAGGATTGCTTCCAGAGATCACTAAAAGTAGAAAACATTTAATGAACCGTAATTTGGCGAAAATATTGGAAAATAATGGAAATAATAATAAGTTAAAAAGCGTTTTGATCAGCTTGAGATCTTTAGATTTTAGATATATATTATCGAATAAGAAATTTAATTACCATGCACTTACTACGCATTTTAGAAAAAAATTTTGAGTGTTTCATTTATTTTTTTAACGAATATCGCATATACTGCTTCGTTTACTTTCTATAAGCGAGGCAAAATACAATTTCCGCATTAACATTACACATATATATAGTATATAATCTGTCACACTTACATCACTGAGAAGCGCTAACAAATATTTGATCTTGGATTTGCAATTGCCGGTAGATAAGTCATTATGCGTATCACCGTACATAGAACGCGAACTTGGAAGTTCGTCTGGATTGTACATCCTCTTCATCGTGCCTCGGCACGAAGGATGGTAAGGATATTTTCTGCAATGACAATCATATTTAACACTATTTAAACATATTTAACAATATTTTGCTCAACGATAAAGGAAGAAAAGTGGGTCGAGAAACTTACTCGCAATCCACACACAGGCAAGATTGGAAGCAACACAGGAAAATCGCAATGATGAATACGGCTCGTTGCAGAAACATCTGAAATATAACATATACATTCAGGGATTAAACACTATATGTAAAATTATATTACTATATGTAAAAAATTATGTACATTAAACGGCAGAACAATTTTATGCAATTGAATGAGTGTAAAAATTTTGATAAATATCGTGAAAAATAGAAAAATGTGTGTATATGCGTATATGGACCAAGAAATTTTATTAAAAATATATCCTCTCTCTCTCTCTCTCTCTCTCGTTCTGTCACGCAATTGTATAACATTTAAAAATATAACTTTTCTTCTCAGTTTGATCTGATTAATCTTCACAATTTTTCATTTTCGAAAGATCCTGAACATCTTGTATATATACATTCATATATTTGTATAAATGTTGCCACAAAACTGGATTAGTTACGGAATTTTTGAGAAACTCATCGAAACATTTATATTCCATTAATTATTGTAGATTAAAATTTTATAATTCTATATGTACACATTATTGGTTAATTATTTATTAATTATTCTAAAAAGATGGAAATTATGTGTTTAAACAACAAACTATCACTATGTATGTGTGTGTGTGTGTGTATGCGTGCTAACTTTACTACACTTACTTTACTTACACAACTTTACTTACACTTTACTAATATTTATACTAATATTTAAAGAGACGAATATGTACGATTATAAAATAATACGTAATTATAATAATAATCTAATAACATTATAATGTAATTGCGTATAATTGAATTATGTGTTAGGACTGTTTTGACAATTTAGAACGTGTAGTATAAGTTTTCGAGCTAACATAACTTCAAAGATACTTGCTGCAAATAAGGGAGCAACTATATAAACATCCGTATAATATTATAATTTGTATTATTATATAATTGTAGTATTATATAATTTTTCGATCAACTTAGAAAACATAATTAGTGCAATTAATATAATCGTATATAAGTATATTGTATAAACTGGCTTTTATATGTAATTCAAGTAAGAGGAATCATGGCTACGAGAGAATCACTTGTAGATATTATCGAAAATAATCGTAATCCAAATAATCCTAAATCCCAGAAGGATAATAATATTTGAACGTATAGTGACGCACAAGCCGAATATTTTTTTGGGTTCACGTGTGCGGCAATTCAACCTTTCACGTCAAACTATACACCTTAATTTATTCATAGTAATGAAAAGCAATTAATCAGTCAGTAAATATTGTATAAATATAATAACGTAATTTAAAATGCAAATAATTATGATTATTCGTACTAACATCCGCGATCGGTTTTCATCGCCATGATTTTGCTGTTTCACTTTAATAATATAATAATATTTCGACATTACATAGCGACACGCGTGAATCAGAAAAGAAAATTGAAAAATTATTATCTGACGTGATTTAAGTCAACTCAAATTATATAAAATAATTATATGAAATATGTGTAATTATTCACATAATAATTATTAATTTATTATATAAACTAATAATTTATATATTAATTAAAATTATAAGTAATATTATAAAAATATGTAAAAATTATATAAAAACATACAAATTAATTCAAATTAATTATATTGAAAAATTCAATGTAATGAAGAAATTACATAAAAATTTGACGGCCGCATTACGTTTCTCCTTTTGCTCGAATCATTTCCTTCCTTTATTTTTGCGTATCAACAGTTTCTTTTTTGTTTAGTCGGTTTCGTTTTCTTTTCCCTAAGGAAGTGAACTGGAATATTCACAAAAGATTAGATTGGAAGCGAGTCCTGCGAGTCTACGATAAACGTGGCACCAAGCCAGAAGCCAAATGAAGCATTTCTCTGCATCGCGAAAATTTAAAGTATCAATTTTTAAAGTCAGCGACGCTCGTCACGAAATGTCAAGACAACTTCGCTCCGAAATAAGAATGGTCAAGGATAATCTGCGCAAAGGTGAACCACACGAGGAAAAATTTTCACGAATCCCTAATGAACTTACGCGATGCGAAGTTTGGCGAATCCGAAAGTGTGGCAAAGCCGATTTTAACTAGTTTCGACAAATTAATATTATCGAACGGGGGAAGAAGAAGGACCCAGCGAGACGAGAGGAAGGAAGTAATGATCGGCGGAGAAAATACGAGTTGATCCTTTCCGTGTTGAGAGATGCGGAAGTATCGTCGCGAGACGACCAATAAGGAGCCGAACCGATCACGGGGGCGCTCGTCCTTTCGCTCGAGGATAACAACATACACTCACGCGCGCGAAAGGTCATTTCGTTTGCTAGTGAAGGATCGAAGCAGCGAATATGCTCGTTCGCGCGATTCCACGCTAAATCGATATTCGTATTGCTATTTATTCGCCATTTTGGCGAAGCAACGGCCGGTCTCAGCGCTATTCGAGCTGGCCAATTTGCAGCGTTGTATTATCCTTCTTCTCGGAATGTAATGAAACGCGAGCGGGCGTGCAAAGGAAACGAGGCGTTTCTGGAATTTTGTTCGATTCTTCGCTTTAATTGAGAGCAACTTGAAGGAAGAAGATACCGTACGCATCCGCACGTTACGAGCTGTCTAATTAGTACCGAGAATAAGTCCTATTTGTATGAGTATGATTGAAGATAATATCGTGCAATCATGTTCACAACGCTGAATGCATTCGACGGGTTTACCAGCGCGATAACACGCAAGTTTGAGCGTTATTCCGCAATTAGCAATGTTGGTTTGCCGAGGAAATAGTTAAATCACAGCTAATTAAATCACAACTACAACAAGTTCAAGGTTCAGGACTCAAAGTTCAATATACTCATATCCATTGCCAGACACAATAGCCGTCGTATAACTGTAGATTACGTTATTCTGAACAAAAAAGTCCTTTATCATTTTGCAGATATGCAAATTTTCAAGTTATTAGTTAAAAAAGAGCCTCTAGATGTGGTCACTTTCGATCATTATTAACTTAATAATTGTCGCGATTTTTGCGAAATGGTAAACTTGACTTTTCTTCTCAGCTTGATCTGATTAATCTTCACAATTTTTCGTTTCCAAGAGATCCCGGATACCCTGTATATTATATATGAGTGATTTATAAATAAAATATTTCAATCTAATTCTAAATTTAGACTTGAATATCTTACGTAAGACAATTTTAAATAACGATTATTAATACCGGTCTAAATTTAAATGAGTATCTGATGTGAGGCATACTTCAGTTTCACGACTATGAGATACAACTGTGCAAGTTTGATTTGAAATCTCGTAAGTTCCAAAACGCGAAGCGTCAACTTGGAATTTTTTTTTCCTAAACAAACTGAATCTTTCTTCCAACGCCAGCATACGTATAGCAAAAGCGTTATTTCTAAAAGAAAAAAGAAGTTCAAAAGAATTTCATCATTATCATTATTCTCCTGCGGCCAGTAGAAAACTCGTCTCAAAAATTAAAATAACAATATATAAATATTTTCATCGAAGTATTAGGAAAGACGCTTATTTCGTACACGAGGCATCGAAACTGCCAATCACGCGTTTATTTTAATCCTGTAGTATTTTCGGACTTCCTCGGGTAGCTCTTCGAGCGCTAACGACCAACCTCGAAGAAACAAAGCCACGAGATTCCATAGGAGGGAAAAGACGCGACGGCGATATGAGAATTGTATCTCTTCGTCCGAGCGCGGAGGGGTGAGATTCTTGCGCGCGGTCGCTTTACCGCTTATTTATTTTAATGCGCCTCCTCTCGATCGGTCGAGCGCGCATTATCATCGGTACTTGGAGAAAAAGGCGACGGGATTGAGCGAAGTTGAACGCACCGATCACGTAGAGCACACGTCGTAAACAGGCATCTTCGTAAGGACATTTTAGGAATACGAGAATAATTTCCCTTATTTCGACGGCACCGCTGGCTTATCGGCTTATAAATATATCGCGGACGTCATGTTATTTCCCCGACACCCGTTTATAAAATCGAACAGTGCACAAACGGGCCGTAGTGCGCGAGCGAAAGGCGTCTTAATTCTTCTTGTATAAATCTTCAGATCAGAGGCACGAGAACGTTTACGAGGAATAAGCATCCGACAGAAAGAGATTATGTATGATTACACAGGGTGTTGAAAAATAGGGTACTAGATTTGCAAGGTAGATAATATTCGTTGTACTAATTAAAAAATGCTTGGTGAACATAGGTCGAAAAATCAATTCATCTTTTTAGGGGGATGTGTGCAAAAATTTGTTTTATTTTTCACCTATAAATAAAATGCAAGAATTACATCAGAATGAATTCAAGATGAAGCTGACTAGACTGATAGATGAAAAAGACTAAGAACTTTTGGAAGAGTTCGCAATTCTATAATATAATTCTATAATATAATATAATTTGAAGAGGTCAAACGTAGACATGTAGAATGTAGAAGGAAGATACATGTATATGTGTATGTGTGTGTGAAACACATTCATTGTAATACAAAATAAAATCATATTACAGTAAGATATTTGGTCGTATATACAAAATAAAATTGTTGATAAAGAAATTTATAATATGCTTATATTGTGTATAAGCATATTATAAATATAAGAAATATCATAAATATAAATATATAAGTATAAAAGTTGATATAAAAATATATAAATGAAATATATAAAAATTAATATAAAAATATATTAATTTTTAATAATACAGCACTTTCGTTAAAATCTTAACAATTATAATGTGATTTAAATATAGTTTAGGAGAAATTAAAAATAAAACGTTGATCTCACATCACAAGGAGAACAAGGTATAAAATATAATATAATATAAAAAATGTCTTTTAATGGTAAATACTTCAGCGTCCAAACGGTCAATTTTTTTCTAATTGTACAAACGTGTGTCTATATATGTCAAAGGATGCCTGAAAAAATAGTTTCGCAGACCAATCATTTTCATCGAAAGGGATGATTTATTAAAAATATTGCCAAAAATATTATCAGAAATATTTATATTAATATTAATATTAATATTAATATTAAATATTACTAAATATCAATATTACTCAATTAATATTAGCAAATATTTAATATTAAAT